GCGCGCGGTCGAAGGCGGGGACGTCGCGCTGGGCGTGGCGCTCGGCGAGGGGCGCACCTACAGCAGCCCCTTCAGCGCCGCGATCGTCCTGCGGACGCTGTGCACGGCGCCTGCAGTCGTTTCGGACGTCCTGATCCCCGCGGCCGCGGGCTTACTGCACTGCCTTGGCCGCGCGTACGCCCGGTTCTCGGGCGTGTTCCGGGGGGACGAGTTCCGGCTGTTCTACGTCCACCCGGAAGACGGACGGAGCCCAATCGATGGAGTGCCCATCCCGGAGCTCTCCATCATCACGACGCTAGACGACGACGAGCTGGACACGTGGCACAGGACAACGGAGGCGCTTCCGAACCTGCTCCACATCTTTGAGCCCGCGCTGCGCCGCGCGGCCGGCGACGCGGTGCTTGAGGAGCGCTTCGTGTCCGAAGTCGTCTCCGCGGACGGCGTCAGCTTTGCTGCGGACGTCCTGCAGATGCGCGCCGCGGCCGCGGACTATCTGGCGGAATGGTACCCGCCGAGCCTGCACGACGTGGGCACGTGGCTGCCGGTTCTACAGGAGACCGCGAAGCAAGTCTGGCAAATGCTGGCCGAGAGGTTCGGGCTCGAAGAGTGCGCATATCCGGTGAGGTTTCTGCCTAATTCTAGTTCCGCTTCTTGACTTGGTTCACTCTCGGGGATTGCTACCCCGGAATAGAGCGCTGCGCAGATTGGATGATTACAACGAGTTCCAAGTTGAAGTCGCACTGCTTTACAAGAGTCGTTATGGATCCAGGGCACGTCTAGATTGGGTATTGATTCTCACATCTTTTGTCCTTACGACGTCAGCGTTCTGTGCCCCAAATAATACTTTTCTTTCCCAGTAACACTTATGAGAAAAAGAACGGTCTGCTCAGTTCGTACTCCACTGGTCTTGACACATGACTTACTCTCATAGGCGCAAAGATGCGCGCCAGTCCTCCCATCCTAGCAACCAGTGCATGAATTGGCTGCTAAAAGCAATTTCTCCCACAGGATTGCACCAAGGACGTCGTCGAAGTTTCAAAAGGGACGTTCAGCAAGTGCGGCGGCTGTGGACGTGTGCGGTACTGCTCCAAGGCGTGCCAGGTATACCTCCACTGCATAAATCACAACGCCTTCTTCTGTTGAAATTCTGATTTGTAGTATGCACCATGGTTCATGTGAGCGCTTATTGTCCTCAATTCCCCTAGACTGTCGGCCAAGCTAGTAGTACATGTTCTGGAAAAGCTAACCTAAGAAGCGCTGCAGTGGCGTGCCCTGTCGAAGACCAACTTTCATTTAGCCTGGTAACCTACTCGGAGTGACTTGAATCCCACGGGATCTTTGAATGAATGCTGGATTTGGTAGACACGAGGCTCCCATTTGGAACCGAATCATTGTCAAACTTCAGACGTGCAAACACCCTTGCTTCTGTTGGCAACGACACCCATGCAGCTTCGGTCTACTTATTACATACTGACCCAATTTCTTTTCGTTTTCCTTCAGGCCTCTCATTGGAGGCAAGGACACAAAGAAAATTGCAAGCGCCGTTCAAAGCCTTCCAAAGCCTGAGCGTAGGATTCTCAACGTTTCCAAGGCCTTCAAGTAGTTGAGGTTGGAAAGCCGCTGAGATAGGTACAGAGATACAAAAAACGATTAATATACACTGGGTAATGAATAAGAGCGTACACCGGAGGCGACCTGGATTCGGCAGCTTGACATGGGTTTCCAAAAAGTTGCGTCTTTTTGGAAGCTGATCAAAGTTGAAGACGTTGATTCCAGAGAAATGTACGGGAACAGATGCTCAAATTTGTCGTGAAGTCCGAGTCCCGCGTATCTCACACTGATATGCTGAATGAAAGAGCTACATATCTAGCTCTCCGTGTGCTAGGCATCAATGCTATGTTACAGAGGACGGTTTCAAGTGCACGGCAGGAAAAGCTGCATCCGATGGAGTCCTATAGCGACCATTCTTGCAAGTTAGTGGTCTTGCCTGACATGGATACCAGTTTTTTTATGAATAATCTTCATGAGCATATTAGGGAACGGTCATGAGTCATTTAAGCAAAAGTTGCAGCCCCCCAGAGACTTAAGCACCAAGTGGCGGATTATAGTATTCTTATCTTTCGAAAGTTGGGCGGCTGTAAGAGGCCATTGTAAGAATAATGAGACTCAAAAGGCACGTTATGGACTCTCTCTGACATGATATGATGATCACTTTACATGCTAAGAGTTCTGCGGCGGGCCAACTGTGCATCCTATGCTTACACGGGATCTGTCGCAGCGCCGCCTCCGTGGCATCAGTCTTCACTGCCCTCTACGCCTCCTGCTCTTTGAGGGCCACCCAAGGCGTTTTTGAAGATGAGGGCTAAATGAAATCTACTAAGTGCTCACAAACATTGCAAACTATAAGGCACACCAAAGCCAGATTTGGATTGAGACAGATAGTGTTCCAGGGACACAACAGTCCGTTTGTGTCGATGTACTTTCAGGCTGACGGAAGCAAGAAACTGCTGAGCATGCGACTCCTTAATCCGCCATTAATATTGAACCCTCCTTCAAAAAAGAAACCAGGAGCGGCGCCTTCGATCGGATCTTCGCCTTTAGGATCATCATCTTTTCGACCCGACACTTGAGTGTCTCCAAGTCTGTGAGGATCTTGATCTGCAACTCTGTCAGATCCAATTCATCCAGGTCTCTCTGGTCCATACTTTCCGCTTGAATATACTCATACGATCCTGCAACCAGAGTGTCATTTTCGGCGAGGCTATCTGAGGCCCTTATCAGCACTCCAGGTCCATAACCGTTCTTGAGCTTCTGCTGCACATCGTTGGCAGGAAGATTGGCTGTGAAGCGTATCAGCCCGTATTTTGTCTTCACGTCCGCCCAATCTTCTTTGTCTTCTCCCTCCGGAGCGGTGCCCCTTTGCGCTGCCTTGGGAGGAAGCGTTTCCCTCACAGCCAGCTTATGCCCCATCTTAACATGTTTTGGATATGCCTGAGCATACAAATTCGGTGTATGATTGAAGTGCAGCGTCTGAAACGTGCTGATGGCAGTTTTTACCTGCAAATGATGTAATCTCGAACTTGCGGTAGCCAAGGACACTCTAATGGTTGATAAGTGGTTGGTGTCGTGTCTAAGCGACAGGAGCGCTATGTTTGTTGGAGATACTTTAGCGAGACGCGACGTCACGGTTGGCGCGGACGCCATTGAGAACTGCATAGAGATTCAAAAGGACTAGTCACAGTGGAATCAGAAGGAAATTATAATACAAAGTAGTCTAGCTTTCATGAAGTGACGTGCCCCTCAAGAACAAAGTCAAGGTGAGTTTTCCGCGGCCGCGCAGGCGCCGGCCGGGTTTCAAGGTTTAGCAGTCGCGTGATTGCAACCCTGACCGGACTCGACCGTCGAGCAGCCTCCAGGTGGAGGCGACTTAAGTTATTTTCGCACCTTGGATGAAAGCGTGCGTTCCGTGCCATGCAGCAGTGAGGAGGACAGGTTTTGTTTCAGAGGTTGGGGCACTGACAAACTGTAAAGGCTTGCGATCCTTTTCAGAGAGACTCGTAATTCTGGATCTCGCTTTTGTCATATCGCTCATATTGCACAAGCTAGCATTTTGTCCAGCTTTTTGCTTCCATAGCACAAGCATTCGAATGAAGATGGCCTGAAACCTGATGCACATGGCATGTGGCAGCCTATACTCGAAGTCATTGTAGCATGCAAAGCAAGCTAGTGGTCTCAAGTAACACGGGTGGAGAACATTAATTTGTGACTTGTGTCCCTTGATGGATAGTCGAAGGGGGCATGCATGGTTATACGTGTTACATCCGGAGGAGGAGGGCAATAAGTCTACATCACGCTGTCGACCTCATCTGATCACGGAGCTCCTTAAGTGCATTGTTCGGGCCCTTCAACTGCACACTATTATTCATGCACGCCCTTTAACATCAGGACTGAATGAGTCGCACCACATGAAGGTATAGGTACCGAACCATACGGCTCGCAAAATGCAGAAATGAGTTGAGACACCGAGCTTTTCCGGTGAGGCAATGGCCCGCGTTCGTTCTAACTGACCCACCAAGCATAATAATGTACATCTGACCCCTTTGTGAATAAACCATCCCTTAGAAAAACCAGCGACGCCGTCGGTCCATTTGGATTTTTTTCTGGACCCCCCTATCTATTTTCTCCAGGTTTGCCAGGATTACTTTCAACATTTCCGTCATTTTTCTCGTCTGCATTCGGTCCAGATACCTCCCGCGGACATACTCGTATGATCCCGCAACTACGATGTCGTTGTTGCACAAGATGAGGCCAGTGTCTGAGGCCCTTACCAACAGTCCAGGCCCGTATCCCGAAGCGAGCTGCCGCTGCACGACGTTGGCAGATTGATTGGGAGAGAAGCGTAACAAGTGCGTCCCTACATCCACCTCTGCCAATTCTGACGCTCCTTCTTCCGGAGCAGTGCCCCTCTGCGCTGCCTGAGGGGGAAGGGCTTCTCTCACAGCCAGCTTGTATTGCCCCTGCTTGACGACGTAGGTTGGGTATGCCTGAGCACACCAATTAAATTGCAACCAGCTCTATTTGGTGCACATGACTGGCTTTACTTGCAACTCAATTGAAAGTGAACTTGCAGTAGCCAAGGGCATCCTGCCCGTCGATGACTCCCATTGGGTGTCGTGCGATCGAAAGGACGGGATTACAGTTCCTTTTACTCGAGTGACAGAAAGACCTGACGTTGCGGATGCCATTGAAGACCTTGCAGTAGTATTCAAGTTTGAAGACGTTGAAAAGTAATACGGTAAATACCTAGCTCGAGTGCATTGAAGTGACGTACTGCATGCCATGCAGCTAGCAGCTAGCAGCTCCTAGCTGCTAGCTAGGCCGGTACTATAGGCCCGCCGGTGGGTTTCCCGCGGCCGCGCAAGCCTCAGGTTTCAGGGTTTAACTGCAGATTGACCGCGACCCTTGTCAGCCGTCCGATCGTTGACTGGATAAATGGACGATAAGACATCCTTCTAGCGGCCTGGTGTCTCGTGGTCCTAACCCAGGATCTGGCGGTCAGTATGCTCTCAATTTATCGAACGGCGCACTGTGACCAGTAGAGAGCGCATTCACACTTGAGACCTCCCTTCTTAGATGGTTGCACTTCAGCATGCACTGAGCAGCATTTTCTGCAGCATTCCGCAGATTTGAAAGTTGACCATTGGCATGGGTGCTTTAATACTACCTAATAGTGACACTGATAGGTATCAAAATCTGATGCCTTGCTGCCAGTCACTAACGTGCAGGAGCCGGTTTTTGCCACAAAAGACCTGGCCAAGCACAGAACTAGCCACTGCTGGCGTGCACGCGACAGTATTGCATCACCAAAGTGTGAGCGGCTTGAGGCACAGCCGACGAACGAAGCGTTTGTGTGCAATAAGAAAATTTGGGCGACATTCTCAGGTGCTTGGCAAAGCTGGCCAGCTTGGTCGATGCACGCGCATTTTGGCGCACAAAGAGGCTGACGGTGGCAAGATGTTGGACAACGTGTCGGAAAACATGGGAATGGATGCTGAAAGTCAGCAGGAGGTGCTAGTGCCTCCCAGCAGCGCTGAGACCGCAGAAATAAGGCCTACAAAAGAACGGCGAAGCTCGGTTGATGAGTGTGTCTTTGTACCGGTTCTGGGGGCTGAAGCGGAGGCGCCTTCTAGCAGTGGCAGAGAGGGGCGTTGGCCGCTCCAATTGCCCTGGAATCTGGAGGCAACAAAAGGAGGGGTTGCGGGCCTTGCATTGGGGCAGTTCCTGTCGCTGCTCGTCACTGCCACCGGCCTGACATCAGCGGTGCTCGCTCAGAAAGGTATCTTGTCTTCCAATTTTCAATTCTCTGATTTTAGAACCTTTCAGTATACTGGAACACGGCGATGAAAAGGTGGTAAGGTGGTAAGGTGCAGAGACCTTTGGCAGTGAGCCACAAGAGTGTGAATCTGTGAGCTGCTTGCATCTGCTTAAGTGAAGTGGGCGATCAAGTGGTTACCATTAGAATGCTCGGGCACTCGCTACTTCCTGTCAAGATGGTTAGCTCTCTCTAACTTGGAAAGCACTGATTCATAAAGATTGTCTTTTCATTGATGGTGGGTGGTGGTTTGCCTGGCAGCTTCTTGCCAGCAACTAGACATCAAATGAGGGTTGTTAAGCGATATTTAGCTGTTCCTTCTTCTGATTTGAACAGGTGCTCTCAGTGGTGCCCTGATCTTACTCCCGGAAGGCGCGCTTGAGATTTTGAGCAGAACTTGGGTTCCTGCTTTTGATGGCATGCGCTCTGTGGGGCATAGGAAGGGCCTGGGTCCAAGAAGACAGTTTCTTTTCTATTGTCCGCTCGTAAATCAAGCAGAGAGGTGTATTGCTGTCTCAAACAGGATTGCAACGACTTTGCTCGTCTGTGAGTTGTTCCCATCCGCCTTTGGAGGCATGAGCCCCTGCGTATCATCCCTTTCTGTCTTACACATCTAGGCTCTAATGCCGTACAACCTAAACTCTCCGTTTTGAAACAGTCTTGACACTTTGTAAGTCTCTGCTGCAGGTGTAAATATCCCCACCACGCAAGGCTGGCTCAACTACCTCCTGCTTACAATTGTATACGGGGGTCTGATGCTCAAGAGGAAGAAGCGGCCCCAGGCAAGTTGGCTCTTCATGCACTATCGCCCTTCCTTGTTAGCCTTCAAAATAAATGTTGAAACTGAGGGTGAAGTACCATAGTCTGCTTCTCTGTTTCTCAGCAAAGTTTTCTCTCTGGATCTTCCGTCAAGATCCTATCTCTGCTCTCAAACGGGTGAATTAACCGCAGAACATGCTTTCGTTGATTGCACCGTGAAGAAATGAACCGGCATCTTTGGGGGTCAAGTAGACGTGACAACAAGCAATTTTGCGAGCTTCTTGTGTTCTGTTACTTGTCGGTGGATATGGAGCTGAAAGACTTCGAAGCTGAGGGCTCGAGTGTCAAAAATCAGGACATGATTGTTTCTTTTTCCTTGTCAACGGTTTACTCTTGTCTGCAAGACCCCCTTGAAAGTGTACCCCCTACTTCGTTCCTTCACAGCATGAGGTGAAAGCAACTCGAAGCTTCAAAACCGTGGAGTTGTTGAGACTTTGAAGCAGCTGACGTCTCAGGATCCAACGGTTTTGGAGCTTCGAGTGCTTTCGGAAGGCCCGCTGTCACGTCTCCCTCTTCCTGCCTTCCTTTTCGTTCGTCCTATCTTCTCAAGTTCCCCCCTCCCTGTCAAGCTTTACTAGCGCTGCTCCCTCACAACTCTAGTCGTCGAGGCTTTGTGATGACTCGTATTTAAGGGTACCCTTTACTGCCCCGGTCTCCCACCATCCAGGGGTACTCTATTGCTATCATAAAGAATGAGAGTTTGTCGTTCTTCTCTACAGGTCCCTTGGTACGTCTACGCTCTCCTCGCGCTCATCGACGTGGAGGCCAATTTCCTCGTAGTCCGCGCATACCAGTACACGAGCATCACCAGCGTGATGCTCCTCGACTGCTTTACCATCCCGTGCGTGCTGCTGCTCACGCGCCTAGTTCTCAAAACGCGCTACGCAGCGCGCCACTTCGCGGGCGTTGCGCTCTGCCTCAGCGGCCTCGTGCTGCTCGTGCTCTCGGACGTCCATTCTGCGGACCGTGGAGGTGAGCGTCCGTTCTCCCCGCCTTGTTTTCACCTTTTTATCACTCGGTCTCGAGGTTGGGACCCTTTTTGAAATCTAGAGTTGTAGTGCGTTGGGGCGTTCCAATCGGACCTCTTGTCCGGCAGACTACAAGATAAGCGTCCGATTCGCAACTCCTCTTACGGTGGAATAGTTGCTCCTCTGGTCAATTGTCAGTACCCGGTTTCTACAAGTCGGCCCGCTTCTCTGTGCCATTTCCCCAACCCACCTTTTCCTTTGCAATCGGGTGGCAAGGCGACGGTTGCAGGTAAGTTCCTCGTTTTGGACATAGCCAATCTTCTGCAAGCTTCCATTAAGAGAACTTTCTTGCACTTCCAAACGACTAGGCGGTCCGCCTTACCGCACGCATACCTTAGTCCGCAGTTTCGTTTTCCGCGGTAGCATGGCGGTGCTTATGGGCAATAGCCGTTTGCTCAGAACAGCCGTGCCTTTCTTCGCACCGTTTTCGAAAGCACTTCTCAGACTCGGCCAACCCGTTTTTTGCACAACAGCACCGTCCCTCTGTCCGGCTCATCCCCAAGTTACTCGCTCCATTCACCCCCCTAAAGTAATCCTTTCTCCTCCAGGCGGCAAAGCGGTGCTTGTTGACGACCTCCTAGTCCTGGCCACAACCCATATTATGCCCGCTCTGTTTTACAAACATATCTTCAGCTCCTCCTTACCCGTTCTTGGGCTACTGTCTCCGTTTCACCTCCTAGTCCTGGCAGCAGCTCATTCCGCGCCCGCTGTCTTTTCATTATCTCCCCCGCCCAGCGTCCGCCGGTTCGGCCTATGTTTCCGGTCTCCTTTCGAAACCCGCTCTTTCCTTCCGATAGGCGGCAAGGCGGTGCTTGTGGGCGGCTTTCCTTCTGGCCGGAGCCGAATTTGCGCCCTGCACTGTTTACCACCAATTTTCTCGCCCGTTCATACAACACGGCCGATTTCCCAAACTTATCAATGAGCTCGCTCTCTTCTTTCCCCCAGGCGGCAAACGCAGTGCTTGTTGGTGACCTGCCACTTCTGGCCGCCACTGTCCTGTGCGCTCTGTTTCCATCTACTCTCTCTCGTCAACTGAAAACGCGGCTCTTTTTCCGCTCTCTCATTGTGATCCGCTCCATTTTGCCCCCCAGGCGGCAAAGCGGTCCTGGTGGGCGACCTTCTGGTCCTGGCCGCAATAAAATCCGCGCCCGCTCGATTTTCAGAAATGTCCGGTCCAGCTGGCCCAATTTCCTTTCTAATGCAGCTCTCTTTTTCCCCCCCAGGCGCCAAAGCGATGCTTGTGGGCGACCTCCTACATTTAGCGCAAGCAATCCGCCGGCTCAGCTTTCCAAATATTCGCCGTCCAGCTGCAATTCCTCACACATTACGGCCTGATTTTCCGCATCTTCTTTGAGCGCACAATCCCCCTTCTCCCAGGCGGCAAGGCGGTGCTTGTGGGCGACCTAGTCCTAGTCCTAGTCCTAGTCCTGGCCGCCGCTTATTCTGCGCCCGCGCTGTTGCCAAATAACTTTTGCGCCGAGCTGCCATCGTTTGGTTCAAAACGCCGATCTCCATCCTGAACCCGCCCTCTTATTCCCCCCCAGGCGGCAAGGCGGTGCTTGTGGGCGACCTCCTAGTCCTGGCCGCAGCCACGCTGTACGCCGGGAGCAACGTCGGCGACGAGGCGCTGGTGAAACAAGTCGACCGTACGGAACTTCTGGCGATGGTGGGCGCGTACGGCCTCGCCTGGAACACGCTGCAGCTGCTGTTACTAGAGCGGCGAGAACTGGCGCTCGTGCGCTGGTCCTGGGGGACCGCGCTGCCGTTCGGTGGCTTCTCGGTCGCGCTGTTCGCGTTCTACTCGCTCGTGCCCTTCATGCTGCAGGTGAGGGGTTTCTATTCCCTCTTTGGTTTTTCTCTAATTTTTGGGAAGGCATTTGAAGCTTTCCGCAGTCTTGGGCTTTCACAGTTGCTCGTGCCCCTCATGCTGCAGGTGACGGCGGGTTACTTTCGTTTGCTAAAGAAAGTGTTTTAAGACTAGGGGAGGCGTTCGAGGCACCGCTCTTTTTGCGGTTCGTTTTTCGTTCCCTTCATGCTCCGGCCGGACGACTTTTTTCTTCCCTCTGAACTTCTCTCATCGCGGAAGGCGTCTTAGTTTTTCACAATCTTTGCGTACTTTCTGCCCCCTGTGCTGCAGGCCAGGCGGCTTTTGGAGCGTTTCTTCTATTTCTTCCGCTGTGGGATGCGTTTGAAGCTCCCGTGCTCTTCGCGTTGACTTGCTCGAGCCCTTTATGCTACGGGCAAGGGGGTCGTTTTGTTTATCTTGAAAATACCTCGCTGCGGGAGGCGTTTGAGGCTCCACGGTCTTTGCCTTCTATCTGCTCGTGCCCGTCATGCTGCAGTCGAGGCAGTTTTCAGTGGTGTTCCTTTTAAAGCTTTCGTGGGAGGGGTCCGAAGCGCCGTTCTCTTTCTGTGCATTCTGGTAGTATCCGCTGGGTGCCTGTGCCGGATCATGCATTTGGACAAGCTCAGGACCAGCTTGACTCCCAAAGACACTTGTTCCGGTTGTTCTTGTCCGCCTGCATTCATTTCACCTGTGGCCGGCCTTTTTAGACATCTACACTCTCGTCTAGACTCCCGGGACACCAAGGACGGGAGCCCGGAAAATGCTGAAGCGTTGCTGGTCTTGCCGATACCGACTTACCGACCCCTTTTTGCCATGCAGATCAGGACCACGAGTCGAGACACCAGACTTTCTCTGACCACTTGGCCTTGAAACCCTAAACCCTCTGACAATGTGAAAACTGCAGAACACCTAACCCTGAAACTCATTTCTTGCAGATGAGTGGCTCCGCGCTCTTCAACCTGTCGCTGCTGACCTCAGACATGTGGGCCGTCGCTGTGCGCGCCCTCGTCTTCAGACAGCCGGTGAGGCCGCTTTTCAAAATCTTGATCCATTGAACAGCAACTTTCTGGGTTTCACCAAACCCTAACCTCAAATTTGACTCGCTCCGCAGCCGGACCCACCCCAAACCCTAAGCAATTCCACCCGTTTCAGTCACTGAGGATCGCAATCGCTTTCCCGACGTCCCTCGTCGGCTTATGGAAAGGTCCAGATATGCCGACAATGAGGGATTGGTGCTGCGTCAATGGATAGAAAGGTGTCTTCTATGTAGCGGATCGTTTGTCACTGAGGGAGCTCGACATTGCCTGTCAGCTTCATATGCGCCGCTTTCTGGGCGTCAGAGGGGCTGTGGTGTGGTGAAACGCTCTTCAAGCTGTCGAGTCGGCTTAGAAACTGTTGACTGACTGCATCGGTTGAGAGGATGCCGACTTTATACACTGCCTGAGCAGGTGCTAAAATCCAAAAATTCTAGCTTCCACCCTCAGCTCTTTCCCCGTGTTCCAAAATATCTGCACGGTCGTTCTTTCAAAGCGCGCCTTTGACATAAAAAGTCGCCACTGGAAATCCGAACTGAACACGGGAGGCCTATCAAGACCAACCGCCGCCGCCCTCACTTTTTGGTGTGCTGCATCGATTGCAGGTGGATTGGCTGTACTTTGTTGCATTCTTCGCCGTCAGCATAGGCCTCGTCCTGTATACCCGTGGGGAAGACGAGGAAAAAGAAACGGGTCAGCCGGTCTCGTCAAAATACCTGCGGTTAGACACAAGTCGAGAGTCCAAGTGTAGCTCCCTAGGAGAGTCGCCAGGTGGTGCAAAATTCAATCACAGCCTTGACGGATTTGATGGTGTCACTGACCGGGAAGGGAATCCAACAGAGAAGAACACTCGCCGCTTCGAATGCGAACAAAGTAGGCCTTCTGATATGCATATGGAGAATGAACAAGAGATTATTTGAGTCGCTTTGAGAGCAAAAGCTACAGTCTTAGGAGTTGGAGGTTGATTGAGTCGATGTCTGCTTGGGCAGCGCCTAACATACCGGTAAATCATGTGTGCCCTAACAGCTGTGTGCCCCAACATTAGTAGACCCCGAGCCACCAAACAAAAAATCTCAACCCAAGAACTATACGTACGCTCCTCACCCCAACCCACCCTAACCACCAGGCCGACCGCACCCGTCCCCGGGGCGCCTATCTTAAGGGACATTGCGGTTAGGGCACACAAGAGTTATAAAAATGCGCCTCCTTATTCAAGAGTACGCGTTACTAACTGTTGTGCAATGATGCAACAAAGGCGACATAAACAGACTCGAAGAAGCCGGGTGCATGGCAGAGCACATTGACAAAGCGAGGGCCAAGGAAGGAGGATTTTGACAGCGCAACAGCTGAAAAGTAGCACACTAGTGCATAGATAAGCATTTTGTGGCATCGAATTGACGTGGGCCCGCCTGATTGATTGACTTGATCTTCTTATTTTTCGGGCTCCAGCCAAAGCTTCGCTGAAAGAGACATTGCGTTGGAAGTGTATAGCCGACATAATAGACCTGCCGCTAGCAAGCATGGAATACTGAGATCAGGTGTTACTGAGATTGTTGTTGCCAAGACGTCGAATTCAAAAGCTTTGGAGCAAAGCTTGCCCGAGCTCCTAGATCTGTGGCATGTCATGATTGTATGGCATTTCAAACCGTACGATCCAACCAGTGCGCGGCCTGGCACCCAAACATGTCCGATAAGTGCTGCGATTCCTGCACAAATCCACCCTATCAGCTAGTCCATTGCGACCCCATTGCGACTCCCACCAAAGGTGGTTATTCGTTGAAGCGCTGTAGTTTTCGTGGAACAATGATATACCTATTAAGAGAGTTGGTTGCCGCGCTCGCAACGCAATCCTCGGACACCAAGTACAACGGGCGCTGGTTAAACTGCAGATTGAGAGCTACTTCTGATTACAGAAGCTATGAAAGGTAAAAGGTTATCCTGACCCAGCTCACCTCAATGCCAATATGTCTGGCGTTCATTGTGACGACATTATCGTTTGACACCTTATTATCATCTCGAGTACGCCCGGTAATGACACATTTTATTCGTTCTCTGATTGGTCGAAATCGTTTACCATTGACTTCGTTGACCACGAAGTCGCCTGATTGAACAAAGCGCACCCCGCCCTAGATCGTACATCCAAAAGATCGACACCGTCCAGCTTCCAATCCGACGGCAGAAAAGTACCTAGTCTAGTACACCAATGAACCGTCCAGGCCCTTATGATAGTACTAAGTATATATGCTTAAATCACAATTACGGTAATTCGTGTCAGCCGGTCTCCGCGAACCCACAAAGCCTTACGTCCCCGAGGTGTGGATATGGTACATTCTGATATCAGAGCCATACACATCGTGGTCGTGTACGACTTGTGTACAACTTTGGCACGAGGAATATGACATGGGTACAGTACAAGCATCCTGTACACGGCCTGTACCAGGGCTGCACAGTACACGCGAGGTACACGCTTGGCACAAAGCTTGTGCCACTCAGACACATCCAAGGCATGGGTTTCAGAACTGACATTGAAAGAGCACCCAACGCGCACATGAAGCGCATGGCTGGCGCACCTCGCGTAGACGCTTGGCAAGAAACTAGTACCGCGACCGTCGGTCCAAACCGGCCCGGCTGCCCCGCGCTGCTGGCCGGGCGGAAGCGGGTTGCGCGGCGCCCGGTTGTACACCACAGTCGGTACCAGACCAGTAGCTACCTCAGTACTGTGTGCGTCAGGTATTCACCTGTAACTGCCGTGTCCAATTTTTCCACGTGGCTCATCGGAGGCTCCGTATGGCAGGAGTCCAGACCATCGACGGTCCCACGGATTCTACTCCGACCTTGAGAGGCAACGGTCACCCAGTTTCAAAACCGTAAACAGATTTCAAGGCAGAATACTTATGAGGAAGGCGCCAAACTTCTCCTTAGTTTTCAAGAAGCGCAGTATTATTAATCAAGCACCTGCGCCATGTTGAGCGTCCAGTGAGGTGAAGAGTGGAGGATCAAGCAATGCCGCGGCAGCAAATTCGGGTCTGTGCAGGGGGCTTGCAGGATGGCAAGTCGGAAACACTGGAAAGGTTCAGAGGTGAGCTTAATTGCATTGGGCCGGTCCTTTAAAGCAGGTGAAATGTCTCATATGAAATATGTGGGCTGATCAGCTGGATGCAGCGTCACAGTCAGGCTGCAGCTTAAATTCTAGGTTTGCAACTTTGGGCCTGAACATGCATGCTATGCTCTTTTGTTAAACCATAAGTTCCTATAAGTTTGTTCAATCTTGGTTCAATCTTGCAGCCTTTTCACTGATGTGCTAGGTAATGAAGAGCTTGCTGGAAGATTCGTGACTGAAGAATATTCATGAAGTTCTTACCAATTCTCCAGCTGCCAAAAACCAACTCAAGCACTATACAAACACAGTTGGAGGCAGGAGAAAGGCCACTCTTTCTGTTCTTTGAAAGTCAAGCAGGGATCATTTAGGGGTAAGCTTCCAATCTTACAGTCTCTTGGCTCTCTGTCCAGAGCTTAAGCTTAGCTGATTAGGCTAGATTGCAATTGTCAGTCTTGTAAGCCAAGCAATACTTCATAAGTGACTCTAGATTAGTTGCATTCTAGTTGCATAGTAGCAGCATGCAGGGTACCTTCATATGCTGTTTAGATTTGTCAGTGAGGACCTTCTGCCCAGCCCTCAATGCTTCAACTTTCATATTGAGGTTGCGCTGACGTCATCGGTAGATGACTATAATGTGGCATACATTCTGCAAAGTAGCCTCTGCATGTTCTGCAAGTCAGACCACTTTGTGAGTCAGGTAGGATCGGCCTTACAGCAGCAGACTGTTCTTCAATCACATTTGGCATTGGGTAGACAACAGGCTTCAGCTGGCACCAACTGAGGAGTACTTTGAGGTGAGCTGCCGGGACCTCAAAGCCGGCGAATCAATTGACCCCTACAAGCTCGTGTTGAGGCATCAGAAGGCGCTTGTCAGTGCCAACATCAATCAGAAGCAGCTTATCAGCCTTTCAAAAACGTCACAATGTCAGAGTACTGATCAGTCCACATGCGCATGCTTCAAGTACCAATCCCATGCAATTGCGATACCAGTCTCGTACATCTGCAATGGTCGAAGATGAGCTGACATCAGAAGTGCATTGAAGGCGCACACTCTTGGTCTCTTTCGTGCGCACAATGTGTACAGCAAACGCATGGTCAGGGCATCCTGCACCATACAGTCTGTGTGTGGTGCACGATCGTGTACCTGTCGTGTATCAATCAGTAAATCCCCAATACACTGTGGCCTCGTGTACCATAGTGTACCGGATTGATACCGGAATGTACCCGAATGACACCAGAATGTACCCTGGCAAGTTTTGAGATGTACTTTGATAAGCCCGAAAGATAGTGTCCGCCCGCGAAAGACTACAAGCTACAACCGAAGCTACCTACCCGGTGACACTTGGCCAAAAGTCGGAGCCGGTTAGCCAGCTGGCCCTGCATCTTAACCCGAGTAAGGTGGCCATTCTCTTTGTCAAATTCATGCATTACCGGTACCTAGGTAGTAGGTACTGTGAGTGACTGAGGTACCAGGTACCGGTACTAGGTACCTAGTCTAAGTAGGTACTAGCTGCAGTACGTGGCAACTCCGTTCTGGCCGGCCCAAGGGCATGAAAGGGGCTTGTCTGCTAGGGTTTCCTGCTCGGGGACGGGTAGGGTTGGTTTGGGGGTTATGGTAGGTAGGTGTGCGGAGCGCGTGAGACTCTGGGTTAGGGGTATTACTAAGATGCCCGGGGCCTCTCAATCTTAGGAGGCGAGCCCCTCAGGAGACAAGGGAGTTGCAACTTGCCATGCGTTATAAATGATTGCGACCCTGTTTTCCTGCTTCACTTACTTCTTCCAACTGCATCATGCAGCATTCCGTGGCCGTCATTAATATTCAATTTCAACCCGCAAATTGTGGGCTTCAAGGCACAAGTTGAAGTTACAATGGGCCTGGCCCAGGCTGGAACTGCCCAGTAGTACCTACTGTACCTAGCTGGTAACAGTACTGTACGTAGACTGTACAGCCGACAGGTACCTACATAGGTAGCTTAGGTAGGTACGTAGGTAGGAGACTTCAATGGTACACAGAAGTGGCACACCAGTGCACTGGCAGTTCCAGCTGCTTCGAAGTATTTTCAGAGGTAGGTACATTGACAAAGCTCACCTGCTTTCTCAGAGCCTCGAGAACCAGATAGGTACCCAGCTTATCTACTTCAAGGTGCCTAGTTTCCCTGAGCAATGCTTCCCTTCAGTTCTCTAAACTTCGAACTGAAGTTGCCAAGATTATTGTGCTGCTGCTTGCTCCTTCCAAAATGGCGCCCTTCATATTGAGCACGTCTTGCAACGTCTACGCCGTGCTTGGCGTGTGCCTAGTCTTCTTCAGCCTCATGAGCAACAGCCAGAGCCTCTCACGAGCGGCAAACGTCCAGACGTGTGCTGCAAACCAATGTCCCTCGGGTGTTTGTTCAGGCGAGGGTGCTTGCTGCAACGATGGCGAGAACCCGACCCTTTGTGGGGGTGAGTGCTGTTACCTCGGCAGGGACGGGGACAACAAATGCTTCGGGGACGCGGCCGAAGGCGTGTGCTGCTCTATTGCCTACAACGCCAACCCCACCAACTGCGGGGGACAGTGTTGCTACCGCTCGTGCATTGGCAATGCAACTGTTGGGACTTGCTGCCCCGAGGGTTACAGTTTGTGCGGGGGGGACTGCTGTGGTCCGCAGCCTGGGGGAGAGACGAGCTGCAATGGGGATGCAGTGACAGGGCAGTGTCTCTCAACAACCATCAAAGGAGGCCTTCTTTGTGGGGGCAACGAATGTTTCCGGGACTCTGGGGGCCCTGTTCCCTACACGGTCTGCATTGGCGACGCATTGGCAGGCGTCTGCTGCTATGACTCTGACGCCACAGAGGTCTGTGGGGATGGTCGTTGTTGTGGGTATCCCTATGACGAGGAGACCAGCACCGCCTGCGCTGCTGACGTGGCCCAAACCAACCAACCCTCAGCATGCTGTGGTGGAGGCGAGGTCAACTGCAACGGCTACTGCTGCGACACAGCCGACGGGTACACGTGTGACACTGTTCTCGGAAACTGCTGCGGATCGGAGGAGGTGTCTTGTGGCCTGGGCCAGTGCTGCGACGAGTCTTCATTATGTTTAGAAACCAAACCTGGGGACGCCTCCTCCGGTACCTGCTGTTACAGTCCGCCAGGCAATGGTGCTCCTCCCGTTATTTGCGGGGGGAACTGCTGCTATCCTGGCTTCGGAGACACGTGTTACGGCGACGCTACCACAGGAGTTTGCTGTCCCCAGGGCGCTGTTCCCCTTGGGGGCATGTGCTGCAACGACGGTGCTACACTCTGTGGGAGTGGGTGCTGCAATGTCCAGACTGGGTATGAGGTCTGTCATGAGGCCTCCGGAGTCTGCTGTTTCAAAGATGACGTCCCCTGTGGGAACGATTGCTGCAGTCCGGGGTACTCGACCTGCCAAGGCGACCCCTCGTCGCCCTCCGCAAAGTGCTGCCAGGAGGGCTCGGTGTTGTGCGGGGGTTCTTGCTGCGATGAGACACGCTATCAGCAGTGCATTGGGAATGCTACCTTAGGAGCCTGCTGTTACAAGCCGGCAACCACAGAAGACACGCCTTACACACTGTGCGGAGGGCAATGTTGTCACACCGGCCAGTACGATAACCGGGGTGGTCCGACCAGCGTTTGCTTTGGAGACGAGGTTGAAGGAGTGTGTTGCGACGAGTCGATCAACCCAGAAGTCTGTGGGGGTCGATGCTGCAATGGGGGTCACTGCATAGGCAATGCAACCGTGGGGAACTGCTGCAGATATGACTTGACTATTTGTGGGGGCGAGTGCTGCGACCTTAACGGCAATGGGTACTACTGCCTACAAGCTGGAACACCTAAAGAAACCTGCTGCTATGGAGACCAGAGCACTGTTTGCGGGAGCCAGTGTTGTGACGCTGCCCAAGGCTTCAACTGCTTGGTGGATGGGGCCACAGAGCTATGCTGTTATGGCGACGGCGCCACCATATGCGGAGGTCTTTGCTGCACGGGAGCTTGTATGGGGGATGCACAGGATGGAACGTGCTGCTATGGGGCCAGTAACCAGTTCTGTCTGAGTAAGTGCTTCTCTCCTTCCTAGATTGCTTTGCGTCAATATTGATTCGACTTCTTTCATGCTAGCGTGACTGGTTATCTCCTTGTCTTTGTAAGGAGCTTCACCTGCTAGAGTAGACCATGTTCGTCCTTCCTTGGATGAGTCTACGAAAGTCGCCTCATTAAAGAATGCTTGTTCAAGCTTCAATAAGCCGGAGTTTGTTCAAAAGAAACCGAGTTTGTTCAAAAGAAATTGATGTTGGAGCCTTCTAGCCAAGGAGCCGACTCTGTTGTCCAACTAATTCAAACCCCTGGAACGGGTTTCCAGCCCTTGCAATTTATAAGCTGGCAAGCTTTGAGAAGAAGTCTTATTTAACGTGCATCAAAAGAGCCAAATTCCTGATCTTTGAGTACAGTATGTAAACGGTTTTTACAACTTTGTCAATTCTTTGTTCAGGGTAGAAGAAAGAGCATGGTTCAACGTCAAGGAAAAGAAAAAAACCTTCCAATCCTGCAAACAGGTCTTCTGAATGATTATGCTGGAACTTGTCCTGAAAGGTCCTGATCAACCAAGCTTCTGTTTTAAATCCTTTGCTTAGAACAAGCTGACGTTGGTCATTCCTATAGGTGGCTCTGGCCATGGAGATCCGCATTACCGGCTGGAAGGGTTCCCTGACGGCAAAGTCCTGGAGTGGGACTTTCACGGCAGAAACAACAAGTGCTACTGCATGGTCTCAGACACAAGACTTGCGGTGAGCACCACCAACTCGTTCAGCTGTTCCGCTAGAGATGTTTATTTTCGAAGGCTGATGTTGTTGGCGCACGTTTGTAACTGAACGCTCTGGAGCTTTTGGCAAGAGAGGCGGATCCGGATAATCCTTCTCAAATGAGCACCTTACAAACTTCAGCAGATCAGCCAAACTGTCTTCTCATACATTGTTATCTGCTCGGAGTAACTTATCTAGAGCTTCAATTGTCAGCTACGAAAGCCCTTTGCAGACATCAAAAGAGCCATGCTCGATTTTGGCGACAGCTTTAGGTACCGGCGACTGGCCAGCTGATAGGAAGGAATCTGGACTGAGCAACCGTTTGTGTGTATCTTTCCTATTCTCGAAAGCTTCGTATGGCGTGGCAGATAATCGCTTGAGCTTGTTACTCGAGGAGCTTGCAAGCCTGTTCTTTGAGGTTTCCAACCAAAGTTATGAATTTTTGAAGTCGTTTGTTGCTCTACGGAAGCCACATGCTGAGTTGGAGCGAGCGAGAAGTTCTCATCGCAATATCAGGCTCGCTGCAAAGCCGTTGAACCACACAGATAGACACCTCTTCATAGGTGGCAGCTTCATCTGGCTCTTACGGTAATTGCTTCTTTCTATGTCGCAACAATTTAGGATTAGTAGAACTTAGAAATAGTAAGCTCAAACCAAACTTCAAAGCCCAACCTATAAGAACTACCTACTCCGCTCCCGTACCCACCATAACCCTAGTAGTTCTAAAAAGTCATTGCTTCTTCTTGCTTTCCAGTTGACGGTACACATGTTCTCCCTGGCACCGGACGCCCGCATTCTGGAGCGTCCGGAAGACGACGGACTGAACCTTTTTGAGGGCACGTGGATGGACGGGCTGGGGATCCTGTACATTGACGACAGGGGAGAGCAAAAGAGCATCGCCATCGTCCTGAACACCGATCTGGACCGCGCCGGAGAGGCACCCTTTGAAGTCACCTTCGAGGGGGATGACGTCACCGCTGCCGTCAACGTAAGTTGAATGACAGCATGCTGGTCATCCGTTCAAATCAGATTTTGAGTTGCAAGCGGGTTTTCAGTTTTGCCTACCCGCAGGGAGTGTGATGAACAAGTTTGAACATACTTCGATCGATTATTTCCTAAACGCCATCACAGTCTATTAGTCCTGGATATTTGTTAGCTGCACGTAGCACAAGCAGAATGCCATTGATACCACCAGTCAGTCTCACAAGTACGTTTCCAAATCCAAGCTCAAACCTTCTTTCCATCCGCTTCTGTCCGATACATCCGTGTTCACGAAGGCTCCGCTCAAAATCCATCTTGTTGATTGCTTACTTCCCCAGGCATCGAGCAGACGACGTCAGCAAGCGGATGAAATAGCAGTTTTGTTACTCAGAAGTGACATTGGACAATTGTTATGGGAACCTCGAACCTTGAACCTGATCCTGCAGGGCCCCGATAATCAGTGGACAAGCCCTGACGGCACCTCTCGGATCCGCCGTTCCGCCGATCGCGCCAACGCCCTGTCCGTTTCCGTTGCCGGACTCCTGGAGATGGAGGTTGTGAGCGACGTCGAGAAGGAGCTTATTGCGGACCCGCCCGTCCACTTCCTCAACTTCGACATTAAAGCCATCGCCAACACAGCAAACGTGCACGGGGTAAAGCACTCTCCTCGGGGTTGCTTCTTTTCTTGCCAGTGGGATGTCTATTTGCTGCCCGTCGATTCTAGCCTTGATTCCGGCTCTTTCTTTCTTGGCATGCAGATAATTGCCCCTCACCTTGTTTGCAAACTGCTCCGCGTTTGATGTATCCCTGAAGATTTCTTGAGGCTCCTGAAAATCATTTGGGGCGGACGCCCCTTCCTAGGTCCTGGGCTCAGTATTCGCCGTCCGAACTCTTGAACTTAACCGTACCGTTTTCTCCCCTTCCTAGTTCCTGGGGCAAATGTTCGCCCCCGGAGCGGTCGACGAGCGGCTGGCGATGGGCACGCTCGAGGGGCTCCGCCACCGCGAGTACGTCGAAGGCACCGATGACGACTACCTCACCTCGGGGCTGACGTCAGCGGACTGCGGCTTCAGCCGCTTCGGCGAGGTGCGGACACGTGTCACGATGCGCTCTATCAGTAGATACGGGAGGACTGCAAATAGAAGAGCTTCACTTGTTCCGGCTCTGTTGGCGCGCTCTGCTTGTTGGTGCCTGATCCTCGCAAGAGCGTACTCAATGAGTCGCATCTCTGGTGCGCCCCGTTTGGTCTTGAAAGCCCCAGCCTCTTCTGAACCTTTCTAAAACCTAAGACCCTGACATGAAAATCTCGTTGAAATAGCCTTCTGCACTCGTTTGGGTACTTACTAACAGACGCATGCTTGCAACTCAACACCACTGTCATCCTCCTTCTTTCAGGTGCCGGAAAATTTGGTCGTGGATCCACTGGTTGCTTCCTCTCGCCGTCTCTTCTCGACGGCCGACTATGAGCTTCCCGTCACCAAGTCAGCCGTTTGCCGGCTGGTTGGGAAAGGGAGGAATGCTTTTATGTGTGCCTGAGATTGGACGACACTCCCAGGCAAGGAGAACGGCATAAGTTGCTACTTAGGGACTCTTTTAGATTTGTGGTTTCTCATGGTTTTGAAGTGGTTGCGTTTTTGTAAACAGTGGCCAGGTCAAGGAACCCGCTTGAGTGATTTGGTAGCAAGTTGGGATTTGCATCTTGTACGGGATAGCTAGGACAGCTCAAAGTAGGTTGCCGCTCTTATATGGGTCAATTCTAGCTAGTTTGGATCAAAAGAATCAACCTCAACTCCATGTGGTTTTGAGTAAGAAAAAACGTCAAAAGAAATGGTCTACGGTAGTACTGAGTGGTTCTGAAAAAGCGTCCAAAGGAATGGTCTACGGTAGTAGTACTGAGTGGGTCTGGAAAAACCATCGAAAAAAAATGGTCTACGGTGGTACTGAGTGGGTAAAAAAAACATCAAAAAGAATGGTCTACGGAAGTGCTGAGTGGGTATGATCAGGCGTCAAAGGAAATGGTCTACAGTATTACTGGGTGGGTCTGACGTTGTAATATCTTCGGGAGCTCAATGAAGGTCAACTGGTGGAGTCCAGGACGTCGATCAGATTAACGTTTTCAGGAAAGGTGTTTATGTCCCTGTCAAATTCAATGCAAAAACTGAGTCTCTTTGAGGGGGAGGTTTGCACTAAGGGTCGCTGATCCAAAGGATTGATGGGCGGTCCCATCCGATCGCAATGTTTCGGACAGTCCTGATTTGGTATTATGCATGGACTCTCGTGAGCGATACGATACTTGTTTCAAGCAGAGGGAGCATGAAGTTGCATGCGGGTGTAATCATCGACTCTCTCGACTATATTTAAACACTTGCCGTCAAACCCGGATGCAATGATCCCTCGGAGTCGGCCCGGGTCCCACGGGATATAAAAGCGGTCAGTTGGGCCATGTGCAGCACATATAATTTCTTGCGCGTGCAGTCCAATGAAACAGCGGCCAGTGAGCCACACGAATTGTATACTAACGCAGGTGGCGCTGACACCACTGCAGCATCGGCAAGTTTGGTAAACGGGCGCATTCCATGGAATCTACTTTAATCAGCAGAAATACATGGATTTGCACAGACATGACCCCAAATGATGTTTCATGACGCATGACAGGTGGCAATAGTGCTGACCCAAATGAACCAGATTGGCCTCAGCATTCAGCGTCGCACATCATGCGACAAGACAGGAAATGACTCAGCGCTTGAAGCAGGTGATGAAAGGGAATCAAGCAAACAACCCGAAGTTTCTTCAAGTCCTCTAGTCACTAGGTTCTCGCAGTGGACGCATTGAATCCCGTCTTGCTTAGAAACCATCACAGTTCTAGCCCAGTCCAAAATGATATCGCCCCTGAAGCCTATCATTCACTCCGTACTCTAACCGGATCGGTCCAATCGGTGACATCACCCGAACGCCTCCGCCGAAACCGTACCCCTTGCCTGGCCGGCCTCGTACCCCGGCAGGATCCCCTGCATCAATCGACAGAAAACGATTTGAGAGGTGTTTCACAATCGAGATTGTAGAGATATCAATCAACGGAAAAGGTTTGGTCGGATGTTTTGCAAAAACGAAACTTGAGGAATCGGGAATGGTCACAGGGCTGCACATGTAGGACAGCACAGCAACCGCCCCTGACAGAAATGCACAGACGTGATCCATGTGCAACCGACCCGAGTAGCTTGCTCGAACGCGTTTCCATACGTCTGCATTCACTCTCTGCATTTGAAAAACAATCAAAGACAGTTGTCCGTAAAGCTTCTGCAAAGAGGAGGAGGCTGAGCGCCAACGTCAAGACTGCAAAGCGCGAGTGCAAACGACGTGCGTATTCCTTAAATGTCGCAAATCTGCTTACCTAGCACATGTTTTCCTGAGCCGAAGTCCGTGGCAGCGTCAACGAAAAGGACGCCCTCCAACAGGTTTGGCTTCTGCATGACAAGCGGGCCAGGAAGTGAGCATCAGAGACTTGATAATTGAAAACCCGAAGATAGTGTCAAATACTCAAATGCCGTTCTCCGTGAGGAGCAGTCTTCAACAACAACGAGCGCGAATCAAGCAACATACTGTGATCCATTAATCTGGGCACAGCGCTTTGAGCCTTGTCCAGGGTTTGCAGAAGGTTGGAAACCGTGGACCGGTAATTGGCAGTTTTGTCATGTGAGACAGCAGCAACGGCCTTCCCATTCCCTCAGAAACAACAAGCTTGGTCGAAGACGACTGTACCGTGCAAGATATGTTAAGAACACTGGGCAACGGCTTTTGTCTTCTGCAGGCTTCCTCGCGAACCAAACTCAGAACCAGCAAAATCTGGTTCAAAAACGCTGGCAAGATATGCAAGATCCTTGAGCATAAGTAGGTCAGGCTTACAACGGGGATGATCGCTTCTAGGCTCCCCGACACGTGCGACTTGCTGGTCCCCAGTTCTCCGTCCTGCCAGCCCCGGACCGAGCCCGTCCCGCCCAGCTCAAAAGCGTCGTACGGCGCCAGATCGCCCACTACGGTACCCGCTTGCAGCCTGCACACATTCGAACGGCGACAGTGTCAAAATCTTTTACGTCAGCAGGTTTTACCGGACGGCCTGCACCAATCTGGGGCCGCCCAGCTCATATGAGACGTACGGCGCCAAATCCCTCAACACAGTCCCCGCTTGCAGCCTGACACCAGTCGAAAAGCGACACGTGTCGGAAGTTTTTATGTGCTCCGGTAACGTGTTATGGAGGGTTCGCTATTTTGCACCTAGCTTCTCGGAAGTTGCGATGGTAATTGGTTTGTATTGGGTGTCATTGTCAACGGCACCTCGATTGAGAAAACTGGCAGTAAGACCAAGGCTTCTTACCAACAACACCCATAAAACGACTGTGGTCAGACGAGGGAGCCCCACCAGAGACCAAACTCAAAGAGCTGCCGCTTGCGGAATGCTGCAAGGTGATTTATTTCTAGAGGTCCTTCGAGCACGCACCTAGCCTGCAGCTCAAGGTAGTCGTTTACAACGAGGCCCTTCTTCCAGTTGGCCGTCATCTCGTTGAAGCACAGCCAATTGGGCGCGATGGGAAGCCCCTGCTTCATGCTCAGAAACAACTGCAGACAAACACGAATGCCTATGGAATAATGGAAGCGATACGGGCCTTCTTAGGGCTTAACGGTTCAGTTTGTGATGAAAAGCTCTTCATTCGGGCGCGGCGCGCTTGTGAGTCTGATACCTCCCCTTCACTGGGCGATACGGCAGGTTGTCGTTCCTAGTTGACGAGTTTACAAACTTGAAAACCTCTCAATGTCCCTCCCGCAAAATTTGAGAATTTTCACAGTTCCAACAGTGCTTTATTCAGAGGGCCGTGATCGGACAGGGATTGAACGACTGTAGTGCTTTGCTGCAGACTTTGTTGCAAGATCGTTCTCTTACGAAGCTAGGATAAATCCCAAAATCTTCGCCACAACGCAACGGCCGCAGTTGCTCACCTGTGTGTTCCACGAGAGGTTACCATACACCACCAAGGCATCATCCCGCGGCTTTCCGCTGCACCACGGGAACGAGTATATCAGTGAAGAAATTGCCAACCAGCAATCGTGTCGTCCCAACCTGCTTCTTAGCTTCATCCGACGGCTTCTTCCGGTGTAAGGTCGAGAATGGCTGAAAAGCAGAGATCGGCTCCAGCCACTGCTTCTCGTGACTCTTCGCTTTCGAAAAAGGTTGCCTTGTCAAGACAACACAGCGGGTGGTCTTATGCCCAAAAGTTTGCCGACAGCTTGTCAAGGTTTCTAATTTTTTGTTTCCTAGGCCCTCATTTGCAGGCTCGACATTCTGGCGCACACGCGATGCATCCGCCCACACCGCATAGACTGAGCCTCGGTTCAGCTCTGGCGGATACATTGGTCGACACAAGGGTAAGTACATAGGATAAGAGCACTTTCATTTTTAAATGGAAAGAACGGAAGGTATACCTAAGTACGTAGATAGAGCACGTCAAGCTAAAATGAAAGAGAACGGGAGGAAGGTGCCTTGTGAAGCCACTTGCCTGAAGGTGAGCGGGCTGCCGTACATGTCCAACAGCTGCGTCTCCCCAAAGTCGTCCTTCAGGGTGGCGCTCTGCATTGACACAATGCGGGCACGTCAGACCGGCTTCGGCCTTTGGGGCACACTTGGATTTAACAACGCGCGCACACTCGTGTCAGACAGACTCATCGTCCTGGGAAAGAGGTTGCCCACCTTGAAGACAACTTTTTGTGGCAACACATCACATCTGTCCTGCATCACACCTTAGTCCGAAGGCCTTGCCCGACCTCTATCTTTAGGGACAAGAAGCAAGATACGTTGCCAGCAACACGCAGGCAAAACACAGAAAATAAAAACTTCTCGCGCCACTACATCATTGCTGAGAGTCGGTGAACTAGAGTAACGGACTAGCGAAGTGGGGGCCTCTTCAAAGATCCTCAACAGGGTCTATCCCGTGAACTTTTTGAAAGGCGGATGATCCGACGCCGTCTGTATGAATTCACCGCTAGCATTCAATCGGTTGAACCCTGCAAGTCAGACAGAGCCTTTCCAGAGATTGGATATTCTCTTCAGCGTACGGCACCTTCCAAGCTTTGCATTGTTGATGAGCCGTTGGGTTCGTACGGAACGACCCCAGCCTCGCCCGTCTCTACAGGCTCACTGCCCCAACGGCATCGGCCCGTATCTTATGCACTCGGAAAACGCACCTGATACTGGATACCCGCCCGCCCCAACCACTCTGGCCGCAGCGGCCGCGAGTACTCAATGCACGCCAGCCGCTTGGCAATTGCGGGACTGCCCCCCGTCCGCCCCGGGTCGCCCGCCATGTCCTCCGGCTTGGGACAGTGTATGTGGTCCACCGTCTTCAGATTCTGGAACGACAGAGAAGGATGCTGACGTCAGCACGTCAAAGAGCCAAAGTCGAAGGGAGCGGCCGTTGCACGACAAAAACGTGGTCCACAGCTTCTTTTATCCTGCGTAGAAAAGCGGCACCGGCAGGTAAGGGGATCTGCAAACAAATGCACTTCGTCGTCGTCGTCAATGCCTTATCTTAGTGACATGGGGGATCGAGGCGGGGAGGAGATGCTGGCATGCCGGAGATCGCTGATGGGGCCAGAATGTGCGTCATTTGGTTCGACTTTGGGAAGGATGAATTACAAAGGAAACTTTTCCTTCAGGCAGCGTTGCGTCAAAGAGCTCCCTCAAAAACCTTCAAACCAATAAGCTCGTCTGTCTTCTAAAATGGAGCTTCAAATTCGTCAATTGCTGACTGTTCGCTCCAGTCAGGATAATCCGAATGACTTACAGAATACTCACTGATTGTGAACAGAGGTCTGTCAGTCAGTGGATTAACCTGAAATGTGCATCGCTTTGCGTTATTGGCATGGCCCAAAGGTGCTCTTTGCGGACTGGTAAAGAAGGGCCCAGCCAAGAAACGGTCAATCTGGAACACGAAACGCTCACACACCCGTATTTGTATCCTGCGCCCCGTGCGCTTGTTGTCACCGTCGAGCCAGGGGTCCAGGTAGTCGAGTTCGCACTTAAAGATGCCCGCGCCCTTCTCGCCCTCTAGCCGCAACCGCTTGCCCTCGCCGAACAGGTTGGAGTGGGACCACGCCGAAGAGAAGGAAAGGCCCGACAGAAAGTCGCCGCTGTAGAAGAAAAGCTAGCAGGTTTCAGCTCAAAGTGGAATAAGAAGCGTGGGGGTAGAGTCGGGTAGGGGCCAGCATCCGATACAAACGTAGAAGAGCGGAAGGTCCGTCAAAATAATGGAGACAAGGAGAGGCGCGATGGTAGGTCGCTGGTACGAAAAAAACGGGGGATGTGAGAAAAACAAGTTGCGAGGAGGTTGTCAAAGGCAATGCGGTGAGAGCAGAACGTCCGCGTGAGTCCAGACCGCCAAGAAGGAGAGATTCGACAGAAAGTCGCCGCCATGGAAAAACAAGAACGTTCAGAGCACAACAAGGGATTGGGTAAAGCGGGAGAGACGAAACCAGAATTTGGGTGGATTCACATTGGGGGCCAAGACGAATAGGGGGCTAAAGGGAATGGGGCGCCTAGAAGCGGAAAAGTGGCTAAAATTGGAAGAGAAAACCGATGGAGGGCGCGTTGCTGGTCGAGAGTGGTCATCTGGTCGGGCGAGGGGAGAGCGAGTCTCCCGAAGGAAAAGGTGTTTCGTGAGGAAAGACGCCACTTCGTTGTATCGCCGGTAGATTTTAAGAAGGTTCCTTGGGTCCTTAAAGAATTCGTGTTAGCGTGTAGGTTAGAAGCAAACGATCCAGTAGATACACGTTGCCCATTATGTTGTCCACGTCGCCGATGTCGAAGTCGAAGGGACCTGCAACGGGACGCAGCACTGCTCGAAAAATCACACACTAGGCGGTTGTCAGGACGGGACATTCGCATGGGTCAAGCAGCCACACATGACTCCGGCTCGAAGATGAACGACAAAGCGAGACAGATCAAACGGAAGGTGCGTTTCTTTCTCGACCAATGATGCAGACAATTAAGACAATAAAGAGACCCCGAACGTCCAAAGTAGATAGAGTGCCGGATCGTAAAAGGCGTGAGCTTCCGCCAGACGCGTCGCAAGAGATGTTTTTTCAGAGCGCCTCGACCTTCTCTGTCGCAGTCGAGGCAGAAGCTATAGCTATACACCATTTTCGACCTTATCATCGCTATTTCGTCTCATCTAAAGGTCTGTCCCCCTCACAGTGTTGTCGGGCGTTTACATATGTCCCACCCACGATTGCAGGATGCTGGATGACAAAAGTATATTCACTCTCTCCTTTCCCAGCGTCAGCACGGAACAAAGTCAGCTCCGCAGACGGACATCAACGCAACACGCCACCGCATAAGTCGATCATCACAACAAGCAACCCCCAAGCAGGCCACCCCCCAACCCGAGCCGGCACTCACTGATTCAGGACGCTGAGCGAGACCCCCCCGGAAAAGTTGTTGAGCACGCTGAACGGCTTGCTCGCGGCCGCTTTCTCCACGAGATACACGGTCGCTTCCTGCGCCACGCGGGCTGCACAAACCGGGGGGGGAAAAGAGGCGGGCTTCAAAACACTACGGCAGGGAGTGACACGTACCCCGCCCCGTTGAGCCCCCCCGCCACCTGTACCGAGCCCCGGTTGTTCTTGCCGTTGTAGCGCTCGCGCAGCGCCAGCTGGTACCCCCCCGGGATGCCCTCGCCCTCCCAAGGGAACACCGCATCAGGCTCGCCATTCTCTGTGTGGAGCAACCGGGGGGGGGCCGGGGTCAGCCCGGGGGGGGGTGGGACGGGACTTAACCTACTTTCTGCAAAAGCCTGTTTTGTTTCTGCAGAAGGAGCTTGGTACATGAAACGTGACCCGCGGACGCTAAATTCGTCTATAGGGAAAGTGGAGGCGTGTGGATGCCATGGATGTATCTCCGCCCACAACTCAAACCGGACTTGTTTTAATGCGGTGCTACATGTAAGGCCAAATGGAAGTTTTCCACAATCACGAATCCCGACAATTTAAGCCCAGTCTGCGTGTCGGTCTGACCATAACAACCTAGTCATAACATTGACAACGAACTCCGTCAGAATGAAAATAGTCACTCGTCCTTGAACCGGACTTCGAGCCCCCAGAGCTGCCATCGAACCGGCTTCTTCATTCCCTTCACGACCCGATTGCTCTGCTTCTTACGTTTGTCTCCGAAAGAAGAACAAGTCAAATGAGCAATCAGTCATGAGCCGACACGTGGCACTCACCCCCGTCGAAGACCTCGGTCGGGATGATGTTGACGTCCGCAAAGATGCCCATGGAGTGCAGCAGCTGCTTGTTCTCGCGCAGGGTCTCCCCGTTCATCAGCTGGCCCTCCTTCAGGATCAGGTTGCGCTTGATCGTCGACATTTTCGTGTAGCCCCCCACCTTGTCGGGGCTGCAATTTAAAAAAGGGGAAAAAAAAAACTGTTGGAATTCCTAACCGGGGAGTACGTTGACTAGGTTCAAAGAATGTGTGTGCTGCATGCGAGGTGAGGATCTCCGAGAATCTCGTCTGAGAACGGCGTTGCCACACCTCAGTGTAGCCCCTCTGGACTGCGGGGTGAGAAATCCCTCTACAATGATTGTGGCCTAAGGTACGTCAACCACGATAAAATATGTTTCCTGTCCCGTGCAGTAAAGAGATGTACGCAAGGTTTCATTACTTGATAGGATACAACGATTTCCACCCCCTTTTTGGGCTTCCTCTTGCCGGGATGGAGAACGAAGAAGTCACTGCTTCCTTAATTAGTCCTCAAGTATGCTCGCTTTCACTTAAAGTTTCCAGATAGAGGAGAGTCTCGTGTCCTCTGTGACCTCCACCTTATCCGCGTTGCAGTGCGCAGACATCAGCAATTCGCTCTTACGACTACTTCGATCCTCCAGAATCAACAAGTAAGGCCGGCCGCTTACATCTTGAATCAAGCCCCGACTGTGTCAGGGGTCTTGGAGGAACACAAAAGCAGATTCTCCTTGACTGATTGGACGATCGACAGGTGCGATCAAATCCAAACTGCACTTGGGAGCAAATGGCGAACCGACTGCGCTCGGGTCAAATCAGACTATCCATGTTTGAACAAATCTTCTTCACGTACAGTGGAATAGAGTGGCATTCATCACAAAACACAGATACTGAGACAAACGGAAAAATCCAAACGGAACGCATTTGAGTGTACTTACTTGTCTCCACTCTGCACCTTGACGTCGATCCGCCGCAGCCTGGGCTCATGCGCCGTCAGTGTGAGCGTGCCGTCCGGGTCTAAAGTCTCGGGCTTGACAGCCGCAAAGAACTTCTTGTCAATGTACCACGTCTTGAAGCGGTCGATGACCTCATACAGCTCGTTCATGTTCAGGACCTTATCTACAGGAGAAGAGGAGTGAGATGTCAGCATACTGTCTCCAGAAACCGAGTGTGACATCAGCGTTTTTCATAGAGAATGACCTGCAGCTTTGAGAAACCGTAGGCAAAGAGGAGTGTAACATCAGCGTACTTTCTTAAGAGATGACCAGGAACTGTGAGAAGCCGTCAAGAGGTTTGAAAAGAAAATGAGAAGCCACCGGCAGATCTCTGGTGAGGATGATCAGCATTTTGGAAGAGGAATGAGACTACTTTGCAAAGCAGAAAGCACTCCCACAGGCCAGAAGTTTATGTGTTCTGCGTTCCAACGTTAGTTGCAGTAAGCATTGCAATGGAGGAGGACACTGAGAATCAAGGACTCACTTATGAGGGGCTTTGTCTCTTTCTGTATCAGGCTTGTTGGCAGGACGTCGGAACCTTTGACCACCACCTTCCTCACAACCGGATGAGGCGCAATCTGCGGAGCAGAAGGACATATGGTTAGATTGCACCACTTCTCAAGACTTGGTCCTTTGCATTGTCAGCAGTTGGCAGCAGGTACTGTTGTTCAACAAAGTTTCCATTCAAATGAAAAACATAATCCGCGATGCTTGGCGAAGGTTGATCGGCCTCGTTTCAGACAAGGCTGGCTCAGCGCCGGCTTCCTGAATCTATGAAAGCCCTTTGACTCTCAGAAGCTCGTTTCTTCATTGGGGTTAACGAGTCTCACGCGTTCTGACTTCAAGGCCATCGTCGCATCTTTCGACGTCAATCTTGGTCAAACTCCAATGTTCTGAGCAAAACGTTCTCTTTCAGTATAAGCAACTGAAATGTCGAAGTGCATTAACTCTCTTCAATGCAAGAGTTGTCTGTCCTTCTAATGAAAAATCAACTTGGAGAGGGCTGCTGCCGTCCGCAGAACCAGTGCGGACTATGGACATGATTAATTGTTTTCTAATTGGTGGTGGGAGCAGGCAACTTACATGCAACTGGAGCACAACGCCGTCCCTGGTATCCTTGGTATAGGGCACCACGTTCTCAAACACGCCGAGGCGCCCCAGCCGGTCAATGTCCTCATGAACCTCCTTCACGTTGAATGCAAAGCCCGGCCGGTTTGATATCTTCATCGTCTTTTGGATGAGCGACTTGAGCTCCGGGTGGTCCATTTCTAGATCATTCCCCTCGGAGTCCAAAATCTGCACTTCGTGGATCAGGAACCGGCCTTCCCGCCCTCTCTTCTGCTGCTCGCTCGTCCACTCAGGCTTCTCCACGGCACCACTCTCATCGAGATTCTCTCTCAGCCCCGAAAGGCCTGGTTCTTTGGGAGTCTGGCCAGCCCCTTTACTGACGACCCCAGCAGCCGCCCCGCCAATTCCGGCTTCCGTCCCCAGTGCACCGCTTATCGACGCAAAGTTTGCATGTCTCCCATACCGAGTCCGTCGCTGCTCCGACTCTAAACAATGCTGGACTTTGGACCACGTCCGAGAGGCGCTACTTATCACATCCTCGACGAGCTTGGCGTGCAATGGTACTTTTCTGCGCTCCTCCACTTTGCGGTGCTGGTGCCGTTCAGAAGGCCGACTGAGGTGCATCACTCGGCTCAGGGCTTCCATTAGGTCCGCACTGTTTTGTTCTCTTTCAAGAATGTTTTCCCCGCCCTCCCTTTGAAACTGACCAGCCATTTTGCCTAGTGGACTGGTCGTTTTACCTACTCTGTCAATCCTGAGCTCGACGTCGGCTGCGCCTATTTCAGTCCTAGTGAATTACAACACAGAGTATTCCCCTTGCATGTCCTGCAGAACTGCCTGAAATGCAATGCTGCCGCCCGGATGGCTTTCCAGTTTTGTGAGCACTGTGAAGACGCTTAACAAGCAATCACATGAGCAGGAGAACTTCCTGGCATTGGTTCCATTTTCGCGACTCGAAAGTGGTGAGGTACCGTACCTCATCCTGCTGCAAGCGGGTATGCGGTACCCACCCTTCAGGCCACGTGATAATGCCGGGTGGGTACCATAGCCTTAACTCAAGTAAAGAACGGTATGTACCTGTCCGACCTGGCGCTGCAGATGGGGTCTGAATTTGCATGCCCGGGCTAGAAATTAGGGTTCTCAAGCACTCCAATTTTGAAATAAAATTGTACCTTGGAGCTCAAGGAAAATTGATGGCTACCGCTGTCAGGCGCACCATTGCGTACTCATCGTTGAGAATCGGAGCAGAACACTTTGGCTTGAGACAGATCAGGAGGTGAGCATAAGCTTGGTTTTCAGAGCTTGGATTTGTTTGATCGAGCACGGTGTGGTGCGCAAGATCGCACTTTCTATTTCCTCATCAAGGTTGCGAAAAGAAGATTTGTTTCTAATTTGAAAATGGTTCTGGATCGTCTTTTCAGGGCAGGCAGTGGGCCTACTGTGGTGGTACGCCGCACATGATTGTTGGCTTGCTTGATGTTGATCTTTCAAAAGCCCGTGCTGATCAAGGCATGGGCCTGTGGGGCCATATTTGACGCCGCATCTAAGAGCATTACATCCTTCTAGGGCCCGACATGTAGCAATTTAGTCACCAGCAGGCGCAATCCTGATTGTTAACGCACTGTTTCAAGGTGTCAAACTTTCTGGACACCCTCCTTTTGATCAGTTATGTCTGCTTTTTGGCAGCGCTGGAATACGATTAAGGTGGTGGTAGTGCTTTTTTAAGACATCACGATATGGTTTTGTTTGGCGATTATCGTCCGTAATAGCTTGGAAGACGCTTTTCATCCGTGCTCAGGCAAAGCGTTTTCGTAGTCATATTAAGGGGCCAGAGTTAAGCCGTGTAAAAGTCTCAAATAGGGAACAGCTAAAAGGAACAGCAATCTTGAAAACTTATAAGCTTTCTCAGTAGAATCTTTCACAAACGCAGATCCCAAAGAATTGAGAGACGTCAGCTCCAGTGAGTCTTCATTGACAAAGGCTGGTTTCCTTGCAGAATCATTCTACACAAGAGCATTTTGGTGCGTCCATTTTCTGCAATGACCCCGAACGCAGTCAAGCCGGAGGGGTCAGCGGCACAGGTTGATGGAGGAGTGGCGCTAGCAAATGGTGTCGCGGCCCGAGTTGCAAACGGAGCACCATATGCAGGCGCCAATACGGTAGGTCAAGTCAGATGTACCAAGCAGAACAAGATGTTGCAACCCAATCTTTATCATAGTCATGACCTGGATTGTTGCTTTGTTCTAGTTTTGACAAAGCCCGCACCTTTCCGGGGTTGCTTCACTAAGAGGCAAGTTGACTGAAAGCCATCTCTGCAAAACCGTTCTTTGATTGTAGTACTCTGTGAACAACCAATGCTTTCTGCTCTTTCCACTTTGGTTGAAGAGTTTGAACCTACACAGATCCCAACTTAGGCAAGGGCCCACTGGCTTGGATCCAGGAGGAGGCCGGCAAAATTCACTTTGTTCTTCTGGCTGTAGTGCTGACTCGAGTTGCACATCAAGCCCGTGACTTTCTTGCCCATACCCCTTCACTTTGACAATTGCCAGTTGGAGGTATCAACTTTTGATCCTATCGCTCGTTCTTTTCTCGTGCTATGCTGGAAAGAAGATCGCAGGCTCTGGTCGATTCCGGAAAGACGAGTCTGTCCAAGATAAACCATTGGGAAGCAAGGTTGGGCTGTGCTGGCATACCGTGCATCTTAGATCAACTGCCTAGTTTCTGCAGTAGCTTGGCTGACTTCGGGGCCCAAGTGACAGAACAGAAAGAGGGAGAACGTGGACTCCCGAGCCGCTATGAGAGACCCCTCCTCGCTTTTGCCCCCCAGAATTGACGGTCTGGGTTGGTGGAATCCAATATATATGGACGTCGATCAAAGGGGTTTAAAAACAAAGAATGGAACTGAAGGGGTCAGGGGCCCCTGGGGAGTCTGCCAGAAGTCCCCGTTCTCCATCCTTGCGTTCTGACAGATCCTCCTTACAGCAGACCTACCCACAAGCACGGACTCTGCAAAATGGACTGAAGAGCAATCTCAGGATAACATTGACCTGAGTGTTCTCTGTGCAGTTGGTTCCAGAGGCCGCGTACAAAGTGTTTCGGCTGGCTGAGGAGGAGAGCGCCTCTGACTGGGTTAAGGACTTGGAGTTGGATGGAGCCAAGGGGTTCCAGCCAACCGGCCAGCTCATCACGACACCCCCAAAGATCCTCGTCCTGTATGGGTCCCTCCGAGAACGATCGTACTCGCGCCTCCTCGCGTATGAGTTTGCCCGAATCCTCGACTTGCTAGGTGAGCGGCCACCGTTGGTTAGTTCTCTGTTGATGTAGTCAAATTTCCAGGCAGAAAAAGATGGCTCGTCTCATGTTCGGGTGTCATCTTTGCAAACCCGGTCCGACTTCTGCTGTTTGAAAGCTTTGCTGTGCTTTCTCTGACCACTTTGTTACCTTCTAATACCATTCTCTTGAAAGGTTCCAAGAGTACGTTCTCTTTATTTGCAATGCAATGCAGACATTCTCTGTGACAATCGTTATGTTCTCTGCGGTTCGGGCGGGCACAAGCGAAACGTTTCTGAGACAAGTTCCCGAGGTCCCCTCACCGTTCCCACAAGAACCAAAAACCTTTTGCCGCAAGAGTTTCCGGCATTGCTCCACTTTCCCTCCTTTAAAGGTTACAAAACCTTTCTCCTAATTCCAGGCTGCGATGTCCGTGTGTTCGACCCCCGAGGCCTCCCCATGAAGGACGAAGTTTCGGACGCTCACCCCAAAGTGTTGGAGATCCGGGAGCTGTCCGTCTGGTCCGAAGGCCATGTCTGGGTTTGCCCGGAGCAGCACGGCACCATCACTGCCGTCTTCAAAAACCAGATTGACTGGATACCGCTCAACCTGGGCTCCGTGCGCCCCACGCAGGGACGCACGCTTTGCATCGCCCAGGTATGGTTCGGCTTGGTTGGTGTTTCAGCTCTCTGTGCTTTCCTTGGCTACTCAGGCAGTGTCGTTTCGTGAGTTGCTTATTTAGAGGTTGTTTCCGCGGACCAAAGATGACGGATTGACTGAGGGGCTCGTGCAAAGGTCATTCTCTGGTTGCTTCATTGGGAACTTCGAAGACGGGAGACTCGGTTGAGCCCTGGGGCGATCAGCGGTAATCTTACCAGCTATCTTAATAGACTCTTCACTGGCCAGCCGATCGTGGAAGGAACCCCTACTGCGTAGTACCCGGTATCAGGGGAGGGGAGCTTGTTTTTCGTACCCATCTACAACGCTCTCGATTGGTATCTCGTGAACCTTTTCCAAATGCTGAGACCGTATGTCTGTTTTGGATCTAGTGTCAAGCTTCAGTTGGTACAGATTTAGGCGCCAAGTCCGTAATGAGCTCAAAATAATGAGTTGTCTCGTCCCCATTTTTCAGGTGAACGGGGGCTCCCAAAGTTTCAACGTCGTTAATACCCTCCGGGTGCTAGGCCGGTGGATGCGCATGATAGTCGTCCCCAATCAGTCGTCGGTTCCCAAGGCGTGGACGGAGTTCGACGAGCGGGGCCGTATGAAAGCTAGCGGCTTGCGGGATCGAGTTGTCGACGTCGCAGAAGAGTTCCATAAGTTTACGCTGTTGACAAGGGAACATGCAGCCTTTCTGGTCGATAGGTACAGCGAACGGAAGGAAAAGCGGGAGAAAGGGCGCCTCTTATCTCAAGCGGAGAAAGAGGCGGCCAAAGAGAAGCAGCCCGTCGCCACAAGCACGTCAAAATAGCACAGTGTTTCTTCGTGCTCTGATCACCATCCGTGGTTTTTAAGCAGCTTCGCGTACAGATGAGTTTCTCAATTAACCATGAGCTTGAGATGTATTTTAGTCACACGGTCAAGCTATCACAAGGTATAGCTAAGGAGTCATCACTTGATTGATCATTTGCGAAGCGCAGACACAGCGCTCGAGTAGAAGGGGGTCAAAGTGAAACGGTGACGGGGTACTTGGGGTACTTACGTTGCTGACAAGGAGCTAAGCAATGAGGTAGAATGCTTCCTGAATTGATTCTTAGCCTAGTCGGAGTTTCAAGATAGGCCACCCGCCCAACTATTTATGCGACCGAGTCAAGACCATTACTATCAAAAAGTATTGGTAGCTTTGAATATGGAGCCATCAAGTTCTGCGGCACATGCACTGGTATAGTGATTGGACTGGATTTTACATCCCGTTGCAAGCATAAGGCCATGCTCTAGCCAATCCATTAGTAGCCCGGCATGCATGATTTAATAGGGCTTATACTTGTTTTCAACCGCCGTCTTCGACTGCCTACTCGATCCGGCCACGCATGTCGAGGCCGGGGCGCTTACGTTCGAATCAAGCCGGCCTCGCCGATCGGCTCCCCCGGAGTTGCTTGCTGAAGTGCCCTTCAAGTTCTACCGTATGTGTCTGTTTAAATGCCCTTCATGAGCAAAAAGGCTTTCTGTGTTAGGTGAAGTGAGCTTGAGGTATCGAAAGCTGATCATGCTAAAAGTCGATAGCGATCGGTGCATGTAACGGTCTTTGCAAAAGCCAAGAGCCGCAAACCTTTCCCTAATACCTAGGGAGCGTTGCCTCCTCATAGGAGCCAAATCGGAGCAACTCGCGGGCCCGAAAAGTGGCGGACGAACCGGATATGGGCCCCGGTTGGAGGCCGGTTCACAGAGAACTGGAACTCGCAATTCGGAGCCGTTCTGAGTCCCGAACCGAATCTCTATCATCAGCGAATCCACCTTGAACCGGGGGCCTACTAAAGCCCCGGTTGATTTGCCAGATTAAAGAAGCGAGATGCTCCAATTCGCTCCCGGTTCAGGTCGAGACGCCCTGTTTCTGAGACGCGGCAAGGCGCCATACGACGGCTCCTTCGCGTCGCGCATTGAATTTACCTCGGTTTCCGGAAGCTGACTCCATCACTCTGATTCCAGCGCTCATTTCTTAGAAAGAGACAAACGCTTCTGCCAAAGTGCATCTCCTCCTGAGGCTTGCGTGGGCGAGCCGTTATTCATTTCTTCCAGAGCAGCCGGAAAAAATTGCAGTTCCGTTGCCCTTGACGTTGTTCTTGCGATTGTTAAGTGTGGTTTTGATTCAGTTCTGTTCGCAAGATGATGGCGCACTCCGTTGCGGGAGCTTTCCCCCGAACAGCTTACGAAACAGCCCATCCTCTGAAATAGGACGCTCGAAAGTGTGACCGATGATCGGTAGCAAGTGTTGGCTTTCGCGCTCAAAACGTCCTCAAAGCACCAGCTCTCTGCAAAGGGGCAAACAAAGGATGCGACATCATCATGATGCGAGACGATATCAGCGGGAAGCAATGCTAGGTCCATTGCAGTTATCGCGAACGTGGAATGAAGAAGCCTGTTCCGTGCCTGAGTAACCCGCTCCTGAAGTTGGTCGGACCTGCAAGACTGAGAAGACTCTCGAATACAAGCCCATTGTTAAGGAGTGCAATCCACACTTCTGGAGTTCTTAGACGTGCACCTTGAGTATCAAAGCGCTCTTTCCAACAGACACTGATATTTGCCTGGCAGAACCTTTGAGTCAAACTGCCAGCTTGTGAGCGAGGTAACATCCTCCATCTGCTTCCTCATCTGAACAAACTCTTCTTTTCTGAGGTGCAGAAAAACCTTCTCTTTTCTATCCGTGAACCTCGAAATCACGGATCACACACCTTGACCCTTCGACTCGTCCCGCCATGTTGCACGCGTACGACAGACCCAAAGAAATGTCTTACCGTTCAAGTTTCAAGAAAAGACGCTGCAATCCTTTCAAAGCAGTATTTGACGCTCCGCGTTCTGACGCTGGCGCTCGTGGATGGGCCACTGCGGATTGTTTTTCTGACTCCAAAATATCTGAACGTTGGATGTCTTGAAAAAAGCCGTTCGCACCTCGCCCGAATCTTGGCTCCCACCCCCGTGGTACGCTAGTCGATCTACCAGACTATGTTCTAGCACCCGGAGGGAGGGTCGGCGTAACTTTGTTCAGGTGCGCCCTGTTGTACCTGAGTAAGATTGCTGTAAGATTGATTGTCCAGCATAGGTACGGACTTCCGCAAGGGCGTCCCGGATCCGGGCCGGATCAAGAGCGGAACGGAGCACAGTGTGCTGACTCAGAAAGTCTAAGCCTGCTGAGTCCGCTCATTTGCGATGACTTGCTGGTCAGCTTGCCTGGCGGAACAAGGAACATGGAGAGTCACGTTTGTGAAGCGGTCAGACATATCTAGGACACCTTGTTCGAATGTAGACGCCTACTGTTCCACATCAATGGCTTCTCTTAGAGTGACCCCTACATTCTAGTTGATTGCATCCGCTTTTCTCTTGTATACAACGTTCGAATGCAGTCATTAAATCCTTCATAGAATGTCAAAAGCAGCAGTCGACCAGGATTTGAGCAAACTTTTTAAGCTGGAGTTCGGTGGCTTAGCAGCTTGCAGTGCGACAATATTGCTCCAAATCAGTCTGACCAATGTGGAGCCGGGAAGTGGGGCTCAAACAAGTCGAACAAGGTAAGGAGATGGTTTTGTTCAGCACACATGCTCACAAGTCTGACAATACCTCTCTGGAATTGGTTGCTAACGAGACGATACTCAATGCAATTTGCAGGGTGAAAAGACACTCAGTGCTGTCTGTGCGATAGGTAGGCAAGTCATGACAGGGGAGCAGCAAAGTTTCTTGTCGGTGCACACAAAAGTGCCTGCCCCAATGTCAAGTGGACGTCAATGGCTCCACAAGGTAAGGGGAATTGTATCTCTATATTGCTGACAGAAAAAGAAGATCTTTCCATTAGGGGCGGAGAATCTGACAAAGACTGGGAGCGGGTTCTGCTCCCAGATTGAGCAACGACGTCGTAACGCATCTAAATACTGTCAAACACATTTACTTGCTTCAGTAAGCTTGTGAATTGGTGATAGGAATCAGTACAACAGATGTAGCCTACATTGATGAATGCCATGCCTTTTTCTTGTCGGTTTGCAAGTTCCCGAGTTCGCCGCTGCGGTGTCGCAGCCATGAGGAGTGCCAACCCTAGAAGATTCCAAGTACAAAACCACTCGTCATCATCATCATCATGATAATCTTTCAGACTCCTGCAAAGGTACTCTGCATCCTGAGCAGATAGCTGACGTACGTGGAAAGGGTGCTTCAATGTGCACGCATTTCCTCTTTGCAGGTAGCAGGCATCCTGTTGAGAACAATTCAAGTATCAGTACTGGCGAAGGGCCACTCAGGTTAGACCTCAAGCGGCCCTCCTTCAAGCATGGGCTGTTTCGTGAGCAGTCCGGCAAATCCCCTGGAACGGAGCGAGCCATCATTGTGCGATCAGAAGTCAGTCAACCCACTCCCACCAACTCTCGCAAGAGCGCGGGAATGGGTACCCTTCCGGCTACTCCAGGGAAGAGGGAAGACGGCTCGCCGACGCAAGCTTTGGGACAGGAAAACGGAACCACGACGTGGCAGGACAAGTTGCCTGCCTCTGAGAGGGAAGCGCTAGAGTTAGAGGGATGGGGTCGCCTTTCGGAGACTCAGGTGAACGTTATGCGCGACTCGAAACGGCGCGCGAAGGAAGCGTCTGATGCCGCCTTGCCGCGTCTCAGAAAGAGGTTTGCAAAACTGGGTTTCGATGAAGACCAGCTAAACGTCCTGCGTCACATAGCGGAGAAGGCGCCGATCGTGATCCACTTCAACCCCGACCGTCGGATGGGCTGGTTCACCAATCGGACGGTCCTGAAGGCTTTCCTGTCCGACACGCACTACCGCAACAAGTACGAGACTGGCGTCTCGGGAGCGTGGAACCGTGGCCGGGACCAGAAAGAGAGGAAACTGTTCGGGGGTCTGTATCACCAGTCCTGGGGACCCCCTGGTTGGGAACGGCCAAAATACGGGGCCCTCAAGGGCCTTCCCGTGGGGAACACATTCTTCAGCATTTTCGGGTCTTGCCACTTCGAGCTCCAGAATGACGTCCGCAAGCGCTGTACGTTCGGTTACGGGGTGACGTCAGATGATCTGAAGCAGACGCCCGGCACGTGCGAGCACTTCGCGCACGTTCTGGCGAGGTGCGGAAAGGACCAAATCCGATGGCTCGTGGCGGTCTCGGAGAAGCGCTCGTTTGCTCACTGGTCTGAGCCTCACCTTGCAATAGAAGCTCAAATTCATGGGCCGATACAGTTGAAGAAGGACATTAGAGAGGTCCGGTTCCGCGCTTTCAAGCCGCGGAAAACGCAGAAGCGTCTCCAGCAACTAGCGGAAGCGAACGGTTTCGCAATCAGTAGCTGCTAGTCTCGTGAGGCTTTGACGTAGGACTTAGCGAGCTAATCTATGTTGATCTAGAGACTCATAATCGATCATCGGACAGGATGCTAGTTTTATTGTGCAATAAGAACTCGGTTGCATTTATTTACGTGCTCGAAGAGTGTGATAAAGATGACGAGGCGGCACGAGCGCTCAACAGGCGATTAAAACCGACCCGTCGTGATTCTTTCAGGTTCGTTGTAATATTAGCAGCGGCTTCAGGTCTCGAGCTTTCTTATAGAATCTATATTCTGCTGCATGTACATACAAAAACAAACGGACGAATAGGCGTGATCGGTGCCGCAAATGTAGATGAATTCCTTTTCTTAATAAAATACTGTCGAATTCGACGCCGTGTACACATATTAGTAGTTTGTGGACCGTCACAAATCAACCATGCATGATTGAAGAGTCCATGTTGGACGGGAATTCTATGTTATACCTTCCTTCGGCGGCTTGCAACATATTCGCTAATTCCTAGAGAAGAGACCAACACTGAGTCGATTTTTGCAAGGCGTTGCAGAGGAATTGATTTCAAGAGAGTGACTAGCTGCGGATGGAAAGTCGACTATGACTTGAAACGACCTTGATCGGCCGGCTTAATTGTATCCATCAGTCGTAAGACCTATACGCCATATTCAAAGCCCTCTAGCCGCCGCCGACTATCGTACACCACCGAAGCCCGCTAGCTTATGCGGAGAACTGTCCGCGCATTTTTGGCTGCGCTTCCGAAGTTCCTTACGAGTGGGCATGGTGCGTGCGAGCTAGTTCCACTTTAAACGTCGGAAGTGAAGAGCTGCGGTTCTGGCCTTCTACTATATGAGAGGACCAGCTCGTGAGAAGGCACTAATGATCCGTACATAATGACCCGTTGACTGTCGAGAAAAGCAATACGTTTGCATAGCAGGCCGTTTAGTAAGAAGCTCTTTTTGCATGCCAGGCATCCTTTTTGAAGGCTTGCCAGGACCGTTCCCTAAAGTTTAAGAAAGGAGGCCCAGATATGCAATCAAGCATCTAAGGTCAGATCGTCGAAAAGCGCCATGGCACGCCCAATATCATAGTATTTACCAAAGCCAAAACGTATACTGTCAATTCTGATCAAATGATACTGGACACATGTGTTGGTCCGTTTTGGAGTCGGTCATGCGTCTATCGAACCTACAATCCTGCCTTCCTAGACACTGGGGTACGTCCATTTTATGGCAAGAGCCCGCTGCTCTCGCCAACAGATCGATTTGATCTAAGCTCTTAGCCTGTCTTTAGTATATACACGCTAATTGCTGACTCTACTAAGCAAATCTATCGACAATCAAACGGTATTCGTGGACGAATATATGTGCACGGCCTGATTGTTGGGATTTCATCGTCCGCTTTCCGAACACATGAAGACTTTATCCGATCTTGTCAGAAGTACGGCTAACTCGGACCGCGTATTTTGCAGCCTGTCCAATGCGCTCTTCCAACTCGTTTGTAGCCCTGCAAATGAGTAATAATAACAGCAATCAAGTTTAGGCGACTGGGCAAGTGCTATTGGAAAGGCGTAGACAACTGCGTTCTTTTCGAGGGAATTACACGTGTTTCCAAGGTTTTCTTCGTGGTCAGAGCAGATTCGACTTGCATGATCAGGCACACTTGTGAAGAGGCCACTCGGGAAACAGGACGAAACTGATGACCATACAAGACTGTGTTCCACGAAAAACCGTTTTGATTACTGCACAAAAGCGTGCGTACGATGTTGCCACCCCTGGTGAAATAGGCAGAATGTTGATAGAACTGGCTTCAAATAAGTGTCAGGCATAATAACCCGATAACTCATACTCCCATGGGAGTGAAAGAAAGGCATTCTTGATTTGGACGAATAGCCGGGCGACACGTCAGCATTCAGCTCGTCACGAGAGCGGCTTACCAGCGACTCAAAGAGCGGCACGGACCCGACGTTGGTACCGCTGACGTAAGCGTACGACGTCCACCCACGCGCCAGCTGCTGCTTGGCCAACAGCGTGACGACAGCACGCCCCAGGCCGCTTCTTCGATGGCCCTACGGATAGAAATTAAAAACCTCAACGCTCGTCGCTTAGACAGCGGTGCAAGTCAGTCCCAGTACTGTTCTGAGTCCAAAGCGGAGCCGAGAAACGTCTGTGATGCTCCCAGGTCGGCAAAAGGCGGAATCGAAGAGGTCTCCAGTAGACACGTCAGAAGGTAGCTCGTTAGGAAAGGTCGCGTTTCAGTTCCCCAAAGTTTCATCTCCTTTCCTCAGTAACGAGGCAACGAGACAGGGCCAAAGCGGATATAAACATCCCTATCTTGTCGGCTTCCTGTTTCACGTCAGGAGATGCTGACAGGTGGGGTCAAAAATGCGAAGCGACCTGTCATCCACGTGAGACTGCGGAACCAACTACCAGCTTACAATTGAATTCTGACAGACCACATAGTCAGCCATCTCTTTTCTTGGCCACACAGAGCAAGCGAAGTGTCGGCACTTCCTTTTTGGGATTTTTCTGGGTAAGTTTGCCAAAGCGGGGTAAATGCAAGGTAGATGACAGACTGCCGCCGAGTCGGCCACACTTCCCTCCTTCGAAGCGTTGGTGAGAAATTGCGCAATCGAACGTGGACCCTAGAAATGACGCGTTTTGGGCGCTGGCAACAAGCGGTCACCTATCAGATCGCGCTTTCGGCCGGACTTAAGAGAGAGGCGGCCGTTACCGCCGCACACATATACATCTAAGTTGTGACAGCCGAATGAGTCAAATGTGCGTAAGGCAAAACTCGAACTGAAAGTGAAAGAGGTTCGTGAAAAAGAGAACCGCCTTCCTTCCGAGCACGTGGGCAAACTAGAAGCAGGAGCGCTTTGAAAAGACAGCTGCCTAGGCACCCTGGAGCGGCACTACAGCGGGCCGCTTCTCGGAAAATGGCGTAAAATTTTTCAAGGGATCCCCTTTGGATAGAGTGCACGCTCGCCAAATCTAGCCTGGCTTGGGACGGCCCCAGCGCAACTAGGACGGAAGAACGTTCTCAACGGGGCTTTCTCACCGGACGCATCGCTTCCGCAGAAAATGTGGCTGCTAACCAGGTTACAAACAGACTTGTGTCCTGGACAAGTAACCCGGCTTTTAACCTGGTTCCAACGCTGGTTACCGCCCAAGTTTGGTTGTTTGACATATAACCACTTTCTAACCAGCCCACAACCAGCCCAGAACCATCTATGGTCAAGAGCCGAAAAGTCCTGTGTTCAGGGTTCAGGACCGTTTCAGGGGGGCGCGAAATGGAGGCCTTACCGGCATGACGTTGAGCATTCCCAGGGCCAGGTAAGGTTGCGTCAGCGCCCACGCCACGAGGGTCCCGTCTGACATCAGCCGCGCCGCGACGGACGGGAGACCACAACTCAGAATCGTCCGGACATAGGCCGCGGTGCACGGGTAGGTCACGTGCTTCGCGACCTGGCGACACGTTACAAGGAAGGATTGGGCAAAGAGCTTTCGTCATGGCTGGAAGGGACACTTTTTCAGATGCCGAATGACGGAGGCGAATCGGGGAGAAGTGCAATTTGTTGAAAGCGGATACATTCTGATTTCACAACGTTGATGTGACTGACACGCCACCTGCTTTGACGGCCAGAACAGAGTTCACGAATGTCCACTCGCTAGAGCGATCAGAGAACCAAACAGCAAGAAACGATCGCCGATCCAAGCGCCTGCGGTCAAAGAACAGGCCATTGCGTGCAAGACCCTTCCGACGTCCGCCCAGATGCAATCGCAGTTGTTCGTTCTTACGGACTGAGGTGCCGATGCCACGCGTCAGTCTGACGTACCGCTCTCTTCTCACGTTGGTGGATTCGTCCTTGGCAGCGGCCAGACCACTTGTCGCAGCGAGAAAAACCACGGCAATGACTGCTGCTGACGTCTGATACAGGCACACCGGTCAAGGCTTGTACGACAGATGATTGTCAAGAAAGATCATACTAAGCCATGATTATAATAAGCCGGAGCGAAAACTAAAAATCCAAAGCCAAAAATATACCTGCTCCGCACCCATACAAACCCTAACAAACAAGCTAACCCTACCCGTCCCAGTGCGGTTTCCTTAATATCATACCGGCTTATTTGGGTTTTTCTTGACTTCAATGTACGACAGGTGTAAACCAATGAACCGTTCTCCATTTCAAGCGTGCGTATGCACAGTGCCTCGGAAGGCGCACCACCCGCAGGTGTGAAGGGGCTCACCAGCTCCGCGTCCTCAGGCGCCACCGGCCCATAAGTGAGCCCCTCTCGCGCGCAGTCTGTTCCTGAGGAGAGCGCATTTACACCTTCCGGGCTGAGAACGAAGACGTCGGAATGAGAGTCGTTGTAGAAAGTGTAGTCAGAGCGGAGAGCATCTAGAATGGCGGGCTCGACGCCTGTAAAATCCAACAGAGGCGTCGATAAGCTATGGGTGGTACGGCCGTGAAATGCAGAAAAGCCGACACGGAGGGCGATGAGGAAGAAGACAAATGAAGAGAATATAGAAAAGACCGACGAGCACAAGGTCAAGGAGTCCGGTTCAATAGTCAAGCGGGGACGCTATAGGGGACGGAAGGGAGTATTGGTTGTATTCTTCCCGCGTGAAATTAACCTGAGGTCGCCTTTGAATCAAAGGCTTCTTAAAAAGAACGAGGCATAAGAAGTGGAGTACTCGGTATCTCTTGCACTGAGAATGAGAAAAGACCAACAGCAAGGGCGGCACATACTGTAAATTGACGACAGTTCCCAGATGTACGAGCCAGACTCCCGTAACTTTCGAGTACGTGCTTCGAGAGACCGAGGTGTTTGACGCTCATAAGCAGTGCGATTGTAGACAAGAACCGTCAGATTGTGTACCTGTTACATTCTGCAAAGAGCGTTGAGGTCCGTCAACTTGAGCAAGGACCAAATCGGACAGAAGATAACCGGGTCCATCGTTTGGTGCTTCCAGATTTCTTCCAACCGTCGCCTCCGTGCCCAGACCATATACCATTATAACCTTCCAAATATATTGACCAACTTATATATGCTTGGAATAAGAGCGCATTGTGCCGCTTTCCATTCCCGTCCTCGTCGCTCAATAAAATTCCTCACGCTACAGACCAGGCGACGAAAATGACAGAGCGCCACCACTTCATACTTTGAAAGCTTTCCATGCATTTTTATTCCAGTCCCCATCCGTACCTCCCAGCCAAAACTCGGGAATCCGAAACGCTGGGTGTGCAAAGAACTCGGCAGCAGCGGCATCGTCCTCCGTCCACACGGCACGCACGGGGCATTCGAAGGACGGGAGCCGTTCTTCGTGCATGATCACGCGGAAGTCTGGCCATCTGCATTGGCAATGCTTGTATTTGTCAGTGCAGCTATGGTCGTTTCTGAGATGTTCAGTCATCTGGCTGAAAAGATGTACGGCGGTCAGCTTTAATTTCACGTACGCGGACGGTTGGGCGTGGAAGTCAAGTCAGGATTCGTCTATATTTCGTTTCAATGAAGCGGTGACAAAGAGTTGGCTATCGGTGGCCCAAAACTTCCACCCAAAATCCTGACACTGGACACAAAATCAGGTCGAGTTGCAGTATAACGGCGTGCTTTTTGGGGCACTGCATATGCGAAGATTGAGTCAACATGAACTGGTAGAAAGTCGGTCAAGCCTGGCTGGCTGTCAATCAGCTTCTTTGAGGGTCAAGATCTTGTCAGCCAGCCAGCTTAAAAGGGAACCACTACAGAAGCGCCAAGTCCAACTGCCTTGTGAAAAGTCGGAGAATCATGACGATGGGGGTGCCTGTAAACACAATTTTCAGACGTCGCTCAAACAAGGGTTCAACACTGTAAAGCTGCCCTAAGGCCCTGAAAACTCTTGCTTGGCTAAGATGTGAGGTTACTGATGAGTATAATTTCTTAAAATTGTTAATCAATCTCAAGGGAGTGTTGCGGCCCAGCCAAAATTTTCCATTGGAGCACTTCTTTAAGAGACAGTTAGAATCTGGAAGAGTCACTCGGTAGGATGGATGAAGTTTGCAACACCATTCTTTCAAAAAAGTGATTTCGTTGCCCTTGCTAGGTTCTAGCCACTAATCAGGAGTGTCACTACAATCTGAATTGCAGAGCTACCACTAACAACAATGATAAGCCAGACTGACACTGCAGAAGAGCTCGTTCTTGTTAACAAGCTGGGAGAGCAGGTTTGAACGTGGGCCCCTCTCTCCACATGTACCACTTGACTACCGCACACGCATTACGTATTCTGAATGTTTGATATGGCGACGAAGACAAAAATGTCGCACTTTATATACGTGGCCCGTTTGGGGTCACCGGCACGAGTATGTTCCAATCCTAACTTGCATTATGTTTGTTTTTCAATCAGTCACAAGAAATATCGGCGGCATTGCTCATATTGTCATCAGCTTCTGGTGCACAACAACATATGAAGCTAATTGAGCATCAAACATGTAATTTAAACCAAGTCCAACATCCAGTCCTAGGGCAAGCTGGATAGTTCTCAGGCTTTCCACACTAAGGGGCACTTTTTGCACATGGACATGTCTTATGGTTTCTGTCACCGCAGCCCCCTGAAAGATTTAGGATGTTCCGCGTTTTCACAGTTGCACCACTCAGTAACACTACTACCAGTCTATCTTCCTCCAGAGCCTAAAAGTCGAGTCCTCATTTGTCCACGCAGATGCTGCCAGTCCAAGTGCACTCTGTAAGCACCGGCCTACATTATTTTTACTATCACCTCTGCCAAACAGAGACACTTTTGTGACAACATTCTTACCTGTCCACGTACCAATGCTGCCGGTCAACGTTGTCTGCCGTGCGCCCCTCCTCTCGCATGACTTCTTCCGCCACAAGGGATCCATGCACATTGGACGGGGGGTACGACTTGCCCGCCAGCTTCGCGTTCAGACCCTTCAGCAGCTGCGGCAGATCCGCCTTCCCCAACTGATGCATTTCTGTTGACTATGGTTCACCCGACAAAATGCTGACCTCAAGAATGCTGGCGGTATAGGAGCTTGCAGCGTCACTATGCAACGCCAAAGCTTATGGCAACCAGTGCCTGCTCTTAGTCTTGCTGAAACCCGATTGTGCTGCTAGTGTCCCAATGGCAAAAGGGTTGGGGCAGGGAGTCAACTACAGCCCTGCAGCGCCCTGGCCGCCAGAATCTGCATGAGCTTTCAGAGCAACTTTTGTTGTTGTGAACAGTCTGGCATATGCAATTCATCAGCTGGAAATTGCAGACTCGCACGTTCACCTGAGGGTGAAGCGGGAACTCCCGGGTACGAGTCGCCGGGAAAATTTACCCTTTTGGGGCCCCGGTTACTGTCTCGGGCGTTTCGCTTGGGGGATCCCTTGACCTTCAGTTGTGTGCACACTGCAGCGGCCCCTTGGCCCTGGGAGCTGCGTACACATCTGGACAGTCGCCTGCTGCCGCCTCTGATGGGCCAGCATCGTCAGGCAGGCGCCGCCGTTTCGAAAGGGAACTATCCACACATGTTGAACGATCCGCTATTACTGCTACGTAAAACAATAAATTTACACTGATAGCAGGCCGTCTACTTTTAAGCTATCATTGCATGCCATGCAGCCTTGAAGCGAAGACTTGCCAAGACCGTTCTTTAAACTTGAAAAGAGAGGGCCTGGATACGTACGCAAGCATCTAAGGTCAGATGGTCAAAATGCCCCATGGCACGCACGATAACTATAAAGTCAATCCATGAACTGTCAATTTTAAATAAGTGCAGATATTGGTCAGATGTGTTGGTCCGTGATGAAGTCGGTTAGACGTCTATCGAACCTACAAACCTGCTTTTTCAGACGCTACTGGAGTACGTGCTTTTCATGGCAAGAGCCCGCTGCTCCCGCCAACAGATTCGATCCTAAGCATTTAGCCTGTCTTTTGTATTTACATGCTAATCGCTGACTCTATTGAGCACCTCTATTGAGTGTGATCGCTTTAACTACTAAGTATCAACTCACCCGGTCAGCTCGAACCAACCTGGGTCTGATAAACATCTACATCGCGTGCTTCGTCTTCTAATGTTCAACACGTGCGCTCCGGATCGCGTACTTTATTTCTGTTTACAACTTTCAGACCCAACTTCGCTGCGAGGCCCTTTGCGCCCCCCCACTTCTCGAGGGCCCGGGCAATGTCGAACCGCCCTATGAGAAGGGAGAGTGACGTCAGCAAGCCCACAACGCGTAGAGTCCTGACCAGGAATGACCATGTACCGTTTCCTTACTTTAACAGAGTCCAAGACGAGCGGTGTATTCCAAGGCAAGACCGAAAAGCCATCCACTTTCCCCGTGTGGAGGAAAAGGATGCTGACATGCATTCTGACTCAAGCGCAACGGCTGCAAACTTTCAACCTAACAGTCAGGAGGCAAAAGCGTGCCTCTCTGCGAAAAGCTGAATCGACTCGTACCTGCTCTTTCAAGCATCCGGCGCGAAGGCATCACGCCCCGGTCTACTCCGATGACGGGCTGGAGGGCCTTGATCTGCAGCGCAAAGCATCGGGGCAAAAGGGATTGAGCTTCTACTTGGGTCACTCGATGCCCTCGCAAAGACCATCTGAGAGAAGACCTGGAGCCAATATGCATAGATATCCCTTTCTTTTATTTTCCTTCTTTCGCCAGGTCCTAAAAGATATCGCTGGCTTCTGCCGGTGTTGACTTGCAGGACCTTTTCTTCTGAACCGCCTGTATTCCCGGTTTTGAGCTCTCGATCCCCAGAACCTTCAAACCCCAACGACCTAGTAAGTCGATCCTTACCTCTCGCTCGGTATTGGCCAGGTCGCACCAGTACCCCGCTGGCTCTACTAACGCTGGACTGCATACCCAGTATCCTGGAACCAATAAAGTTACTGAACCCTCGCTACTCTTACAACCGCACACCCTCAATCCTCGGGACACTTTCAACTCAATCCTCACCTCTCGCTCAATGTTCGCCAGATCGCACCAGTACCCCGCTGGTTTCTGCTGATGCTGAATCTCCAGCCCCAGTCGTGCCGCGACAATTGCAGGGCCGCCGTGCAAGCGCATTCCTTTTTCCAGGTCCGCCCGCTTCGAGCCCCGCAACTGCGACCTCGTCGGCATAACCCCCATAACCCCGTGGCGCAAGATAAACTCTTCGAGCGCCGCCGTCAAAGCGCCAAAATCCGCAAAGTCTGGCCGGCTAAGAGGACGCATATTGCGGGACTCGGTATCCGGCAGAATGCTGGCTTTTGGTCTTGCCCTCCGCAGGGGAAAACCCGCGCTCGCTTTCTGCACCGGGTTAGCCCTAACCCTCCTCAGTTGCTTGGCCTGCGGGGCGCGTTTCACTTTCGTATCGAAAAGCGTTCCGGGAGGAGCGACCGGTAGATGACGGAGCGTCTTTTTCCGAGGGGAACTTTCCGACACCTGGGCGACGTCTGTGGCTAAGGTGGGGGTCCGGCTGCCCCAGCTTCGACCCCCCCTCGGAGGGGCGCTCGCTCCGGGGGTGTCATCGTTGCTGCTGCGGAAGGAGGGGTCCGAGTAGATGGACTTTAGCGACTCGACGCGCTTCCGGATCGCGCAAAGGTTGGCGGGCAGGTCTTCATAGATCACCTGCGAGTGCGTGCCGTCAATGTTAGATGTTGGAGCAACTATTTATTTCGCCCAGTCTGTCACGTGAAAAAAGGTCAGAAATAGGCACAGCGCGTCAATTTGCGCTACGACTTCTTTAATCTACCACACCGCATTCCATAGTCTGATTCCGCAACCCCCCCGAGTCAATATCCCAAACCCACCTCTTCAATCTGCGCCTCCGCAAGCATCGAGTCCTCGTGCATGTGCATATCCGCCACACAGCTGCAATCGCTCCGAGACTTGGAGAATCGGAGACTTCCTTAACCTCGAGATTCGGAACACCTGCGACTCAGAGTCTGCGAAACTCCCAAATCGTCGAAACATTAGAAACTCACCTCTTCAATCAGCGCCTCCGGCAGCAGGGAGTTCTTGCGCACGCGCGTCTCGACCAGATTCTTTGAGATCGCCCTGGGACTGAGAGTATTCCAAGCCTAACCCTTCCACCTGCACCCCGGTGGTCCTGCCAAACCCCCATCTAATACAAAACTCAAACCCACCTCTTCGACCAGCGCCTCTGGGAGCAGCGAGTTCTTGCGCACGCGCGTCTCCACCAAACACTTTGCAACCGCTCAAAGACTCAGAGACTTCCAATCCTAACCCGTCCACCTGCATCCCAATCAACAATCCCAAAGGCCCATCTTAACAAACCTCAAACCCACCTCTTCAACCAGCGCCTCTGGGAGCAGCGAGTTCTTGCGCACGCGCGTCTCCACCACGTACTTGAGCATCGTGTGCCCCGGCCCCAGCGGCTCCAGGAGCCACCGCCCCTCGAACGTATCGAAATCGCCGTCGATCTGCTTGAAGTGGATCTCCTTGTACGGCCGTTCGACGATGTCCATCGTCGCCTGCGCGTGCAGCACCATGTAGCAGAGGCACTTCACACCGACCTGGTGTAACCGCACCCGGCGCTCATCGGGGTGACGCGAGCGGACGTCACTGCGGGCCAAGTTGGGGATGAAGCTGCAGAAAGATCAAGAAATCGTCAAGATCCGCAAGAGCGGTCAGTGATGAATATTGGGGGTGACGTAAAGTGATTCCCGCTTCGGGCCAGATTGGGGTGAGTCTGCCGAGTGGCAATGGATTGCTTTTCTGTGGTCAACATGAGTGTGAATGACTCCAGGTGCAAATTTTTATAGACCCGGAAAAAGATGGACCAGCTGACAAGACACCGAATGTGGGGCCAAATTTTCAGTGTAATGGAGGCACAAAGGGCCGCCGATTGAAGCAGGAGACCTATGGGGCATCCCATACCCTTTGGTCAGCAGTGACAATAACCTCTTTCTCCAAGCGGACGGAACTCTACGTTTTGCACGGAGATTTTCAACCAGATGCACTCATTACGAACGAATGCGAAGTTCCATTTTCATGCAATTTGTGACAATCTGAAGCGGGATGCAAAGTAGAGCTTGTGGACCTATGGAAAGAAAGCGCGAATACTCCGGACGGACCAAGAGCAAACGATATTAACGCTTTGGACCTCTTCGCTAGCATTCTTGGCTTCATATCCAGTCGATAAAGCGGTCTTACTTTTTCAAAACAGCAGGCCCGAAGAAGCCTCTTCGAGTACACTTCGCGGAGATCCTCTTCGGGAATGAGGGCTCACTCTTTCAGCCGTTCGTAGTCCGTCAGAACGTCCCACACCGCCTCCACCGTCGCAGCTATGGTGATGGCCGCAACCACACGACGATGGACTCCGCCCCTTTCCTGCATCGACGGAGGAGCGAGAATGCGATCCGCAATCCTTCGGGTAACTTTCCCTCCGCTTCTATCTCTTTCTACACACACGAGTGGCCTCTTCTTTTGATAAGGAATGGTGTGCACACGCCAGCTAGAAACTTTTGAGGCATCAGCAGAACACGTGGGAGGAAGCAACAAGGGTGAAGCGAAAGAAAGTAGAACGGGAATCAGGGAGGAACTAGCGAGTGCCAGAGTCAAAGCGAGAAGGCAGCAGCGGAACAAGTGGAAGTCGGACTCCAGAGACACAAGAAGAAGAAGCGAAGAAAACCAGAGAAGGACGGATGGAGGATACCAGCAAACGGGCCAATTTTGAAGGGGAGCCAAAGGGGCCGGAGGTACGTACCAGGAGGTCGTCCAACCGTCGCAGGTGCACTTCGTCCACCCTCTGCTTGAAGCCCGCCCTGATGTCCCGGTCCTCAGGGGGGATCACCGTGCACTCTGCCGGGAAATACGGAGCATCGACCAGCTGGAAGTTGGACTCGGTGACTGGATCGCGAACGGTGTCAGGGCGCTCCGTTTTACGCCCCCGTTCTCGTTCCTCCTCCCAGCGGACCGTCTTCGTTGCTGTGTACCCGGGTTTAGGGACGGGTTCCTTGGTGATGTTTTCGACGGCTGACCGAAGTTCCGATTCTGAATGCGCGTCCGGAGAGCGCCGTGACTCCTGTGCCGAGAACTCGTTTGTCGGTCCTTTTGCCTCCGGATGAACCTCCTTTTCCTGCAAACCGTTGACCCGCTTTCTTGGAGTGCCGTTTCCGGCACCGTTCTTAGGAGGACTTGTGACTGCCGTTACCCCACTGCTCGTCGGTTGCCCGTTCGAGCCACTTTCTCCATTCAGTCCGTTTTTTCCATTTGACCCGTTACTAATTTCCAGTGCGGACCCTCCCCCCTCCACTCCCGTCGTCAAATCGTTTCCTCTTCGATCCTCGTCTTCTTCCGACTCGGTCTTGGTGGCACTCTCACAGGCTGGGCCAATTAACCCCGGGTTAGGAGGCTGACCGGGCCCTGACCACCAGCTAACCTCCAGATCTAACCCTGCCCCCGCCCCTGTGGCGACCGTGACTACAGATGGCGGCAGTGCAGTCGACGACCCGTTCCCGTTCTCGATTTCTAAGTCCAAAATCGGCGCAGCACCCTCTGCTGACGTCAGAGATGGTGCAGTAGATGACGTCATTAAAGCCTGTGCGCGGTTGGCAATGGCGCGAAGGTTCCGGGGGAGGTCCGCCTGAATGATGCGCTCGACAAAAGCGGTCGGGAGGATCGCCCGGGGCAGGACGTCGACTTCGTAATGCAAGGTCACATGGCCGTGCCTGAGAAGAGGATTTTTTGTTCAAAGTTCTCGACAAGAATCTACAGCGGGTATCGCTGGAGGAGCGGTTTGAACGGCATGACGGCTAGGGGTATGGTGGAGAAGGAGATTCTCAACCTCGTAGAAACATGGCCTTTAGAAAACTCAGGTATTGGCTTCTATACCTAGGTGTTTCGTAATCCGGAAACGTGTCAAACTTGTTTGATACAAGCTCAGACAAAAAATGCAACCTTGCTTAGGTGCTTCAACCACCCAGGGCGCTCCATACCAACGAGGTCCAACGCTCATGCTTTTAAAACGACCGAGTCAACTCTGACCAAGTGTCCGACGACTTGAATGCCTCACCTGTTTGACTCTCGCAGCGCCCACTTCCCGGCAAAAAGCTTGAAGTCTCCCTCCACCATCGAGAAGTGCAGCTCCGGCCCCCCAGGCTGCAAACGAAGACCAACCTTGTCAAATTCGTACCAGCAACGTGGCCCTCTGCAAGCGTTGACGAGCTAAAAGAATCAAGTGAGAAACCCTGGCCACCTAATGTCTAAGCCTAGTCCTGCGACATGGCATTGAAACGTTATGAGGTCGCCCCGTACACCCTTTCAGGCGAAACCGAGTGACGTCAAAGGAAGACAAATCACAGGCAGGAAAGTATTTACAGAAACATCGTAATCACTTCGAAGCTTCCATCTTCATGTCCTTCAGGCGCACAGCAGAGGTTGTCTCTGCGAAAAGGGAGAAGATGCATCATGCACCAGAATAAGTAAGAGCAACACCAGAAAAAGTAAGATCAACACCTAACCCAGAAATCGGACGAGACACCTGCTCCTTCAAATTCAAGCAGTGGCCATTGTCCTGTCCATTTTTCCTATTTCCCCTTCAATGACAAAGTCCTAGGACAGGGAGGAACCTGCTCTGAGCCCCTGGTTATGTAAGCAACAGCTCTGATATAACTCACCGCTGCAAACTTTTCCTCCAGATCGAGCACCACACGCGCTTCAATCTGCCAGTACATGGAGGACTGGACGCCTAGCTGGAGCAGCCAGATGCGGCCCCGCGTCGGACAAGGGATGCGCTCACTGCACGATGGTTTACCAGAGAGCTGATGTCAGAGCTGATGTCATCTTGAGTTGACTGGACTTGTTCCAGCCCCTCCAAGGAGCATTTAAGTTGCTAGAAGCCTGGGAGATTTAAAAGCTGCCTAGTTAGAGCCCAGGAAAGTGCTCATACGCTTTGTGTGTATTGCTTGGGAAAGCATCAGCGACTTATAGGAGTTTGAGGGATTACAGGAGTGTGAGGGAGTCTCTCTGTCTGATACAGCAGGAACAAACTCAACGCGCACTGTATTCCCCAAGCTCAGCCAGATTGCGAAACGATTCACAACTCAGAAAAACAAGATACTCCTGATAACATTCAAGAGAATCCGCGAAAGTATCCCCTTGGAAACAACCACCCTAAACCCCGGGCTCACGTACTGGCAGTTTTGGAATTCCAGACACCAACACTGACCAAAGCAGGACTGGTAATTTGAAGTAGAACCCCATCAAATCTCTCTACCTTTTGGCCAGGTTCGGAATGAACTCCGCCAGCCTCTCATAGTCCGTCAGCACGCGCCAGACTCTCTCTGCACTCGCCGCCACCTCAACGCTTGCAGAGATATGCCGCTTGCGCCACGCAACCGTCTCGATCTTGCACTCCACCCGCTGCGCTTCCGCTGCCCCTTCGGGGAATATGCTTTCAAGGACAGTCTCAGTGAGGTTATGATCGGAGGAAGTATGGGGCCCCACCCATTTCAACGTGACGCCGGTCTGCTTCTTGGGGTAGGTCTGGGCCTTGTCTGTTGAGGCAGCGGCGATTCTTATGTTTCTTCGAGCATGAGTTCTGGTTCCAACATAAGGAGAGGCATGAGGGAAATGACGTCCCAGAAACGAAGAAGAGAAGGGCGTGGAGCCAGCTTTGCATGGTCGCTCGCAGCATTCCAAGTGTGTTGTATCTTTCGGACGCGTGTCGTAGTGAGGTTTGTCACGCTCAAAGGGCCTCCAAATAAAAGAGGCAGCTGCCCCTTTTGGAGGCCTTCCTACACTGGCATTAGACGACGTTATATTGGTTTGGATAAGGCCGTAAAAAGGAACAGAACGTGGCAGCCTGTCTAAAGCACCTGCCATTTGAAACCAGCAAGATTCTCATAAGTACCTCACAATTGGTGCAATATTGAAGAATTCAGTCACCTTAGCGCAACAACCTTATCTTCGAGCTAGCCTTGCCCCAAACCTTTTCTTCCACTTCCCCGGTGATGAGTTCTGTATGCAGTACAGCGTTTCTCCTGAAAGTTTATAAAGATGCCACGCCTTCCTTGCTGCGGAGCGCTCCCCATGCAGAAGCTGAAGTACCTAGCTGATGCTCAGGCTTCTGGAAGGTAGAAAGAGCAGGTCAGCCTGTTTTATGTAGCGACCCGACGCCAACCCCAAGCTAGGCGTTACAGTTTGATGTGGAGACGTACAGGGCACCGTAGAGATTGGTTATCCAGAAAACAGTACGTAACGCTGGCCGTCGTTTAAGCTAACCATGGAGGGGTTTCTTAGGGTCTATACACACAGAGCGGGTGTTCTTTTTGGCAAATCGCCGAGAACTCAAGGTGCTGTTTTGCCCAAATTCCCCCTGCAACTCAACGTCGTGCCGGGGGGTAGCTTCCGCACGCAAAATTGCCCCGTACACGGTCTGATCGCAACAACACCCGGTGTTCGGAGTCCGGACCGTCACCAGGCTTTTTTCGGGGTGGCCGATTGGAACACCTCGGTGTTGTTGCTGACGTATGACCGTACGAGTCGGCGAAATGGAAACAACACCCCGCGATCGGCACGGTGCTTTTTGGGCGACGGCAGCACCGCGATTCCTGCTGTACCGTCGCTCGTAAAAACGAACACCCTCTCTGTGTGTATAGACCCTTATAGACCTTCTACCTTCGAAGTAATAAATAGCTAGAACTTGAATTGACAATGCCATTGGGAAGAAAGGAGGCGCCTCTCCAGTAAAAACCTGAGCCTCCGGCCTGAGGCTGGAAGAAGAAAGTTTGGGCATTGACAAAGCGTAAAGAGGGCAGCACATTGCGTTGCTCCCAGGCACATGTCCAATGCCATGGCTTTGCTCGACTGCAAACCGGGCGTCAGAAGCAATCTTCGCCATTGGCAACCAGCCGCTCAAAGAACAAACCCCCTTCTTGGACAGGAGGTTTCGCTGGTAGCAGGATGCAGAAACTCAGTTGTGAGTCCCTTAAGGCATTGGATTGGTGCTAGTCGTAGAGCGCCTTTGCTGAGTGCCGGTTTTGAATGTGGAGCGAATGGGGCCTGGAAAAGGCATTCAGGAGGAGCAAAGAAGGTGGGGGCGAGGGGGGCTCGGTTGGACTTGGACTGCTTCTCAAAAAGTGGTGGTACAGTAGAGAAGGTTGCCTCCAGTTGTGGGAGGCCACATTCGAAAGGCAAACCCTTTCAACTCTCTAGAAATAAAACGCGGGCAGAGGTGTTGAACGCTTCCACCGGCGGCCAAAGCGGCGTTGAGTTTGCTTCGCAAAGCGTTGGGCCGCAGGCAGCCAGCACTGAGTCTGAGTATGAGGAAGCCGAGTATGCTGTGGGGCGAACGGGAGGCGCTGAGGAGAGCCAGCCGGTGGCAAGCACTAGCGGCCGAGGCGAAACTATTCTTCCTTCAGGAGCGGAATCAAAGAGTGGCCGGAGAGCCAGAGGTAATGCGTCGCGCCAGTTCAGATATGATGGGGGTGAACGGACACGAGCAAGATGGGACTTGAATATGATTGAAACAGAGAGTCCGGAGGCAAAAGAGCAAAAGAGAGCGAGAGCAGAAGTGCTTGGAGGGTCAGAGGAGAACGGGCGTCAAAAGCCAGCGCTTGGGGCGCGTTTTGACACAGAAACCAATGGCGGGACGCATTTGGGTGCGGTTTCTGGTAATGGTGTCGGAACTGAGGGTTCAGAGGCGCGCGAAGGGGGCCCGAAAGAAGCGCAGATGCACACGGACGAAAGCGCCGATGCTAATTTGGAAGAGAGGCGCACCCGGAGAGGGGGCCTGCTGGAACGGGGTGGGAATGCAGATTTCGCGCCCAGCTTGCAGAGCCTTCTGTTGACTTTGAAAAGTGCGAACAACTCTCCCCCGCCCCCAAGCGCCTCCGCCTCTTTCCCGGGCCAGAAAGACGACCCCCGCGAGTGGCGGCGGCCGCTCCCACCGTCAGACGCCCCCGAAACTGCCCCCCCAAAACGAAACCGGCGGCGCAGCAAGGCGCGCCAATTGGAGCCGCACCTAGTTACGCAGGTGGTGGAGGAACTGAAGCGGGAGCCGCAGTGGGGCAACATCGCAGGGATTCTTGACAAGTGGGAGGGGAGAACTAGTCTGAGGAACTACGAGCTGCTGATGAAGGAGCTGTGCTGGCAGGGGGACTACCTGCGCAGCGTCAAGGCGTTTGCGTGGATGAAGGAGCAGCGCAAGTGGTACCGCCCCAGGTCAGGCTGCTGCTTTCATTCTACGAAGGTGCTCTGGGGTGTATGAGGTTGGGTCAGCTCCCAGCTTGTCATGCGACTTTGCTGGATGTCAAGGTCTCCCGACAAGATTGTGATGAGCTGGGCATAGCCTTCATTGCTGCCGTGTGCACTGTAGGACCTTGTTTCGAGCAGAAATCGACAGCTGCTCCGAACAAGTGCACTGCGATCATGCGGTCTGGAGCTTAGAAATCATGGAATTCTATTCAAAGAACTTGTACAGTACTTCGGAATTTACGGATGCAACTAATTTGTAAGCGTTTGGCAAGATGAATAAAAACCTGTTTTCTGCATCGCAGGGTCGAGATCTACAACCACCTCCTGCAAATGCTCTCACGCTACGGCAAGCTGGACTTCATCCGGGGCCTCTTCAAAGAGATGGACCTCTACAGCGTCATGCCGAACAGCGAGTCCTGGCAAGCGCTGATCTCAGCACATGGGAAAGCGGGTTCCACAGAGGGGGCGGTCTGGGCATTTGAGGAGATGCAGCGGCGGGGCGTGCCGGCAAACAACTGGTCGTACAACTGTCTGCTGTCGGCGTTTGCCCACGGGCGGGAGTGGCAGCGGGCGCTCGAGTACCTGGACAAGTGAGGCTTTTCAAGCTGTTTCCTTATGAGGGACGAGTGGAAAGAAGCATGGCCGTTTTTTTGCCTGAGATTGGCCGTCTGGGAGCTGCGTGTTTTGGTTTTCGTTGGCACTGGAATCTAAAGCACAGCAGAAGGTTTGCCAGGTGTGATGGCTCAGACAGGGGTGACCCTGTGCTCTGAAGAAGCCACCGTGTCATCCATCTTGTGGCAGCCTGTTGGAAGATTGGTGCCGTCTAGTTCCGTTTTCTGTTGGAAGCAAAGCGTCAGGAAAGCACTGAAAAGCAGAAGAGTCGCTTTACTTAGCACCCAAAGAATCTTGGAACACCAGATTGCAGACAGCAAGCCAGATCCAGCGATTCCTCTCTTTCGCCAGCTTACACAAGGATGGCAGCAGCTTATCAGCAATATCATAAGCTCTTACACCAACGATCTCTTTCCCCCACCCCTGGATGCCGGGATCTGAATTCCTGGTAAACGGGGAATGATGCACGAGGCTGCCCCGCTACCTCTCTTTCCTCTGTTCGCCACACCAGAGAAACCGACTCTAGAAGGGAAGGGCTGGAGAATATTGCAAACGTTTCGAGTCATTGAATGCCCTTTGTTTTGCCCAGTTCCGCTCCAGAATGCAAGCGGACGGCGACTCCCCTGACCGCATCACCTTGTACACGGTCCTCTCGCCGCGCTGCAAATGACTTGAATCATGCAATTGACCATCATTCCGTCCGTTTCGTTCCGCTTCAGGATGCAAGCGGACGGCATCTCTCCCGACCGCGTCACCTTTAATACGGTCCTCTCCGCGTGCCGCAACGGCGGCCAGTTCGAGCGGGCGATTGACATCTTCGAGTCCCTCCCCAAGCTCGGCATCTGCCCAAACCGCGTCACGTGCAACACCATGATCACGGTCTACTCCCGCATCGGCCACTTCGAGAAAGTGACGGCGCTGTTCGAGGAGATGCTGTCAGCTCCGGGGGGGTCCCAGCAGCGGCCGGACCTGCTCACGTACAATTCGGTGCTTCAGGTAAGGTTTAGCGGATGGTTGATTTTAAACTTCTGGTTAGTGGATAAATGATGGCACTGTTTGAAGAGATGCTGGCCGCACCGGGGGGGTCCCATCAAGACGGCAAGTCTGCTCATTCTGCGGCCCACTTTCTGCATGTATTCCGTTTCAATGTTACGGCGACAAGGAAGGCACTGAAATGCAATGAAGCAATCAACTGCTCCTTGCAGACTCGAATTTGAGCCTACTCCATGCCAGCGGAAAAGTAGCAATGGGCATTCTGCCCCTTACGATCGTACTACTAGGTTAGTCAACAAGTGGGAACCCTCAAGTGTAGCGAGCGCCAACCAAGCCCTAATTGTTCAAGCCTCAAGCAAAATCTTTCTCCATAGGCATACTCCATGAGCGGCGACATTGAGAGGGCGGGCGCGCTGTTCGACCGCATGCTGCAGCAGGGCCCCCGGCCGAGCCTGGTGACGTGGAACACGCTCATGTCGGCATATGCCAAGCTGGGGCGCCACGAGGAGGCACGTGCCCTGCTGCTGAGGCTGCGGCAGTACGGGAAGCGGCCGGACGTTGTCTCGTACTCGACGCTCCTGTCGGCATATGCCAAGGCGGGATTGGCCAAGGAGGCGCGAGGGGTGAGGACGTGGGGGTTTCAGGGGCTTAAGCGTTCTTATGCTTTTAGAACCTCGGTTTTTGATGCATCCAGAATTATATGTGCGATGCTTCGCTTGTTGTCCGTTACGAGCTGGAAAGGACGAGTCACTTTGCACGTCAAGAAGCTTCACTCTCACAAGCATGGAACTGCAGGAGACTTCGAACATTAAAACTACGGTAGCTTTTCAAGGTTTTGGCGAACGGAGAAGCCCAGGTTGTTGACTTTCTGGTTTTGAAGGTTGAGCTTAATGTACTTTGCCAGAACCTGAGATCGTCCAAACCCTAGAACCCGCTCTCTTGTTTTCCGCAGGTCTTTGAAGAAATGACAAATGAGGGCGTGAAGCCCAACGCCGTGACTTACAACGCGGTGATGGACGCGTATGCCAAGTCCAACGACCACGCGGCCGCGCTGACGTGGCTGGAAAAGATGCGTGCCGACGGCGTGACGCCAAATGTCGTCACCTACACGACGCTGATCAACGCGTGCGGGCGCGCGGGGCGCATCGAGGAGGCGGCGCGGGTGCTGGACGAGGCGGGGGAAAGCTCTGTGAACGTGGTAAGTGTCGGCCTCGCTTCTTCTCCGTCGTTACGGATGCTGCCGTTTTGTGATCAGTTGGTCATCCTGACGGTTCTTCATCGTTTTCTGGCGCGTGTTGGACGAGCCGAGAGAAAGCTATAGGAACGTGGTGAATTCATTTTTGCCCTACCACTTCGCTTGTTTATTTCCGTTCGTTCCGAACGGTTTCACTGATTGTTGACTGCGTTCATCCTGTCGGGCTTTCTGTTCGGTTTGATTTGTTGTCGGCTCGGGTCCAGGTTACGTTCAACGGGATGCTCTACTCATTTGGTGCTAATGAGGCTATCAGCGCTACCTTTGCTTATGGATTGTTTCCATCCTGACGGGTTTGTTATCCGCCTAACTGAATGCCAACGCATTTCACTCAACGTTCGCAGCGAATCGTCGTGCGGCGCCAGTTGCTCTCAGCATGATGCTGAATGGTAGGTTTTAGCGGCTTTCATAATAACCAGACTGAGTTTCACTTCGTCTTCAGGTGACGTTCAATGCGATGATCCACTCGTGCGGCGCCAACGACGCGTTCGACGCGGCGATCCGCGTCTTCGAGGCAATGCGCGTGTCGGGGCTGCAGCCCAACATCGCGACGTACAATGGTGTGCTGGACAGCTTTGGGCGCGCGGGAAAGCTTGACGAGATGGAACAGGCGTTTCAGCAGATGCTGCGAGAGGGGCTGGTGCCAACGGTCGAAACGTTTACGATCATGATTGACCTGTACGGGAAGAAGGTAGGCCGGCCGTAATTGGACCCGTTTTGTTCTAGGTTACTGCTCTGCTTCGCTGTGCTGGGCTTCGCCCAGCGTCTCCCTTCCTGGAGGCTTCCGTTTGCTTTTTACGCCTTCTGGCGGCTGTAAGACGTTCAGGATGAGAGCCAACCTGTACGGAAAGAAGGGGGTTGAGTGGTCGCGTCTTGTTGGATTCAATGCTGCGTTTTGCTTTGCTCTGTGTTCCTTCGTTTTGCTTTCTTGTGCTTTGCTTTGCTGTGTCTATATGGCTGTGCTTCGCTCAGCGCTCCCGTCCCTTCGAGCGTTTACGCTTTCTGGTGACAGTCAAATTGATTAACGTCGAACAGAAGGTGGACCTTCACTGGTGTGTTTTTTACCGAAAGTTGGCGTTGGATGGAGACGGTCGGGGCTCTCGCACTATCAATCTTGGTGACTGCGTCCCCTTCCCTACGACTCTGTTCTACTTTTTCTAATTTCGTACCGGGACATGGCGTTCTCCACACAACGCTGCGATGCAAGCACACCTGCTCAAACAGGCCTCTCCCGTTGAAAACCGCGCAGCTACGGACTTCAAACGCATGTCTTCACGCTTCATGTGCCAACAAGTCTCTTCCGACAGGGGGCCCTGTGCCGCCTCAAGTTGCTCACTTTCTCACGCTGACTGTCGACCACTTTCTTTCCGACAGGGCCTCCCCGAGGAGGCATGGCGCACGTACGAGGCGATGAAGGCCGCGGGCTGCCCGCCCAACATCGTCACCATGACGTCACTCATCAACGCGTGCGCCAAGGGCAACATGTACTATGAGGGGCTGCTCGCATGGCAGGAGCTGCTGGCCATGGGGCTCGAACCGGATGTCGTCACTTATGGCGCACTCATCGAGATGTGCAACAAAAACGGCAACTTCGACGTGGCGCTCGAGTTCGGCGAGAAGATGCGGGACAGCGCGCGGCGCGCGGGCGGGCTCAAACCCAACCTGGTTATCTATAACCAGCTGTTAGCGGCGGCGGGGCGGCAGCGCGACTTCGACCTGTGCGTGGAGCTGTTCCAGGAGTTGCAGGACAACGGGCACGCGCCGAACAACTGGACGTTCCACGCGCTTATGGACGCGTTCGGCAGCGCGGGGCGGCCGGATAAGGTGGAGCGCATCTTCCGGGAGATGCACAACGTGTTCGGCGTCGACGCGAATTTGGTGTCGTATAACCTGCTGGTCGGGGCGTATGCCCGGGTCATCAACTCTCGGGCGCTGGACATCTTCGAGGAGATGAAAGAAAAGGGGATAGCGCCCAGCGTGATGACGTATAACTGGGTGCTTATGTATATGCGGAAGGCGGGCACCGGGCCGCAGAAAGCGATCCGGCTGTTTAGCGAGATGGTGGCCGGGGGGGTCGCCCCGACGGCCATAAGCTATGTCGAGATGGTCCGGATATTGCAGCGGGCGGGGATGGACGAGGAGGCGGCCGCAATGCAGAAGGAGTTGGAGTTAGTGCAGGGCGATGACGCAATTATGAGGGTTGCGGAGCTGACGTCAGAGCGGCAAGTTAGCTCAAGGGGAAACGCGGAAGTTGATTCTAGGGGTTCGTCTGATCTAGAAACGGATAACCCGGAAGAGTTGTTAGAAAACAAGGCTGGGTTGTCAGACGGGTTGGAAGGCGAGGCGGGCTGGAGACACCTGCTGGTCGCCACGGAGCGAGGGGTCGATTAGATACTATTTTGAAGAAACAGATCAGGACAATAGCCTCGTTTTGAAACAGTGACTGTATTGATCTGAGCCATTGAGCTAGCGCGCGTCTCGTGGTACATTCGCAGAGATGTTTCAACCAACAAACGACATCAATATTTTGATTGTCCCTGCGAGTGCCTTGTTTCGAACTTCGTTCTGTTTCAATCGGATTTGCAATCTGAAAGCTAAGTACCGGTGGCTTGCACGTTCGCAATGGTGGGCGCAAAAAGGTAATAAGTCGGCACACCTACGTTTCCGGGCAGCGCGACGACTCTTGGCAAAGTCTGTCCTTACATCTTATCAGCATCATTGATATAGTACTCAGTCGGAAAGGCCACCGTCGACGATCCGCACATGGCACGAGAAGTTCAGATTTTGGGGTGCGCATTCATGCAAAGCATGCATGAGTGTATTGAGAGTGATGCAATGAGCTTGTGCTGGTCCACGCGGGTCAAATTGAGTTGGCCCGTAAATATCATTCTTGCCTCGATCAATCCCCATACTGAGCCGTGTGCAAGGGACAGCCGCCATCATTGCCCATGAGCTGGAGGCTCCATTAGCCATTAGTCCATGAGGTGGGCGCCGGCGGCTATTGTATCTTTCCAGCCATGCTGAAATTAGGCTCAAAGCAGGACGGTGGATCATATATACCCTCATATACTCTCATCCATACCCTTTCAAGCTAGTTTGTTCTTTCAATCGGTAGCAAGCAAAGATCTGGATCAAAACCATAGGTTCGTCTTGATGTAAAGCTTACGGCTGATACTTCTGTTCTCATGTTCCATGGTCACTGTCATGCACACGTAGGCGATGGCTTATGTGTGGAATCCGAACACGTTTTGGAGAGCTGCAATAATCTGGAAGATCTGGACAACCAGTATGAGAACCACTGTTGGCACGGTCGAAAGCGGATGACTTTCATCACAGGCAACACAGGCTCGACTGCTCGCTGCTCTTTTTGGAGCATAGTGCCTTTTACATCAGGACAGTGCAAGAAGCTCACACTTGCCGCGCTCATTTACGAATTATGGGCCCCACGATCAAGCTTGAGTCGATGCAACGACAATGCTGTGCCCGGCCCGGAGCACAAAAATACGAGTACGCAGCACACACTGGAGAAGGACTCTCCATCCATTGATCAGCTTTGGCACAGTTCGGACTTGTAGCAGGTTGACCAAACATCCACCCAAGCCCGATACACAGAAACATTTGCACCGGTAAAATACGACCGTTTTGATTGTTCGATGCTGTCAGGGCCAGCCAGGCGCCAATTCTGTTCAAAACTTGTCAAGATCCAAGCTCTCCACAACGCTTCCGGAAGTGTCGGCGGCCGCCTTAAGGGCGTTTGCCGTATCGCTGTAGCGCTTCAGGTCGTATCTCTCCAGCGCAGAGAGCGCGTTCTCACTCTCCGTAAAGAGCACACACTCGGCGCATCGCAGTGCGCCCTCCATGATCCCCGGCGCTTTCCTAACCTCCCCCACAAAGATAACTCGGTCGTCTAACCTAACCTCGATTGTCCTGACCCCCCGGAAAGAGTGGATCCGGCTGCAGTTGTAGTTCCACACCCGGATCATGCCCAGCGTCGTGACGTCATCGAGGCTGACGTGGATGCTGACCGCCTCGCCGGGTGTGAATGGGGCCAGCCAGTGGTGTAAGTCGTCGCAGGTCCAGTTCACACCGTCCAGCAGCTTGTCCACCGTCCGGGGGTCCGAACCGTACCCGGACAGGATGTTCAGATCCGGCGGTTCCGCCCGGAGCTGCTTCTCGAGGGAGCGGAACGAGAGCGGCTCTCCGGCGGAGTCGAACAGCTCCAGCCCGGAAAGCCCGACATAGAACGGGTCGCCCCAGTTCTCCAAGATGTGGACCGTCAGCTGACTGCCACGTGGCTCGCAGGGAATGGTAAAGGAAGTCGGCATCGGAACGGAGGCCTGTAGCAGCTTGCCACGTGGCTCCTCGGGGGCAGGCGTGACGTCCAGACTCTCAGCCGGGTGAACGAACGACGAAAGAGCGTCGTCTTCCGCTCCCCTGTCTAGTCTCGCGCCGCTAACTCCCGGAGGGGTTATTACACCCGTCGGCTGCGCAGGAGCAAGCCAGCTTGGCTCCACCAGAGCGTCGGCGATCCGTGCATCTCTCTTGTCCGCCTCTTTTTCCGCTCGAGAAGCCGGCCGGAAACCTGCCCGCTGCAGGCCCGTTCCAAGTTCCGTTCCGCCGAGCGCAGACTTCCGGCCGCCGGCCAGAACGCCTCGCTCCGAGTCCGGTTCTTCCGTTCTTTCTCCGCCTAGCTTCTCTACCGAAACCACCCCTTCCTGCCCTTCGGGCGTATACACATCGGGCAGGGGTTCCGGACACGGGAGCGGTTCCGCCGGAATGTGGAGCCGCCCCGCGTGCGAGTGCCGGAAGAACGCCAGCGAGTCGAGCGACTGCTCCAGCGCGGACGGTGCGCGCCGGTCGCGCCCCTTCCGGCGGAACCCTTCCGGTGCCTCCTCGACGGAAGGCGTCTCCATTCGAGACCGGCCCCTCGGTCGAAAGGCCTCGTTGGGAGACTCTTTACCGGGCGATACGCTATCCCCGACATAGACTGCGCGCGCAGTCTCGTGCCCCCGGTTAAGACTTAAGCCTCTTTCCTCGGACCGGTCAGATGGACGCAACATTTTTGGATCGCCGTCGGACGTCCGATTGACTGACCGCCTTCCGCTAGCGCGCTGCGCCAGCGACATTTCCCCCGTTCCGCTCAACCGAGCGCCGGAACGGACCGCCGAGCGACCCTCCAGCCCAAGGGAGGACCGCCGCGAATGGCGGACAGCGGAACCGGAACGGCCACTCGACTCCATCTCCGCTCCGTTTGCATCGTTCCGTTCCGTTACGGACTGCCCACCGTTCCGTTCTGTTTCTGTGGCCTTCCCCCTGCGACCCTTTCCGGGCTGCCCCGAAGATGACGTCACCCCGAAGACGGACTCGGGGGATGACGTTGGGGACGGCGTGTCGGTCGTGATGACGTTCAGGAATGGCGAGCGGTTCCCGGCGCGGCTGCGGGGCCCCAGGAGGATCCCCCCGGCCAGTGCTTCCGCGTCTCGGGAAGGTCGGTTTGCGCTAACCGGGGCGGGGGTTAGGGAGGACGACACAGGGGCGGTGGAAGAAAGCGAGGCCTCGGCACCCGGTTCGCCGCGGTACGAGGTAGTTCTGGTGACGTCATCGTCCATGCTGACGCGTCTCCTGCCTGCTCGTGGGGAAGGGCTGTCTTTCGAGAAGGAAGGGTTCGTTGGTAAAAGATCCGACGGTTCCGTCTGGTGTCCAGTCTTTGCCCCGGTGGTCGATTTCGGAGGTGTTTTGGAGGAGGAAAAGGATGTTCTAGAACCCCTTTGGGCTGTGGCGTCGTGCGGCGCGCGCAGACTTGGAGAGGGTGCGCGCATCACTGACGTGGGTTCGGGGGTTAGGGGCTGCGCAATCGTTCCTCGGCCAGGACTTTTTGGGGGGCGTTCGTGAGGGAGACCTGCATCAAAGTAAGGCAGAATCGTTTACTCGTGGTTCTTGAGAAGGCGAACAATTCAAAAGAGATGTGAGATGTTCAAGACGAAGCTGTGCCCATACTCCGAATAGACTTTTAGGCTGTCTATAAACCCTCTGCTGTTTACCACGAATTCTACAACTCAAGCAAGTGGAAAAGAATTCGGGTGAAAACTTATGTACAGATCCTTCGGTCCACCTCGTGTAACGGGCGTAGGAAACCGTTACACGAAGGCCTCTTTTTAACCCTATCGTTTTCAAAAGAAGGGCCAATTCGCTTACCGGTTTGCTTAACGCCCGGAGTTGACAGCCCTGAGGAGCATTGCGCAGCCAGCTCAGCTCTCCTCCTTTCAGCGACCGCGCTGGCATCACCGGCTTTTCCGGACCCGGGACTCGTGCTTCTGGTGTTACTGAAACCGTCCCCGGGTTCCGCACGCTCCTCGGGGCCTTGACACCGCTCCAGCTTCTGGATCACCTCCAAGAGGTACTCCTGCTTTTGCGTGTCAAGCAGCCGCAGCCGCTCGTTCAGCTCCGGAAGAAGGGGCTTTGCTGGCTTCCCTCCCAAACTCTGCATTCGGGCGACCGCCTCCTCCTCACCATTCCTCGAAGGTCGCCTTGCACGACCCTCTTTCTCCAACCCTCCAATCTCTCGTTCATCGGATCTGCTTTCCCTCCGTTCCGCCTCCGTTTCGCTCTTCCGCTCCTCCGCCCTTTGCCCCTGCGCCAGACGCTCCAGTTGCGCCGCGAGCGCTTTGGCATTCTCCCGCCTCACAGCCTCCAGCACGAGACTGACATCCGTTCCCGGCTTGGTTCCGTTCCTCGCCGTCAAGGGCGCCCTCGGCACGGATTCCGCCGGCTTCGGGTTCGACAGAGCAGAAAGCGGACGGACCCTTCCGGGCTTGCCAAGCGGACTGCCTGCGAACGTGATTCCTGGAGACACCTTCGTTGGAGAGTATTTCTCCTCCACAAAATGCCCGCTTCTAGTTGGGGTTGGGGCTGATTCGTCTGGACTCGAGTCCGACTCCTCCACAACCGCACTGGTTTCCAGCTCTAGTTGTGCGCCACCAGGACTCTCGACCTCAGAAAGCTCTTCCTCCTCAATTTCTTCCACTTCTAGTTCTTTTCTCTTCATCGCACTGGGCCGGGGTACAGCTGTGACTGTAACGTAAGTTTCTCCCCCATCTGCTTCTTCAGAAACATCTACCACCTCCATCGAACCGAACGCTTCACTTCGAACCGTTCCCCAATCTTGGACGCTGCTATATGTGACGCTGCTCGCCGCCGTTCCGCTTCCGCTCCTTCCGGCCGTTCCGTTTTGTTCTGCTGGGCGGGACGAAGGACTCCGGTCTCCAAAGCGCGCACTCTTGGCATCGAAGCTCCGGATCATGTCAGGGGAGTCGACCGTTTCTAATGGAGGCACCGGAACGCTCTGTGGGCTCTCCAGAGGCGTTTGATCTATACTTTCTCGGTTCGGGGGGGTGCCTTTGCTGGCGACTTGGAGGGGGGTCTCGGCATCTGCATGCTGAGTCCGTTCGCTTTCCATCCCCCCCTCTTCACCCAGGCTGAAGTCCTCCTCAAAGGACTCTTCGTAGGCTTCGAAGTCCTCCGACTCGTATGACGCGCTAACACAAAGGTTCGCACCAGTCGCCGCATCCCGACCCTTTCCAGCTTCAGTGGCAGCATGCCTCTCGAAGTGGGGTTTCTCGACCACCGAAAGTTCTGTCCCAAGGAGTCTGTCTGGCTCGACGATCTCTTGCACAACCGTGAAGTCTGCGTCTTCATTTAAGCCCCGAACTTCTGCCACATGTCCAGCACCCCTTTTTTTGCCTACGTCTCCGATCTCCCTACGATCCAGATCTCTCCCCGCCTCACTCCGGCTCCTCTCCCCTTCTTTCCCTCCCCCATCTCCTTTCTCTTGGCCGCCAAGTTCGTCTTCATTCACCCCCGCTGACTGACTGCCATCTTTCAGGCTGTCTTCTGCTCCGTTTTCTCCGCCTCCCGTTTTCCCCGCTTCTGCACCTGTCTCCACCTCCACCTCCCCTCTCGACTTTCTCCCCCCTCTAGTTTCCTCGACCGGAAGCGCCGCCCCGTCGTCTGTTCTAATCACCAGCTGTTGCGCCCGCTGCCAATTCCGCCTCCGTCGGTGCTCGTCCTCGGTACCCCCCCCATGCCCAGAGCTTCTTCTACCCCCCCCCTGCACCTGCCTTTTCAGCTGCGCTTTTACCCGCTCCTCATTGGCCCCACTTAGCTGCAGATTAAACCCCTGTTCCCGTTCCCGGAACCCCCCGTGCGAAACGCGCTTCTCGGACGTTCTTCTGGAGTCCAGATGGGACTCGGCACTCGTCCGGCGGTCCGGAAAGAGCGCCTCTGCTTTTGAGCTACCGGCAGAGTGGGTGGTCCGGTGGGGGGCATAGTCGAGATGGTGTGAATGGGGCCAGGGGTCTCTCTCAGGAGTTTTCACACCAGCGGCGGCAAGCTCTGCCAGCGTGACTCTCTCGTTGCCTAACGCCCACTGCCGGCGCTGCCTCGGAGGGGGCGGTTCCATATTACCTGCATTCAAATTGTCTTCTTCTCCTCTGCCTGTTATCTGATTTTGATAACCTGATTATGCACTGGAGGCACAGGAAGTTTGTGATGTTGTCATTCTGAAGCAATGAGGATTTGACCCAAGACTTCCAAAAGTCTTAGTGAGCTTGGTGCCTGTATTTGCATCACACGTGCTTCAGATTACCAGACGGAAAGAGCCAAGAACTGGGGTAAGCTGCTGCTTCAACAGCAGCATTGAAAGTTTCATCGAAAGCTGAACTCAAACAATGTTCAACACCTCAACTGCTTTTTGCATCTTCCTGTAAGGCAGCTTAAATCCTTGGCTGGTAATCTGCAGGCTTCGCTACATGTAGAAGATGTAGCTGACTTTTATTTTCAAAGTGTTGAGCGGTGCAGTCTGCTTTACCCAGCTCAGTTGGGCTGCCCAGCTCACGCAGGCAGTGTCTATCCACATAAGAGACAAAGAGGTCTTCTTGCTACAAAGAGATGGCTTGCCTTCCATTTACTCAAAACTCGAAATCTGAGCTGTCTTCATGTCGACGTCAGCTCAAGGTTTGAGCCAAAAGCATGCCTTTAGAATTCCGCCAAGCCAAGCAACTCCGCACCGCAGAAGGGACATTCCAGCATTATTGTTCCGTAAATGAGCAGATTTGATGCAGATGGTAAATGATGGATCCATTCAACGCTCGGCGGCTTACCTGCCAGTCCTGAGCTGCTTTCAAGTCAGCACCGAGCTTTTTATCCTGATTTGCATGACAGCTGCTAAGTCGTTGAAATCCTTCAAAACCATGTCAGGTAAATGTGATTGTTCGACCACCAGCTCCTTCTCGACAAGACGGCAAGATATAGCGTCTAGGGGCGCGGGAAAACCTAAGCTTTTTGTATTCTTGTATTAGCCTGGCAGCAGACAGCAACTTTCAAGAGTCTTCAATTGCATGAAGTTGGTTCTCCCAGCCTGCCCTACCCAGAGGTTTTCATGTGGTTGCCTCCCTTATTGACATGACATGTTCCAAAATCGGTAAGGCATTTTTATTCGTGATCCTATTGGCCGAAACCCTTACCGGGTTGACCGCGTTGACCGAGATCGAAACTTGAGCGACTAACCCCCTACTAACCCCAGCAGATTTCCTACTTCGAAAACGAGAAAGCCTTAACCCCATACTCAAAAACCCTTCGCAAAATTTCCAAGGGGGAGGACATTCTAGTACTCGATCTTACGCCGGCTGACTCGCAGATAATTTTTAAGTTCACATCGGACGTGTACATTGTTTCCCATTCCATCCTGGCCGTCGACACTAGATATCGACGGTATGCATGGAGCTCCAAGTGAGAGCGCGCGCGACCATTCAATCACTCGAGCTCGCGTACTGAGAATTGGAGGTGTTTCAATCTTGCCAGATAATACTATATAGTGTCAGATGGAAACATATGGTGTACTTATGTAAGTAAGTAGTAGGCCCATAAATCCTTACATGTAAACCGTAGCAGTCAGTACGCACGCTTCTGGGGCTTTGACACCACCAGAAAAGGTTGGTGGTGTCAAAGCCCCAGAAGCGTGCGTACTGACTGGACTGAGCATGACCGGGGTACGCGAGTTCGAGACAATCGTTTTTTTCCTAGGTATTAGCTCAGAGTGTTCGCTGCAGATTCGAGAAAAGCAATTCCCGGTTCTCGATTCCTCAAGAGCGCTTTGCAGCTCCCTCACTCAGCGCACAATCTCTTTTTGAGAATGGCTTCATGTTCCAGCAATGGCAGCGCCATGGTTGGCTGCGCCTGCGGGTGTTCTGGGTGCCAGCCCCACCTGGTCAGCGAGTGGACACCAGAGGAGAAAGCAATCTTCTCCAGCCTGACTTCCATTCCGAAGATCCAGGACTTTGTGGACGCTCTGAAGTATGAAGCGAAGCCAGACGGTGCATGGTCGCCCAGAATGACCATTCGATGGGGCCATGGCCACTGCTTCGGAGGGTCCCTGTTTGCTGCAGCTGCGTTGCGCAACCTGGGTGAGTTTGCTTTAAGAAGTGGTCAGTCTCAAATCAAAGCCTGTTTTGTAGAATGATCCTTGCTCGACGCAGCTAGAGTTCTTCCCCACCTCCACGGCAGATTTGCTTGACTTCTTGCAACTGCTGGTGCTGGTCTCCTTTATAGACCTTGATAGAGGTTTCAATAAGTGCAGCTTGCTTCGTGTTATAGAAGCTACAATGAGGTCTCAACCAGTGAGAGAGCATCTTGCCAACAGAACTCTTGACTTTTACTTGATTCGTGCCAAGCATTTGAAGGACTTGCGAATCAGGATGAATCCGGTGATCGTACCTACAACAAGTTCAGCTTAGATTGCCCTCTTAACTTTGTAAGCAAATGCATTCATCCAGATCCGCATACAATGCTGACGCTTTTGGGGGCCTTCTGCAGGCCACCGGCCATACATGGTCCACATTTCCACAGACCCTGAGGTCGATGACGACCACGTGATCTGTGCCTATCAGATCGACGGCTACTGGGGCGCCATTGCAAAGTCCAACTACTCCACGTTGCGAGGCAGGGATCCGGTCTACCAGTCAATCAGGGAGCTCGCCATGAGCTACTTCGACTTTTACTTCAGCTCTGCAAAGGTCAAGTCGATGACTGGGTACTCTGATCCAGTGGCGTTGGAGCAGTTTGATGAGAGGGGCCCAGGAAAACAGGGCTGGATGTATGCGGAGGACAACATGGAGGATCTGGATCGGGTGTTATGTTACGAGGTAAATCTCGCATCCTCGTTTTTCTTGCACAAGGCTTTAGGTACCCGTTGAGTTCCTTTTTCTAAGGACATCTGGGGGCAGCCCGTTCGTCTTGAAAAGACAGATTGCAGATGCAGTGAGACACAAAGACCTATATTTCTGGGCTCCGGGCCTTCTGGACCACATCAAGACTAAGTGAGAACGAATTACTGTGGTTCTGTCAGACAATCTGCATCATCCTTTCAGGTGTGACGGCAAATGCCTCCGTATCGACGTATCTACTTGCTCGCATGTGACATTCTCTTCCATCACTCAGTCCTTAGGATGAACATCCTGCCTGAACGACCATACGTAAGCTGGTCGCTGCTTAAGGGCGGAGTTTTTAAAGACTTACAAGAATTGTAACAGGTTTGTATTCACCCTGCGTCGTGATGCTTGCAGGCCCCCCACTACAACGTGGTGACATCAAAGATGGCACCTCACCTGAGCCCTGCTACCAAGCAACTTCTCGAGGCGTCGACTCTTTTCACCAACTGGGACGGGCTTTTCAAGCCAAAAGAATCCCAGACGTAGAGCTACCCGCAAGAGCATGACACAAAGTGTGCGATTTATATTTTGTTTGGAGGCGAACTCCTTCAAAGGTACAGAGAGGCAGAAGAAGCTTGCACATTTGACCGATCTGCCCGATCCTCCGTTAAGATGTGGTCGAATGATTGATCAGACACAAAGTGGAAGCTTCAGCTGGTTGGATCAATTGTCAGGGTAGCCTTCTGAACGATGAAAACAAATGCCTCGCTCAATTAGTTACTCGGAAAAACCAGAGCATTAGCCGCTAGCTGCCGTAGATCTAGTTAACGTGTTGACTGATCGAGTTGAACGAGTTGCTTCGCTGTATTGAAGCCGGATTAGGTACATCCGTGTCCACTACTTTGCTACTTTGATCATCCCGCGAGTGAGCCCGCAACAGCATCCACTGACAAGGCACTGAAAAGCTGAAAAGTCGTTTTTTGATGGCCTCTTGGATCTCCGAGTGTACAAATATACAGCGTTGGGGCTCCTCGAGGTCCGATACCACATGCTATCTAGGTACCACCCCGCCGCGCATATGTTTCGTGAATGCTAACCTCATGATATAAGAGATCTCTTATATGCCGCTTGATCGGACACATTCTTTGCATTGCATGAGTTTTGTCGGTATGACTTTTTTTTGGGCTGAGCTTAACGTTTCCGCTTGAAGTATGCACGCTTCACAGCAGCAGCAATGTGTGCATCTGCAACGTATACAAGTTGCGCGTAACCGAACAGGTGACAGTTGCTCGTTTATTTTGGAGTATGTACGGTCACTGCCTATATCAATGCGGCACTAAACTGCGGCTGTCACATGCTCTGCCCCATACCGCATACACCGATTGCGCGCCGGAGCTAAAATACAAGCTGCGGCTCAGGTGATCATAATGATACCAAGTGACGAATATAATGTGCCGGGCCCATGTCGCTGGCAGTCGGCCCGGGCTTGGCCCGCCGGTTGCTAGCTTGAAGCAAGATAAACAACCAAGCCGGATGATCGGCTTGAGCCAGATCGTTGAAATTACTGCTGTCAATTTCCATGCAAATAGATGAGAACTAGGCTAGGTGCTCACGTCTTCAAGCATGATAGCCCCATGACGGTCACTTGCTGGTGGAGCTTGAAATTTGGCACTGTGGCGCACATCTGACGCGATCACTCCTTTTGAATTAATAAAGCAATGAAATAAATCACGAGTCCACAATTGCAGTCTGCACCATGCATATCTTGCGGACACTTATCATTGACGAAATAGGGCAGTCTACACAGTCTACTCCCGTGCACGAAACTGATCGCTCAAAGAGCCACTCTTCTCCAGACAGCTCTCAATTCAAGCTGGCCTTCACTGAATAGCAAAACAGTGGAGACGTATACATAATGAAGCAATTGCTTAATGCTTGATTTGACTTCAATTCATCCATTGCAATTGTCAATCTGTAGCTCGTCCAGTATAATACTTTGACCTGTGTAAGGGAGTTCGCTCAAGAAGTCATTGTCACGATTCTCTCCCGTTGCCGCAGGTATCCGACCTAACAATAATCTCTCAACATCTTCTGCGGAGTCCCAAACGTGTACCGTCGCTTCGCTCTTATACCCACTCTCGACATTCTGTAGTCGCTTCAGAAGAGGAAAACTGCAGAATCGACGTCGCATCAGACCAAGCGAACCGCGAAGTGGGTTTCTCTAAGAAGACTATAGTCGCCGTTAAGTGGCAAAATGTCACGCTCTGCTTCTGGAAAGCGTCACGCTCTGCTTTGAGTAAACCGACAGATCTCTTTCTCAGGACGAAAACCCAACCTAAACCAGGCTCTATGTCAGACACAGCACGTTGAAGACAGGCTTTGTCTCGCAAATGTCAAGAAGCACTAGGATTTGAATCATGTTGTCTCAATATCAACGGGCTCGAACTTTGTTTCCCGTGCGTGCCACCCGCAGGGGAAACACTCCTTGGAGCCAGCTGTCCGTCGAAACGCACAGGCTACACGGGAACCAATGCTTACTTCCTCCGGAAAACCGTGTCAATCTCTTCCAATCAGACTGACCCCCCACCATAACATGTTTGACGTATCCTTACGCAAGGTTCACATGGAGACGTTTCAAGCGGACTTGGGTGGCTACGCGAAAGCGAAAGCCAAGACCTTTCCTACTCGACCCTTTGATTCCCACCTTTCAGAAATCTGTGATTTTGAGAAAGGGTAAGCTTCAAGAAGGACTTACCCCGCCCTCGCTAGGACATGGTCTCCCCGTCGGAGCCTCAGACTGGGGCAGTAGTCGCCGCCCCCAACCCCCAGGTAGATGACGTGGAGCCCGTCTGGCCGGGGGTCACCCACGAGCTTGTCGAGAATCAGTCCCTGCAAGGGAAACAATCTAGTCAGCTGTTTGGAACTGCGTGGGAGATCAGTGAGGTCAATCTCGGGCGACATACCGCTGTTTGCGTCAAATCTGCCATCGGGTTCCAAATGCTCTAACCATGGTTCCTGATCTTGAACCGCTCGATCGATGCCAAGGAGGGCATCGGACGGCTCAGAATCAGGAACCAGCCTCAAAAGTCTTACTGCGCGGAGATGTACGCAGATTCTCCCGCCTTATGCCACTAACGAAGCCGAGACAACGGAAGGAAGAAGCAGTAGGAGCCCCGAGGGAGAGCCGACTGTTGATTGGAACACGTCCAGCAGGTCACGGGCTCTATACCAACGTAGGACGGCAGGACGACACCAGTTGCGAAACAATATGCGATAGCTGGCGCCAAATGATACTTATTCCTAAGACGAAACGATCCAAGCAGTGAATTGGTACGGAGCCGCCACTTGCGAAACAACGTGCAACAGCTGGTTCTAAAACTCATGTTTCGCAAAGACGAAATGAATCAAGTAAAAAGAATCAGTTGAAAGGCGCCAGTTGCGGAACAATCGCAGAAGCTGGCTCCCAATGGATATCTGCTTTTAAGACGATATGATCCAAGCATGGAATTACTACGGAGGCGCGCCAGTACCTTGCACATGTTTGGCGGGCATAGGGGGCAGCCGTGGGGTGGCAGCCCTAGGGAGTGGAACGGAAAAACGCGAAGCGCACCCGAGGAGTCGATCTCCGCCGGGTTTGTGTGTACGGAACTGAAGCAGTCCGTTAGGTCGTGGGCGGCAAGAATGGTGGCGATGAAGTGGGAGTTGGCGTCGCTGACAATGTGCAGAGAGCACCTGAAGGCGAGTACGGACAAGGCAAATCAGGACCTTGCGAAACCGCAACTCAATTGATTTTTGAAAAAAGTTGCCGCCAATTTGGGCTGGGAACGGAACGGAGAGATAAAATGGAAGCTGTCATCGTTTCCAGGGTTCTGTTTACTTTGAAGAGAAGAGGGAGCGGTTACGTGCTAGAGTGACAGATTACACAATGTTGTGCATGGTTGCACGATATGTTGAGGACGAGTTAAGTTCCGTGTTGGATTTCAAGACGTCTGGCGATGAGGATGAAGAAGGACCTGGCGTCGCTCACAATGGTGTGGCGAACAGCGACTTACAAGAAAGACAACAAGCTTCGATGCAAGACGAAACTGATGGTTGCAGGGGTGGGGAAAAACGTCGGAGTTGGCCTCGGCATTCTTTTGGATAAAGATGAAAAAGACAAGTGCAGCCAAGAAGGCTGCTGGAATGTGTGACCTCATCAGGGTTTCTACGTCAGCAAATTCCCTGTCCGCGAATTCAATGAATTGCAAGTTCGATACAGTGTTTAAACTTGGTTAAGCATGGCCAATTTGGTTACACCACATATCAGACCGAAAGCACACCAAGTGCCAGATTGACTTTATTGAAAGGACAGACAAGTTCAGAACGCACTTCACCATCTTGAAAGACAGCTGGTGCACTACGGCGATTGGGATCGTACACAGGGCAAACTCTGGGTCGTTTGACGGCGTCCTACCGGAGCTTCTCCCTCCCTACGACCGGAGCTCACTCATAAGAAATCCAACTTTCCTGTTGATCATTGACGTGATCGTACCACTTTACTTTGCCGTCTTTGTCGTGACAGGAAACATCGGGTTACAAGAAGCTCACAAAGAAATGGTAATCAGAGCCACGAGAAAGCATGTTATAATTTTCCTCACCCCAATGCTGCCGTGCCTCGGATGGCCCTATCCATTGCTTTATGGAGGGGGATTCGGGGGAGGCAAGCATCAATCTCAGGCAAAGTCCGCCCCCTCAGGTGTAGCTCGTGCATCATGCGATCCTGGACAACCAATGAGAGGCGCTAAACCCAACCAGATTGACTACTGTTGATTTCAGGTTTCCTGACAATGACCAAAGGTCTGGGTGAGCTCGTGCATAACCTGTTCAGGAGCCCTTTGCCAATTCCTGGATAGGATTCAAAGGTCTTTTGGAATGCACGTAATCACAATCTATAATCCTTTCTTGAAGCTCCTGAAGAAAGAAAGGAGAGCGAGTGCCTTCTGTGTTCGAACGTGATGACAAATCTGGTAACTTTGCATCTTCTGACATATAGTTGTGTCGAAGTCCTGGCAATTGCCTCCATACTCAGTCAACACGTAATTTCACTTGAACAGTGGGAGCAGAGAACCCAGAATGATACCTGCTCAATGCAATTGGCCAATCTGCAGATCTTCTAGCCCTCTCTGAAATCAAGACTCACATGTGGAGTCTCTCCACAATCGAAAAGACATACCCAAAATCAAGGGGAAAAAAAGAGGGAGGGACCTTGCACCCCGCAAAGCCCCTTTGATGTGCTGGTGGTAAGCTATTTCGAAGCCTGCCAGCTGTTCCTGGTGCGCATTTGACCAAGTTCGCTCAACCACTACATATGAACTGTTGGCACACAACCAGGCCTGGGTCAACTTCTGGTTAGGAGATGACCAGGCTCGGTTAAACTCTTTGATCAACAGCTAGCGAATCCCTGTGTTGCTCACCATAAGCTGTGTCCAGGGGAGCTCCTTTCTGAGGCTCAGCATGAGGTCGCCCGCTCCCAGCTGCTCCACTACATAGGTGTCGCTGTTGTCATCGATCAGCGTCCAATCAAAATCGAAGATGACCAGAAACTTCGCCGCCAATGAAGTCATGGTACGCCCGTCAAATTGACAAATAAGATAGCAGCTCTACATGTGTGCAAGTGACAAGTCAGACAGTCTACATATCCTTCCCTTGAGAAACTCAATTTCGAACTCCAAATCTCCTCCCACATACTGCCGGAATTGCGAAGCACACCACAGAGAAATCTCTCAAAGCTTTCATGAATGCTGGCCCAACTCGATACTATTTTCGAGGAGGCAAGCTTGATTTCCCAGGCTGCGGCCTTTGGCTTAGCAATCTGTGCACTTCAGACCACCATGAGCTGCGCCTGTCCGACTGTCGCCAGCTTGATCATCATGCATCCGCTGCATGAGCTGCGACCTGGGCCATTCATCATCACATGAGCAAGCACTGAACTTAAAGTGGGCGTCGGGGTATAAAACCCCTATTTTCCAGGCAGAATTGGGAATCGGCCGCGTTGCCGTAGCTCAGGTGTCCGCCTAAACCTGGCGTCAAAGTCCGAGGTCCTGGGTTCAAATCATAGAACTTGTACTTTGCCTCTTCATTTTTTGTCACATCTGGTTATTACGGCAGGCTTTTGGGGCCATACCGGGTACCTGATCTAACCCGAGACATGCCATCTGACGATCAGAGATTGACCATCAAGAATTCGGGCTGATCGAACGGCGGAACTTATGTCTAACGCGAGTCTACCGGGCAAGTACGCCTTGACGTCATGCAACTTCGGCGGTACCTCTAAGCCTAAAAGTACCGTACCAATGCACCGCGGTACGCTGACGGAAATCTGATGTCACTAGCAATCGCTACCGTTCGATCGATGGCGCACCGATCGAGCCGATGGAATCCTCAGCGTCCGATCAAAATGGGACCCGCGGGTCCCACGCCCACTTTAAGTTTAAGCCTCAGCCTGCACCCGTGAGTCTTCCTTTCCGATTTTGTCTTTGTAAGCCGTCCGTCATAGAATCGGACGATAGAACATGCTCAGAAATATTGCTTCAAATTTGAAACTCCAGACTAGTTCGCATGAAACGCTAGGGGCACGACTGTTTCTGATGTCACAAATCTGCACAGAGGGATCAGCAACACAGGAGCGCGCTAGGTTTCTGTGGAGGAGAAGGGTTTGAACGTCAAGCTGTCACCATCACCGGCGTTCTTTCCGGGCGCCCTCAACGCTCCTCCGCATGCCGAGTCTCGAGAGGTTCTTTGCTCTTTCATTCTAGCCACTTCATAGAGCTTGGAGCTTTCAGTTTCTCGCCGCTTCCCTTTTCGAAGAAGTTATAAGGCTCATGCCGTTGCCGATTCGAAGGGTTGGTTGTTGAATAGGTCACGTTTGAAACAAGGTCTGCAATACCTGGAGCCTTTCTACTTTGAACCACGCCCGCAGACTCGTTGCTTGGTCTGAGCGTTCCCGCTTCAAGTAGACATGGGGAAGAAGAGGAAGGCCGAGACCTCGGGGATGGAGGAGGTGGAGAAGGGGCTGTACTCGTCTTTCTGTGCGGCAGCCAACTCCATCTCGCAGCTGTATACCCAGGCGCAGAGTCAGCAGCGGCTCTCATTTGCGGCTGGCCAGCGTCATGCCATGGTGAGCTTTCAAGACTCTGAAATGTAAGTTTGACGTTAAGCTTTTGTTGCATGCTGAACCCTTCTCTAGGTCTTGGCTGAAAATACTCTTGACTGTGAAGGTATCCAGTAAGCAGGTTGGTCGGAGGGTTTGAGACCAAGCGGCCTGAGTGTCCCTTGTCTGTGTTGTTGAGAGGCTCTCCTCGTGCCACACGTGCCCTTTAAGTGGTCCATTCCTTGCTGCAATGTGACAGATTTGGAGGATCACTCTTAACAGGGTTCATCCATTTTCACTGTTTTGTCACTGACCTGCTGGACAAGTGAATGGGCGTCCCTTGGGTTGCATGACATAGCCCATTGGGGTTTCAGCTGCACTTGGCAAATAAGAAATGGGTCACTGAAAGCTGAAATGAAGGAAGCTGCTACTATTGAACGGGGTTCCTAAGGCACTCGCTGAGTACGGTTTGGCCTATGGCCTGGATTGCGTTGGTGGTTGAAAGCTGAGGCAACCAACAGGTTGTTTGGAACTCATGCAGAACCTTTCATGCAGTTCAAGCGGTGTAACATGACCACTGACCTCTTCCGAGCTTTGCTGACCTTTGTCAATCTTCCCATTGCTCTTCTTAAATACTCCTGTTCAAGTCGATCACACCTACACGCGGCACCAATGTTGCGCAGCTGGTTGTAGTCCGCCTGCATTTGGACGCCTCAAGTACTTCATTGTCACCTCCTTTGATATGAGGTCGAGTGACCTTTTCAGCAGTTTTCAGGTGCATTTTGCAATCTGGCATGCAGCGCGGATACTCCCCCTGAGCAGCTTCCCAAGTTCGTGCTCACGAAGTTTGTACGGGTGCCTGCAGGATCAAGTTTACCAATGGGTGCTCCGGCAGCGGGATGCAGGCGCCACGCAGCTGTCGGCCGATCAACTCCTCAACTTTCTCCAGGTAAGATACGCTCTCTGCGTAGTTTGGATGAGAAACTTTGCTTGCTTGCTTGCTCAGCACCTCAATGGATGGCTGTGGGACTGCGTATCGACCTTGTCCTAAGCTTGTGCTTCGTCGCCTTGTATGCCATGCATATTTCCATCTGTTCGTATGCTCCATTTGCGTATACTACTGTGGTTTCAATATTTTGTTAGGTCATGCTTGATGGTATGCAACTGCAGTTCTTCGTTGCATTACGACCCTTACTTGGCTTATTGGTCCCTGAGGCAAGGCCATCTGACACACTCTCTTGCATTCTGACAGAGGGAACTAGACACGGGAGACATTGCCGTCTCGCACTTCAGCCAGCAAGCGGCTGCAGCGACCGCCCCCGCGCCAGCAGCATCCCCCCCCCCAGCAACTTCCATCTCGCACCATGCTCGGGTCCTGTCCTCCCACCAGGCTCAGGCTAGCGGCCAACCGCCTTTGCCGCAAACCAACTCACGGGGGGGTCACGCTTTCACCCCCCTAGACAGAAGCACGGATCTGGCCCTCATTGACAACAAAGCACAGATGTTTGGAGGGACGAGCCCTCAGAGGCGAGTGTTGGGTTCATTTGCGGGGCAGTGGACACAGGGTGGGGGGTACGACAGGGGCCGGGCGTCGGGGCCGCAACACCAGGGGGGGGCTGCACCTGGGATGTTTGGGGCAGCGACGGTGAGTGCTGTGGTCTGGATTGAGCAACTTTCTTTCTCCAGTGTCCTAGTCGAGTGATTACTTCCAAAGAAGGATGCTTATGAGTAGTAACAAATGGTCTCTGAAGTGATTAGGAGGGCCGGAATTTTTAGAAGCTGGTAAGAGTCGATTGTCAACGCATACTGGAGGATTCTTCTAGGCAGTCTGTTGAGTCTGTTGAGCCAGTGCTGGTGCTCGCATGTTCCAGACAGCAGCTATTTGGTACTTCTTTGCTTGGAGCGCCAGAGCTTTGCAAAGGTTGAGGGTGAAACTCATTGGCGAGTCGTAGGATCAAGCCTTGCGCATGGGAACGGATGCTTCTTATGCTGGGAGTTGTCTCACACTTCTGTTCGCCCCTTCCATTCATCTGCAGGCTGAGGTGCCTGGGGGTCTGGACGGGCATCAGCATATGCCAAATGGCGAACCCACCCAGGAACCAGAACAGCAGGGGGGTTACGGCGGGCCTGATGACGACTTCATGATGTAATGTAGCTGAACGGCAGCGTTTGCCGAGCAGGCCCTCATTCTTTCTCTCGGAGACGGCTGAAGGGACGCCATGTGAGGAGCAATAAGCTGTAGCACAATCGAAGTCGGAGCCTAGCGACCTGTTAGAGCGCACGCTATATGGGCGACCAGCGAACCAGCATATTGCTAGGATTGCGTCCCAACTCAGGGACGTGCATCCTGTTGTCAAGAAGGAAGGGCTTTGCTGTTCTCGAGCAATCTGCTCGATAGTTGCCTTTTCTTAGAGGGACAGGGGCTGATAAGCATGCTAACACGTCACACTGTTCATCCGAGTAGAGAGGGTCAAGTAGTTTAGGGTAGTGGGTGTCCATATCAGCCCGTTAGCTGTGTCTACAACAGTCCGTGTTGCCACACATATTCTGGCTCTGTGTTCCAGAGAAGCTGAACTCTTGATGCCAAGCACTCAATCGACAAGTCTTGAATCACGCGATCTCCTACGACGATCTTGGGACTGGAAAGCTCTGCAAATGTAGTCTGTTTACACGGAATGAGAAGTGAAGGTTCTCTCTCGAAGCACATATTGTCCTGCTAAGTTCTGAAACGAGGTGCTTCCATACATGGCTTCTAACATGCCACCATACGTACTATGATGCAGTCTGACGGTCTGCTATGATGATAGTATGATTACGTTGTCTAGCATTCGCACCACCACGTCTAGGCGCCTTTGCACGCTGCCGCCATGACGGACCCAGGGGCTCACTTGTGGATCCCAGCTGGCCGCCGGCCTGTGCATGTGCCGTCTCGGTCACTGCAAACGGCTGTTAGCATGCTCACATGCATATAGTGCATTCGTTGTTATTCACATTTTGCTACATTGGACGCGTCGTGAAGCATTAATTTGATCATGAATGACAAAACCGAGCTTAGATTCTCTGATGAACGAAGCGACAAGCTTGTTCGTCCGAGAGATCCACAATGTTGCTTATTCACTTTTGCAGCCGCCCAATTTCAAGCCTCATGATGATGAAGCTAGAGAGACAATTACATCTGCGCCGCGGGCTCCGATTTACTACCCAATGCTCAGGAATTTTATAAGACCGCTGGGTCCATCTTGGGACTCGAGGGCATTTTGCAACGCTTACAAAGGCGTGTCCAATCACCTAGTAGGCCCGTTGCCAATGTGCGCGCAGCATTATCGCTACACGAAGTCTTTGATCAAGACTCTAAATTGCACGATCGGGTCACTGACAGAGCTTAACAGCATTCTGAGGCTCTCTGCAAGTCAGGACCATGAGCAAGTCACGCATTGCTGTAACACGCCATCCGGAGTGCAAACTCCCAAATTGGCCGAGTGTGCTACCAACGACTTCTTACTTCAAACACAAGCATGCAGCCGACGCACCTGGATCGTTCTCGCTTGCATCTTCCCAAGTTCACAATCGAATATATATACAACTCGGAGTTGCACCCTGTGCCATGCGACTTGGAAACGCTGAATCGCATGAGTCCACCTTCGATATACACATGAAGCTCATTGTAAGGCTTCCATTCATTGGCAAAACGTAATTTGAGAAGGTCTTTCGTACATGGTGTCAAAGAATTGCTCACTACTCTACATAAGTGCATCCTAAGAACATGCCTTGGCCTCTTCAAGCATGCCTGTTTTGACTCTTGCGGCTGCTCTTACCACTTCAATCTACTTCGTACATCTGTAACTGCTGCCCTTGGAGCTGAGCATCTTGATCCTTCGGATCGGCATCTGCTGGCACATCTGCTTCTACAGGCTGCTCACAAAGCTCGATCAAGTAGCAAACGGTGTCGACGGACGCCGTCTCAGCTGCCTCGCTGCATTCCGACACCGTGTCTTCGTACTCTTCATCGTCTGACGGCAGGTTGCGCCTTTCCTCTTGGAACCTCTTGAAAGGGTCGTCGGCTTCCTCTTCTTCTGGCGGAGGGGGTGCTGAGAAAGGATGGTAATGTTCCATGAGAAGGGGCTCCTCGCGCTCTATAGCCTTCTTCTGCGGGCGGTCAAAGAATCCTTTCCTGATGGCCGACTGCGAGCTCACCGTTTCCTTATCCCGCGTCTCGAGCCCCTTCGCATTCCCTGTTCGCAGAGAGTCTGCCTCTGACTTGCTCTCCCTGAGTGCCACGTGTCGACTCATGACTCCCGTGCTCGTAGCTAGCCATCCCCTGCTCTCGTGCATCCGTCCGGATCTCGCATGGCCCCTCCAACCGTTACTCCCCGTTTCCTCTTCGTCACTGCTCACGTCATCTTCCTCGCCGCCGAAACGCCCTTCCAAACCAAAGCGCCCCAACTCCCAGCCCCGCGAGCCCCCAATCTCCTGATACTTCCTCCCGCTGGTGGCTTTGACGGCGAATCTCACCGTGTCTTTCACCGTCCAATTGGCGACCAGTTCTGATGCCAGCCTGTCTCCTTGTGTCGCCCGCTCCCTCAGCTCCTTGACCATGTTCATCTCCGCAGCCGCGACGTTGGCAGCGTCGGCGCCGCCCTTCAGGAGCCGCTCGCAGAGGAAGAACGCGCAGGGGTGCAGCGCGTCGTGCTCGAGAAACGCGCGCACCAGCTTGTCGTAGGCGGAGTGCCCCTCCATCGCGGCCGCGTGCGCGCGCATCAGGAACTCGCGCGCCGCGCGGTAGTCGCGGTGGCCTGTCCCCGTCTCGCTCGCGCGCAGGACGCGCTCGTGCAGAGCATCAGCGTCGCAAGTGCGCTCGAACTCGTCCACCATCTGCAAACGGATCTGGCAGGCCTCAGACGCGAGCATCTGAATCGACTGTCATTTCGGAGGATTCCTCACTGGGGGAGATCGCAGACAGTCTGTCTAGAGTAGCCTCAGAGACCCTGTGGGTAGCGCCGGAAATCCGGCGTAGAATACGGTTAGCAGGCATCCTCTGCAAAGAATGATTATCTTCGCAGAATTTTTTTTTGATGGCAAACAGAGGTACGAGAAATTTAAGAGAATTGGGCCGAAGATTCATTACTCCTCAAGTAGTACCATAACAAGGACTCTTGTCGGCTCGAATCGTGACCCCTTGCTTCTCGATCATCCGAAAAATGCAGAAGACAGTGCTCGCACGCTAGAAGAGACGTCTGATCCAAAGGACTACGCAAACAAATTTCTTGATTATTTGCCACGTACCGACCGAGCGTTCGCGTCCCCGTAGACGTCCGCCCGCTTGTTCAGAAAGTTCAGCGCCATCTCCAGAGGCTCGCGGAGCGCGCGCGTCCCCGCCATCTGCAGCTCGCGCACCAGCTCACGCACCCGGGCATCCTTCGGTGAGCGCGCGCGCATCCATTGGAGCAGCACCAGAAGCAACAGTTTCGTCGACTCTTCATCTCCGGAAGTCACTCTGGGCGTCGGTTTGTGGGCTTTGTGGAGCACGTCCACCTGTGTGACGGCGAGTGTACGTCAGCAAAGATTAGGCATCAAACTCTGCACACTCTTGTGGCCAGAGAGTGAGTCTTTGCAGATTCGTGGCCTTGGCGTGAAAGGGTTTTGAACAAGCAAATGAGTAGGCGAATCAAAAGAGGACTCGGCGAGTGCAGGCTTGACAGGCAGGAGTGGTGTTTTGATCTTCATGAAAGGATTCATATGGGTCCAAGGAATGCTTGGATGTTCCATTTAGAACGAATTGTATTGAGAAAGTGATTGTATACAGTCCTTCCAAAAGATGACAATACGGAACATACAGAGAGTTTGCAGACAAGGTGCTACACTATACTCAGAGAGCTCACCAATTGGCCGAAGCAGTCTTCTACATCCTCGTTTTTGGGTTTGAGCCGTTGGACATCCTTCTCCATGACAGATAAAATTCTGCAGGAACACATATTTTCTTCAATGAATGCAAGGAGATCCAGGCAATGCAACTTAGGCAGCAGGCGCAGCCAAATGATCCTATGACTAAGTTTCAAGATCATTCTGTCATCACAAAAAACGCTGTGCGATCCAGTTTCCTCCTTGATTCCTTCTTTATAAGCAGAGACTAGGAAATTTGTCCAGCATAAGCTCAAAGAAACCAGCAAGCTGCTTGTCAAGTGGCAGAAGATCAGACCTACCGCTTCGTCCTGACCACCAGCTCGTTCCGTTCGTCAATCTTGGCGTTCCGCTTCGCGTGCTTCTTGCAAGAAGCCTCTTGGCATACATCCAGAACCTCCACTGCATCTTCGGTTTCCAACCCCGGGTGCGCTCTCAATGTGTCCCGTTCGATCTGATCCAGCAGAACTCTCACTCCCTGCGCGTCCCATTGGTTGGCCAGCACGTTGAGCTGCGTCAGCAGGAGAAGAGCCTGCATTTCCTGTGTCCTCAAGCGTCCGAAAAGATACTCGAGCACTGCAGACCGGAGCTGCATGTGCATCTTGCAAGGTTCTTCATCTGGGAGAAACTCGTTGTTGTCTTTCTCTGTCATCGAATCCCAGATCTTGATCAGCTTGTTGCGCAGCCCGATCGGTCCGCTCTCCTTCCTGCACTCCTCCAATTCTGAAAGCTTTCGTGCTGCAGCGCCATCCCTCCTGCTTGCGTACTCCTCGAGCGTAGCGATCACGATGACGCCATGTATCGCACTTTTGACTTCTGGCATGTCTACCGCGAAAGATGTTCGCCGTGTGGCATCTTTTGAGTCTGGACGTGAGGCGCAGCCTACAGAAGCTTCCGATGCTCCGCAGCAGGTCCATTTCAGCCTGGCTCTGATGGTCTGTGATCTGGAACTGAAAAGGATGCCTGTCTCAAAAACCTCTGCATCATCTGCAATCGAATCAGAAGAAATAGCGAGAGCGTCTGCCTGATGCCGCAAGCTGCTCCCTTTGGAGTCAGCTTCGTTGTTTGGATCTTGGCTAAATCTTCGTTGCAATGTAACAGAGCTTCCATCGCATCCATCCTCCAGATTCTCTTTCAGCTCAAGTACTCCCAAGTGCACTCGTCCAAGCTTCGATCTGCTGTGATTGCAAGGACTGTAAGTAAAAGCTGCTGGAGCGTTGAGATCAGTCCGATTTGGAAACCCTTTCTGGCCACAGCAGTTGCTGAAGAAGTAGGAGGTCTGGAAATCTCTGACACTGGTGACCTTCTGAGGAATGAAGTCATGATCATGTGGAGCGTCCTTGATGGTCCTTCCTGTAAGACACATACATACTTCAGTGTTGATTGCCGATTGAGACTTTTTGGATGAACTTGACCAGCTGAACAAGCCACGCTTGCATTCGACACACAAATTGATCCGAGGAGATTCTCACACAGATCCATCAAAAGCTTTACAACAACGCAAATTCAAAATCACCGTTCAGTAGACAGTGTGAACAATGTTAATTCCTCAGATCATTTTCTGAAGGTGAAGAAAGCCACAGTCTGTCCAGTCTGTCAGCAGAATAACTCTTTTGTAGGTACTTCAAAATTCTACATAAGTTTGGGAACAAAAAGAATATGTTGATCAGAGCTAGAAAACCTGGCATGATTAAAATCACGGAGCAAGATGTAGTTGGAAGCTAACGTCGAAATCCACGTGCTCGCAATAGATTCCCGGATCATTGTCAGATCATTTTCATGGGTGCTGATTTGATGAAATCCTTTCGCAGGGAAGCAGCTGTTTGATGATATCACTTCTGAAAAGTAATCAGCTGAAAGTGCTTCTATATTGAGTTTTCCGTTCAATTTGTCGCTGATGCTTCATATAAGGTCCTCAAAAGTAACAAGATTTGCTCACGCAAAATCAGGCTAGAACAGTGCTAAAAGACAACTGAACAAATCTCGCCTGCGATGGTCCAAACATGGAGATCTGAACGGTGAGTACCTGTGTGGTAGTATCGGGAAGGCTTTCGGACCCCAGAGCCCGAGGAATCCCTCCTCATGCACTTTTCCAGGCCTGACCCTTCGTTCTTCTGAGGATGCTTCCACAGTCTGATCTCCGACCTCAAACCATCTCCTGTGAGCTGCAGCTTCTCCATGACGCCAACCTTTGCTCCCTTGATCATCATGCACGGACACCTCCGTCCTGCCTCTTCAAAACGCTCTGATCCGCCTGCCTCCCGCCCAGCACTCTCTTCCCTCCCTCCCAAATTTTTGGATCTTGCTGATCTTTGCGCAGCTTGGGAATCATCAGTGCATCTCAAAGTTTTGTTCAGATCATCCAAATAGCAAGTATGCGCTATCAAACTTCGTGGCCGTCGGATGAGTTACAATGATCAAATCCGGACCGTCGATTGTCACACCTTCGATTCTCCACCGCTCGATCGAGCCCTGATGGTCTAGCCTGGCATTGCATCGTCATCAAGTTATCCTTGTGATTTTTCGGAGATGTCGAGAGGCAAGTCGTGCTTTGTGCTTTGAAAGCGAAAGATGGACGAATCAATTTGCAGAGTACAAAGGTTTGGCCATGGCCTCTGCAAGGGCTGCGCTTAGTGTAGGCAGCTTTGGCAGATCCGATTGAGGCGCAAGACCGCTTGGTATCCAAGGTCAACAGCATGATTCCCCTGGCATGCATCGAAAAGACGGGAGGTTTTTGCACTCCTTGTGTTAGGGTAAAGATTGGAGAGGTTGGGAATGGAAGAATCTCTTTACAGAAGATACGTGACAGAGGCTTAATTCATCAGTCGATCGGCAGAAAAGGTGCATCGGTGTGTTGATACGAAAATGCTGAGGAAAAAAGCGTTCATTCAGATGCTTGAGCTTGCCAGGGTACAAAGTTATGAGACGGATCAGATTGAGTGATCGGAAGTCTTTTTGTGAACACGGAGGCATCGTGGCTCTCAGTTCGGTTGGAGAACGCGCATAGAATTCTTGACGTAGGGAGAGGGGAATTGGATTCAGCGATGGAGTTCAGTGAAGCCACTCTCAGAAGACGCGAGAAGAAGCATTTGAAACAACTAGGAGTTGCCCTAGACGTAGGTGAGTCTCGAAGCACAAGGTCAGAGATGATTGCATCCAAGCCAGAATCAAAGCAAGGAAAGGTAAAGAAAACGACGGCGAACGGTGTTTCTCCAGAATCTGAGAGCAAGGCTGCAGCTGAAAAGCCACAAGCCAAGTGCATGGAACAACAGCTGAGTCTTCTGCCGATCGATAAACACGGAAAAGAAACCCTAGGAGCTCTGCATGGTGGAAAGGGCGACCGCAAGGCGAAGCAAGCTTCTGGCACGGTCAGCTCAGTGGTCAAAGCGCCAGATGCGAGAAGAAGCGGGAAGGTCTTTGAGAGTCAGATAGTCCAGGAGGGTAGCAGGCAGCAGGAAAAGAAGGCTTTGCAGCTGAATGTCAAAGAGTCGAAGAAAGGTTCAAAAGTGACATCAGAAGCCATAAGATCTGCAAAATCCGCCAAGCACATCACTGAGCAAGCCAAGAAACAGAAGGAAAAGGTATGCACGATCCGCCAAGACGAGAATACTGAGGCGGTAAGGGCGGCGCAAGAGGGCAAAGAAGCCGCTGAGCTCTATGTCAAGTCCCAGGAGAGGCAGCTTGCAGGAGAACCTAGCCGCAAGGGCAAAGGCAAGAAGAAGCAGAGGAAGATGTCTTCTCATTCGATGGAAGAAAAACCCGAAGAAGATGCGGGCAAGGATCTGAGCAGTCGAAGGACCCTAGAAAGTGCTCTGATGTCGAGTGCAGCCCCCTCATTCACCTCCGCAATCCGGCTGGCAAAAAAGGGAAAGCTACAATCAAGCACGATCGGATACTTCTACAAAGGTGAGATTCTGAGCTTGAGCACATTCGATTAGGTAGTAGTCTCTTGCGCACTTCACATGGTAAAGCTTGATAATTGGGCTGGCTGAAGCAGTGATGCAACAAGCCATAAGCAGGGCTGCAGCTCATTGGCTGACGTGGATCTTATGAGATTAGAAGACCGAAATGGTTACAATCCTGGAGATAGAGAAAGGTGCATCAGAATTCCGGTCAGCGGCGAAGTTGAGACTTATTTCAGATGAGTTCGAGCATCCGAACATTGTCTGCCCGTCATGTAAATCCTCGTTTGCAAGTAATCCTGGCCCATTGGAGAGACTAAGAGGGCCATCAGAGCAGGCTTTAAGAACGAGAAATGAATAAACTGTCTTCCTTCCAGTACAGACACCTAGGCTGGACTGAGGAGTAGTTTTAAAGTTCAAAAGAAGTGCGCTTGAAGATTGGTTGAACAACTATATCAAGCAACTCTTTCGAATCACAGCAATACAGGCAAGGCACAGAGCACGTCCAAATATAAATACTGTGCCTCTCTTCAGTAAACCTTCAATAGATTCTGGGAATCGGCAACGTACATTATCGAGATGAAAATTCGACATTAAATGGAATTGAAAGTGATCAGCCAGCCCCTTGATCTTTGTGCAGGGAAGAGCCTCGCTGAAGAACCCTGCAGCCACGATTTCGTGGCAGAAAAGTTCTTCGAGGGAAGCCTTTCGACGGGGCACACGGTCTACGTCTTCGCCAACTGCTGCGGACAGCTCGGATGGCCGCCACGTGGCAAGGATGCGGACTCCGGACCATTCACCTACAAGCCTTGCGACCATAGCCGCTCTCTTCCCACGTTCGCTTACCACCCCGGTCACCTGCTTCCCAACCCTGCAGACCCTGGCTGTCGCCATGGTGGACACTGGCGCGGCCTGGCTGTGCGCGAGAGCGCGCCCGCGCGCTTGTGGAGCTGCTGCTTGCGGCCGCTCGGCGCGCCCGGCTGCGCGCGTCGCACGGACCTGTTTTTAGAGCGCCTGATCGAGAAGCGGCAGTTCCGCCCAGCAGGCGACGACGTGCCCCCCACCGACGAGATCTTCGAGTGCGCGGCGTATCTGACGCTCCTGGAGGCGACACGTGGCGACTCGTCCACCGCAGATTGGGCAAAGACGGTCGTGCACGGCGTGGATGAGTGCTCAGAGATCGACTGGGAGGAAGGGCGGGAGCTGCTGAGACGAGTGCTCGCGGAGAAGGAGGCGGGGGGGCTGTCGGAAGACTTCTGGGTTCGCCTCGATATGCGGCTCAGAATGTGGGGCTGCAGGGCGGATCTGGCAGCGCTCGAGGCGGGGAGTCTCTTGCAGCTGTACCGGATCTCTGTCCTTCTTTCCAAGCACGACCGGCGACGCGCGGCCGCGCTGATGAAAGGGATGGAAGACGAAGGCGCGGCCGGCGAGCGCCCGGAGGCGCGCGCGTGCGCGCCCGAGAGCGGCGCGCCCTCGTGGTGCGTGTGCGGGGCGATCGAGGGGGATCCGAACGAGGAAAGGGAATTTCTGGAGAAGAGCGTGAAGGAGATCGAGAAGAGTTTGGACGGGGACGCGAGCACGATTCGAGAGCTAGAGCCCGATGAAGACACGCTTAAGGTGCTGGAAAGCCTGCAAGAGATTTGGAAGACGCTGAAGGGATCCCGCGACAAGAAGAAGATGGCGTGGCAGCACAAGATGATGATGCGGCGGAAGATCTGCCACCTGGTGGAGTGCAGGCAGAATTCGGTTGAAGCAATGGTAAGGCACCGCTTCTTTTCGAGGGAAAGCCTAAGCTACGACGACGGATAAGTATCAGCCGGTTTTTGCTTTGCGCTCTTCACTTTGCTTATTCAGGTAACTCTTTGTTTCTAAATTATCGCAGTCCTTTTTGGGAATACTGAGGAGCAGATTACGCCGCTAAATGATTTGTGAATCCGTCAATCACCATAGAAGGTCTGTTAAAGGCCTTTGCGCGTCGGACTTCCCCGTATCAACTTATATCGTCCCTAAAAGGGTGGGAAGAAAGGGCCTAAGTCGATTCGACCAGTCGAGATTTTGACGAGGCTGAATCACTTATAAAGAATGGATAAACATCTCAAAACCTAAAAGTGAACCTTGACTCTCCGCTTTTCTTTCAAAAAGATGTTCACATTCTGATTCGGCAGGAATTTTCAATTCTGCTCTCAAAGCGAAAAGGCCCATAGAAACGAACCCTCTACTGTACAAACCATATACTTCTCTTCACTGCTCTTTCTTTTCGAGGATTGAGCCGCCACATGCTTATTGCAGGGCTGCGAAGTGCGCTGCCTCCCCGCGTACGAACGCCCCACCGACGACTCGGCCAAAGAAACGGTGGTCGAACCCGACTTCGAGCCGCTGCTGGATTACCTCGTACTTCACGAGTACCTTGCAAGCTTGAGCACGTTGCCGGAAGCAACGAGCTTTTGTGAGGAGATGGCAACTCTCACGGCGGTCGCTGAACAGATGGAGTCGGAGGAGCTGGCCCAGATCATGCAGCCGTTGGAAGCGATGGCGCTGGCGGGCGATGCTAAGGCTGAAGAAGTGAGGATTCTCAAAAGCTACCTCGCAACTGACATTTGAAAGCACTGTCTATTGGCTGTCTTGGCGTACTGCGGGGGCCATACTCTCAGACTCGTCAATTAATTGCACGCCCTGTCTGTGGCGATTCTTTGAGTACGCTGATAGGATCCCACCGATGAAAGACAGATCTGCCGGCTTAGGATGAATTTCCACCATAAGAGGAAAAGAGGCTCCTGTAACGCCCTTTATTGCGTGAGATTCGCACCCCTATTTCAAACGAGAATCAGGAGCTTTGTGCTTGATCAAATTCAGAGCCGACTACAATCCTAAGACATCGTGGCTGTTGATTTGAAAATTTCATTTCAAAGCGTCGCTCCCCTTTCATCCGCAGATTTCGGATCATCTTTACCGGCACGGCATCCAGGGCCTCGCCTCCCTCGCGACGCTGTCGCACTTCTACGGCCACCAGCGCTTCGCCAACGACCCGCGCGTCGCGGCCGCGTTGAACCTGATCGGCGCCCAGCTGGACACGTGGACGTTCGTGCAGCGGGGCTCTCTCAGGCTGCTCGCGGCCGCCGCGCGCGGCGCGCCCGACGCGCGGCTTCGGCTCTTTGCGAGCGTGTTCGCGGGCGCGCCCTTCGAGGAGAGCGTGCGCGCGCTGCGCGGAGTATGGCGCGCGCTCCAGCTGGCGTCGGACGAGCTGTCGCCGCAGGTTATGTGCACGATTGTGCTTTTGGGGGAGGATTGGAATCTGGAAGGGGTCGCAGAAGTGTTGCTCAGAAAAGGCGAGGGATCGGAAGCGAGTGAAGAAGAGGAGCCGGAAGAAAGAGTTCAGGCGATGGGGCGCGGAAAGGAGCTGCCGGAAGACGGAAGACGGACGGAAGGCGGGGCGGGTACGGCGCAAAATGCTCCGGTGAAAGCTTCTATCTCAGCCGAACATGCGGGAGGACCGTCCAACCCGATCAAGCGCAGTGAAGGTTCCGCTCTAGACTCCAGCGCGGAAACGGAACGCTCGTCAACGGAAGGGCAACACGGACGCGCCGCGGAAAGACCGGAAAGCGTACCCCGCGCCGCGGCCGGCGAGGAGGGTTTAGGAGCGCTTTGGGAATTCAGCGACTCTGACATTGTCCAACTCCGGCTACTGACAGAAGTTTCCAACTTTGAACCGGTCGGAGCAATGGAGGAGGCAGTATGGGAGAAGCTGAAGAAGACGGCCTCGGGTTGGACCGAAAAGATGCTGGAAGAGATTTTCCACTTCTGCGGCCTTGTAGGACTCAAGAACGTGGTGAGTTGCTGAGATGGTGGCTTCAACCTTGTCGGAGAAGGGTTGAGCGATCTAGAAGCTTGGAAATGTTCAGAAGTGAGAAAACCTAAAAATTTTAACTTCTTCTATATGGGCGGCGCGTCCAGCAGAGTGTAATACGCACCGCTTGAAGTAGCAGGCTTAAGAGGCGCAAAAGCTCTAAGGGGTTCAAATAGCTGCACGAACCGACTCCTGTCCGTTTGAGTTTCTGAAAAGGTCTGTGAGGTAGGGAATCGCTCCACCAGACCACACAGAAACTGAAAAGCTGAAGATTTGATTTGAGGTCAGCTTCGATCCAATTGCTCTTCTTCAACGTCTCCTCAGACCCAAGGATGTCGATTCTCGGCGAATCCCGGTCCGTGCGTTCGATTCTTCAAGTTCAGTTCGACAGCAAGGGAAGATAACCAGTGCTAACCAGCGCGTTCTGCAATCCGCAGAGCTTCTCGAGGGTCGCCGAGTACGTGCAAAGCGCCGGCGCGCGACTGAAGGAGGACGGCCACCCGACCCACCTGTCACTCCTCGAGCGCGCGGAGCGCATGTGGCTGGCCGCGCGCGCGCACGCGCGCGGGGGCAGTCTAGGCGCCGGGCGCACGCTGCGCAGATTGTGCGCCGAGTTTCTCAAGAGTCTCGTAGAGGACATCGACGTGGAAGGGGGCGTGGGACCGGGGGAGCCCCCGCACGATGTTTTCATTCTCTTCACCCTGTTTGCGATGCTGCTTTACGCACGGGAACCCGAGAGTCAAGCGATCTGGCAGCGTATAATGCAGGCCCAGAGGGCCGCAGAACAGTCGGGGGTGTCCGTTTCGGAGCTCGAGCAGAGAGCGGAAAGGGGGCGGATGGAAGAGCTGAGGGAGGAAGCGGAAAATGAGGGAGAAGAAGAGGAGGAAGTTGGAGAAGATAGTGAAGTCGAAGCAGAGTCTGGGATTGAGGCGCACGCGGAAATCGAAGCCAAGGGTGAGATTGAAGCTGTCCGGCAAGTCTTCGATAGGGTTCAGTACGGGATGGGAGCGGCGGGGTTTGCGGGGCAGAGCCACCTGAGTGAGTCTGACATCAGCAGCAATTACAGCGAGAGCAGCTGGCTAGAGTTCGTCGGCGAGGACGGCGGAATCCAGAGCCCGACGGAAACGGAAGACGGGGTTGGGGAAACGCCGCAAAGAGACCGGACGGAAACCGAAGGGAATCGCGCATTATTAGAGCAACTTGCCGCTCGGGTGGGTGGAAGACGGACGGAGGAACGATTCGGGGAGAGTGTAACAGAGCAGGTTAGAGCTGACGAAGGTGCTTCCAGTACGTCCGTGGCGTCGCGCTTGGACAGAAGTCTGAATTGTCGAAATGGTGAAGGTCTGAGGGTCCATGAGGCAGGGATTCCGCCAGTTGAATACAGCCTGGAGGATAGCGACGAAGGCCCTAAAAGCGGTAGTTCTCGTGCATTCTCTTCTAGGAGGTCGCGGCCGGCCATCCGGGTCGGCAGTGTTTGCAAGGAAGGAGGCGGAGCCAATAGTGTGGTCCTTGACATGGCTTCTCTCGACTAACCTAGATTAATCGGCGCAAATAGGAAATTGAAACCGATTAAGGCAAACGATGCCGGATCCGTCTTATTAAAGATGTGACTTGAGAGCATTTTTGGCGCAATTCAACAGGTGCATGTTTGTTCTCGCCGGCTCTTACTCTGTATTGTGGTCTGTCGTCAGCGCGCGCTAACATGCCTGCGACGGAGCACGCGCAGTTTAGCAGACTTGCATTTTTTATCTAAATTTGAGATATGTTCTGGCAGTCGTCGTGAGCACGCAAAAAAGACGCAAAACCGATCATATCTCTCTGTTTCAACTGCCTCGAAGCACGTTCGTGTCCGTTGCTTGCTCACTCAGACGGCCCAGACTGGAAGGGGGAGAACTAGACGCAAAACTGAGTCAGGCTCGATTAACGCTCCAACCAGCCGACTTGACAATTGGTATAACCAGACTCCTTGGCTGACCAGGGCCGGGTGAGTCCGCTTAGCAAAACCAAATTGGGCGGACCTAGAAAGCCAATAGTAAGTTTTGTGGACCTGCTTGTCGGAAGTAATCAGACGTCGGCCTGGTTACTTCAACAGACATGTGCGGGGCAAGTTATCGGCAGTATCCAGCCTGACCCTGGTCACGCGCGGCTTGCAAGGTTGGCTAGGGACGCCGGTTCACTGCCCAATTTTCCTCTACGGATTCCGGTCTTCTAAGGCAAAGGACCACGCGTTGATCTGAAATGATACAGCGGCCCGCTTCTTTTCCCTATCAGTGAACCCTTTCCTGATGGAAGACCATATATTCGAGGCTAGTTCTTGTGAGCAGAGCACGCAGACAGACAGATGTTGTTTTACGATGTCGGATCAAGAGTCGACTCCGGCTCTGCAAGTACAATTCCCTAATCGTGAATGATGTGCATGCTTGAGTGTCATAACTTAAGGGAGCGACATGAGTGACTCGCTGTTGTACGTTGCAAGCTTTTCCCCCAGTCAGTACGTCGTACCCGATTCAAGATCTGGCAGCCTTTCAATTGAACCGCCATATGTAAGCCTTCTGCCGGATATGCACCGAAACGTTATAGTGGCCCCAATACTTAGTCAGATCTGATCATGCATGCACTACAGATAGCTCCTGAGTCCGGCCACGCATCATGGGATCACATGCGTGTCCGGGACACATGAGCAGCATCCGCGGTATATGCAGCCTGCTTTTCGACACCAATATGTCCGTCCCAGGCTGGCCATGCCCGGAAATTCTTACGACCGTTTCGTCCATAATGGCTTGCAGATCCGGAGCACAATGGCTCGTTGCATCTGGAGTTAGAACAATAACATGATTGGCTATCCCATGACGTGGAAAAGTTCGACAAGGAGGTCACCAGCTTTATATACGGAACGCGGCATAATTGTGGTTTCTACAAACTCTGCAGCCAAGGGATAGAGTAAACTTGCACCTCATCGGAAGTTTGTCAGGACGTCTGTTCCCAGCGCATTGTTTACTCTAAGCTAAGCTACTCCAGCGTCTCTAAACGATCAGGCCTTAAGGTCGAGGCGGTGCCATTATGCGGAGGGACCCTACACGTACACGCTAGACGGGCGGGCCTGCAGCCCTGCTCCCCAGTGCCTCCTTTTTCCTCCCGGTTAAAATCCATACTGCTAGGCCACCGCCCGACGACCCGCACTCCGCCCCGCTTTAAATGGACGACAGCTTTTTTAAGGAGAGCTGCCAGCAGTGCAGCAACTGCAACAAAAGGGACAATAATGAGAGAAACTTGCTGAAATCTACAAGCTCAACCATCTTGCAAGCCGAACTGTTGTATCTGAGCACTTCGTTCTTCTTTGCCATCGTCGTTCTGAACAGGTAGTGTTACATGCAAGAGCTACTCCGTCTCGTGATACTGCAGCACGAGCTAGCTTTCGAGCTGGTCGGGTCAACCACGACAAAAAAAAGCCGCTCAGCACCTTTCTTCAGATTTCTGCTTCCCAAGCTTGCTCTAACAAATTCAGGTGCAAGTGGCTTTAACTTCGTCATCTGACGCAGAAGAGCAACTTTGTTAGTGGGGCTAGCGCCCCCCATATATTGCACTTTCGGAGGGGAGTGATTTTATTGAGGGTAGGATGCAGAAACGAGGGTATTTGGGAGCGCCTCCTTTGCGGATCCTCCGAATAACACAAGCCCTTTGAAACGCTGCTGAAGGCATTTTTGCGTAGCCAACTCTTCCCTGGCCACCGACATCTCACCTCGTCAATCTGGCCCAGCACCCCTGCCCACCAGGCGGGCTGCCGTCCTTCGCTCCCTTGTCACCGGGGTGGTCCAGTGATTTCCTCGGCCGCTGACAGCTGGCGCACACCCAGAGCACCGCAGGCCTCCCGGGTTCCCTCCCCCGGTTGCGCTCGAGGAAGAGGAACTTTCTCCACTCGCTACCTTTGTCGTGCTCCTCTAAGAACCCGGTGAGCTCCACCGAGTCGAGGCCCTTCTCGCTGAAGTGTTGCATCTGGGCCGTGAGGTCTCGGACGGTGCTGGGCAAGCCCTCCTCGGTCTGTGGACAAACCAAGTGGATGTTTAGGCTTGACAATGATAGCAGGCTTAGTCCCAGTTCGATCCCGAGAAAGGGCACTGGTGTTCCGATCATCTCGAAAGGAAGCGGACTGCCAGTGTCGATAAACCGACAAAGGCAAAAGTTTTGATGCTTTTGGAAAGCAATTATCCAAGATCTGGAAACGTAGATATATATAATTTCAGTCACATGTACCAGCACACTTCTAACGACAAGACTCTTCAAAGCAACTCGAATCGAAGCGAGTCCAGAGTTCAGGACCACCAGGTTCAACGGTTCACTTGGCGAAATGATTTGTAGCTTCTCGGCGAAAAGCCAAACAGCCTACAGTTGTCGTACCACGATCTTACACCACGGAATCATCCCGACCAGAGAAAGCTGTCAGCAAACGTGACGTAAGCCTACCGTGAGGGGCTTCTTGAGCAGCTCTACCACTTTGACGAAGGGAGCCACGGCCTCTCTGGCTCCCACGACGTTGCCAACGACGTTGGCTATCTTCCCGAGGGCGATCAGGATCGTGAGGGCAGATGCGAGCCGGTTGCCCCACTGGGTGTTCCGGTGGATCGTGTACCCCTTATGGCCGACCTGAAAAAAGAATGAAAACTCGAGGATTGCGGGCAAGCTACCGTTGTACGTACAGCTGTTCAAGATTGCTCGCTAAAAACATGCTTTTCACCGCGCATGTTAACACAGTGTTGAACAATTGAATGAGAATCAAGAGTCACCGGTCCTATGTTGGTTTAGCTAACGAGATGGCGGAGAATTTGCACTGTTCAAGGAGCATGAATTCTACTCTTCGGTCCAAGTTCTTGTCGTTTCCGTGAGGCAACGCATCCTTCTGATCTGGACACACGAAATCTCCAAAACGATAATACACGACAATTGGAATCGTAAGTCTTGCAAATCCTGCAATTGACACACTCACGGACGAGCAAGCTTGCAAGGCCCACCTTTGCAAATTCTCCCCTAAAGGGATGAGTGTGGACGAGTGGAAAAGTCAGTCAGCTCCAATCCCCAAAAGTCAGGTTTTCAAATGCTCACCGGCACGCGAAAGCAATTCTCGCAGAGAAGATACATGATCGCCGTATGCTGGAAGAGCTCCCGGCTCAGGAAGTGGTAACCGATCAGCAGGTACTTTTGCGCCGCCTGAACCAGACCCTCGTTGACCTCCGCTTCCAAAGCTTGGGTTTCCGTAGCGACGGTCTCGAGGACGTGCGACATGTCCTTCAGAGGGTCGGTGCGCGAAAAACCCGGCGAGATGGCAAAGGCCCGGGGCGTTCTGGCGGTGCTAACCTCCACCACTGTGTCGGCCACATCCTCCACCAGCTTTGCCAGGAACTGCAAATAATCCAGGGCGTGAGAAACCCGTTAGTAAGTAGGTAACCGGACTTGCACTGACGGCTGGCGCACTGATGGCATGCTTTTGCAAAGCACTCGCTTTGATCGAGAAGGGCCGCGAGTTTTGAGTATCTTGCCAATTGAAGCCACTTTACTTACGGAACGGTTGGGCGGGTTAGCAATCAGGTTAAGACTCCACCTTTGGTTTGTGGACTTGCAGATTTTCGGAATTCCTTTTCTTGTGTAACACAATTCATCAGCTTATTCGCAAGATCACAGGTGTAAACACGCTAGGAGCTATCAAAATCTAGTCATGTACAGGTATTTGATGCAGGTATCATGTTTCAGACTTCGCTTAAAAAGGACTGGAAACGAAACTCAGCAAAGGATTACGCAAGCAAGCAACCAGCGTCACATTGTCAAACTAAAACAAGGAACGCATTGATCTGTATGGCTAGCTCGTCGTAGGGTCGCCTTGTGGAGTAGCTAATAAGATCTCTGAAAATCGAACGTCTGGCCGCTTGCTCTGTGGTCCTTTTCAGGTCGATTGGGGCCACAGCGGGTTGCATCGCCAGCATTGTGCAACAGATTTGGAAACATGGAGCTGCCCTGAGAAGCCGCCACTCATCCGCTACTGCCTTCCTAGACATAATTCAACTTCCTTCTGCCAGTCAAGCCTTCGCCCAATTATCTCACCTGGGTGGCATTGTCGAGCAACTTCGGAAAGGCCCGTTGGGCCCGAGCCATATCGTCCACAGACGACGCAATCCCGATCAGGGTCTCCAATGTTTGTGCATTGCTCAACGGCCCTGGATCCGGGGCAATCTGCTCCCAAGGCACCTCGGTATGGTCGCCGGAAGGGCAGTCGGAGAAGCCGCTCCTCACCACGCCCATGGCACCCGGCTTGAGAATCTCGCTTAGTATGGAGTAGGGAAGGGGAACAAAGCAGCCGAGATGTTCAGGGCATGCTGCGGAGTAGTGGATCAGTTGGTCGCCTCCAAACAAGTCCCTGTGCACCTTGATTGCTTTAAGGACAACCCGATCGATCACCGCCCATATTTCAGTGTTCGTGTTCTGGCTATCCCCATCGTTTTGAACGGGCTTACTCCCGAGGATGTCAAAATGGCTGAAGCCGTTTGGGTCGCCGGGATTGCGCCTCTGGATGTTGATGGACACGCCGTTCAGGTTTGTGAGTACCCCACCCTGCCACCAGTGGCCGTCTTTTGGAGGCGCGCGTGTGCAGATTCCAGACTGCACGAGCACAGTCTCAAAAAACCCAACCGGCATGTCACCCAAGCGCCGCAGCCGCCAACCTCGAACCTGGTTCTCCCCACCCGGTTTCCACTCGGTCTCAAGGCTTGGGGGAAATTCCGGCCACTTAGCTGGGAGATACTTTTTGACGGAAGCCCGGTCTTTGCGTAGTCGGAACCCTTGATCGAGTACCCGAGCTTGAATTGGTCAATCAGACCCAGCACGGCCGCTTTGTCCCCTACCTCCCCCAATAGCTCGGGTATGAGAAACGTCTCGAGAACGCCTCTTTCACACAACTGAATTGCGGCGTCGCTGACTTTGGCGTTGGGATGCGACTTGTACCTGTCCGCAAGCGTATGGTCGAACAGAGTGCCAAGGCACTCCCCCACCAGCCACGCCGGATCCAAGAAGACCTTGCCCCGCAACCCGTCCAACTTCTCAAAGTGAAGCACGTACCCAACTTCGGTCAAGTATCGAAGAGCTCCTGCGCTTGCAGAATCCTCCTGGGACCGAAACCGAGCATTGAACTCCTCCATGCTGATGACTCTCCTTGCTACCACCGTTGACGAGCTGTCCGATTGCTCCAACTGTTTTTGCACTCCCAGGATCGCACCCATAAGGGCGACCCATGATTTGGGCAACCCGACCTTGAAGTTAACTGGGTCGTTCGTTACAATAGCCGCAATATGGCCTTCCAGAGCGCGTAGGCTCGGGTCGCGACCCTGTTGCGATGTCCCGATCGAACTAACGACAAACAATTCTTCGAGAAGGAGCGGGGCTGGCTGCCCCAAGTAGCGGTCCAGGTTGTCTACATCAAATGCCTCGGCAACACGTCTGACTTCGGTGTCTAGAGCTTCCTGTATTTTGCTCCGAACCAATTCAAGCCTTCTCAACGCTATAAGACGGTCAATCAAGTCGCCCTTGGTTCCAACAAGGATAAATGTGGCACCTGGAGCAACCGCTTGAACGAGGTCTACTCGGGCCTGCACGAAATACACACAATCAGCCCATTAGGTTTCGAAGAGTACGGTCTGGACGGTCAAATATGGGCTCGCGGCCCCGTCAATTGAATCGTTTGTGCTGGTCGCATTGCTGCAAGAGTCTGCAGATAGAGGAGCTGACGTTTCTTATGTGAGTGTCCACAACGCATTGCCAAAAGAGTTGCCTCTCGCGGTGACTTCAAACCGCACTCCTCGCTCCTTGAACCAAACACAGACAAAACCAAACGAACCGGAAGAGACCAGTTGATGAACCAATGACAAATTTTATCTAGTAGTGGACGTCGAAGCTATTATTCACAAGCATAGGTCGGTATAGCAGTTGGTATTGCTGAGTACGTGCCTTGAAACTAGTGCTTGATAACAGTCATGGTCTGTACTCAAGATGGTTTTCGAGAGGCCTCTCATAACTTGAAACGAATTTGTCAAGAAAATGCAAGGACCCGTTGCCAGATGCTAAGACTATTTGACCAAATGCGTAAGCACAGGCTGAGAACGAACCAGGGAAAATCTTGAACTCACATTGATCTCGTCTAGGTCGTCCTCCGGATCCTTGCTGATGTCGACGACCAAAAGATAAAGGCAGTGCTCTTTGGTAAAGAAGAGCCGTTGCATTGCCCCATACTGTTTCTGTCCAGCCCAATCAAACGCCCTGAAGGTGACCGTCTCTTTCTCGTCCGCCACCTTCCACTCAATGAACCCCAGGTTGCCACCAACAGTGGTCGCCTCACCCAGAGATACGTCTTGCTTCGAAAGCGCCTTGAAAAGGCTGGTCTTTCCTGCCCTTGGCAGGCCAATAAACACAAGCTTTGCAAGCGCCTTCTTTTCAAGCCCTGAGGACTCGACATCCTCCAGCCACTCGAGCATTGCCTGGACCCCTTGCAGGGCGACCGGCAACGGTGGGGATTGCAGATTCCTATTTCCTTTGCAGAGGAGAGTGCAGAGAGCGGGTGCTCTCAGCAGGTTGAGCGGCAGGTTGTGGACTTGGTTATTACTCAGATCAACAGCAGTGAGCCCTGACATGCCCCCTAGAGTTGACGCTAATGACTGTACGCCCTCGTCCCCAATTCGGTTTCCTTGCAGGTTTAGGTTGGCCAAGCCCACCATCTTCCTGAGAAACACGGCCAAGACACTGGCTCCTTTGTCATCAATCACATTGTTTTCCAGGTTCAAAGTGGTGAGCAACTCCAGCTTCTGCAACTCTGGGCCCCAGAAGACGGCAGCAGTCCCAAACTCCATTCGGAAGTTGCCCCCAACGTCAAGGTAGGTCAGTCGTGACAGCCGACCAAGTACAGGCGCCAGCACCACAGCACCTCCTGCCTCCAAGAAGTTGTGCCCAAGCGCAAGATGATTGAGGGCTCCCCCTGCCATCCCGCTCAGGATGCTGGCCAACCACGGAGCCCCCTTCTCTCCCATATTGTTGACCCCCAGATTCAGGGACTCTAATCTAGTCATCTTGCTGAGAACAGGGGCAAGAGCTTGGATACCACCGGCCTCCATCCTATTGTGGCCCAAGTCTAGGTTTGTCAAGCATGACAAGGCTCCCAGTGCAGAAGCCAGCACCCTCGCACCGGCAGCCTCAATCCGGTTGTGCCCTAGGTCGAGGGAGGTGAGCTTGACCAGCTTGCATAGCTGTGGGCCCAGCCGCCTTGCACCACCGCTACTGATTTCGTTGAACCCTAGGTTCAAAGCAGTGAGCGTGACAAGCTCCCCCAGCTTCGAAGCCAGAGCCCCAATCCCCGAATCACTTATGACAGTCCAGCGAAGGTCCAAGGTCTTGAGCATTGTCGCTCGCTCAAGCTCAGTGGCTAGTATTTTAGCACCCTCTTTGTCAATGCGGTTGCTTGCAAGGTTGAGGGTAGCCAGGTTGCTGAGGAGCTGATTGAGGCGAGGTCGCTCATCTCCCTCCAATTCCTCCCTTCTACAGACCTTCAACAAGAGGAAGACGGCTTCTGACTCTTGTCTCTTGCCAGCTGATGCAGGCAGGTTGTTGATTCCCTCTAGTTCCATGTTCGCTGCAATATTAGAGGTGGAAAGGCATAAGTGTCACGCTTGTTTTGAGCACCTTCAGCTGCTGCATGACTTCAAAAACTTGATCCAGGTCAGGCAGTTGCAGCTCTCATATTGCAAGTTTTGATTTTGTTGATTGAAGCACTCCTTCCTGTACCAGGTACCGTTAGAAGATCTGTGAAGACTGCATGGATGCTTTCAGCAACAGCAAAGCTTTGACCAACAAAAAAAGATTCGAAGGAGATCTATATAATATTTGAAGTGCTTTGCTGTATCGACTGTAGTAGACTGAACAGGTGGCCTCCAAACGCAAACAAGCAATCAGAAGTGGCTTGCTCCATGACTCTTGAGCATTTGCTTGCAATGATGGATGCTGATACAAAGGAAGCTTGGGCAGCCTGCAAAGCGGCGGCCTTGCAAGACGTTGCTTTTCAAAACGTTGCAATCAAAACTTTCAGCGCTACGTTTCATGAATGTTTGCCAAAGTATGGTTCGCATTTGGAATGTTATCGAAGCACCTAGTAACCTCAACCCCTAGACTAAGATTCTGGAATCCTGATTCATACATGCTTCAACTACCAAAACATAAGCCTATCTACACATCCATTGCTTTCAATACCATAGTGTGTCAAGTTCCTCGCTTTGAGGTTGACTGCAATGTCAAACTCCTAGCAGCATGACAATGCACTAAAGCGGATCAATCGCTTACCCCGTAATGTGTTGTCTACTCCAATTAAGCACTGGTTGGTAATCGGTGGTCAGGAGCCTTAGGTAATACGTGCATAATCAGCTTGTGATCGGAGCCACCATTCAATGCGAATCTTGGTGAGCCTAAACTGCTAGGGGCACAAAGCGTCCCAATAGCTCCAATACCCCCTGAAAAGAGTTGGCTCAGTCCTGCCCAAAAAGCAGCTTGAGTTGATCAGATGTCCAGCTCTCCTCACATTTGTCTTAAGCTGCCTTCAAGAAGCCTTCAGTTGATAATGCAGAGTGATCCTAAGCTCCAGCTCTGGGCGCTGTACAATATTCTGGCAACAAAGTCAATCCTCAGAATGCGTCTCCTGGTCAGGACCGAAAGAATGCACTTTTAAATCTCAGGCTTGTTGCCTGGCTAGAAGGAAGGCAATGCTGAATGCATTGCGCAAGGAATGGACATGAAGTCAATGATGCTGAATGCATTTGAGTTCAGGTTCTTTGGCCAGCATTCCTCCAGGATAGTTCATTTCCAAGCTCACCTTCCTTTCTGATATACGCAAAGTGTATATCTGCAAGGCGTCACTCTATTCTCCAGAGTCAAAAATTGGTAGATCACTCATACACAATCTGCATTTATCGCTCTGTTGCTGACCAATGTAACACAGTCTGTGGTCATAGCAGTTTTCTTGGAATAATGCTACAATCTTGCATGCGCAGAATCCAGAATAAAGAGAAGCAAGAAGCAAGAAAACCTCCCCGTTATGCCTCTATCCTTTCTATAAGCACATAATGCAAAATGCAAAAGAACTACGCTGCTGATTGGGCTGGGATGGACGCAGGATGCTCTGGCCCCCAACGACCCAGCTCAGACCCTCTCTGGGATGAATAAAAAGTAGCTTCAGGCCCCCACGGGTGCAAGATGAATACTCATTGAAAAGTTTGGGTCTTCTCAGACTTACCATTGTGACACTTGTAAAATGTTTGGGGGCTCATGCCAGTGGGACCGCGTTGCAATATGTTCCTCACTAAAGGGACGCCTTGCAGAAAGCTCTCAGCAGGATTTGCACCTTTTTGAGAGATTGATATCCTTCGTGCTAGCTCAGTAGCTGGATGAGCATCAGGTTCATAAACTGAAACCTTGTCGAGCTGGGGCAGAACTACGGTATTAGCTGTATTACCGTATACCAATACTGTGTAGTCAGATCAGCTACCTACATTACCGGTAGTACCTACATACCGTACGGTAGTACACGGCCTACAGGTACTTACTACTAATACCTACTACCGTTACCAGGGTATACCGGTACCGTACCCTCAGGGGCCTGTCACCTGGGTGTACCTAGACAGTATACCGTAGGTAGTACCGTAGGCACCTGAGGGCTGGTGACTCCTGAGGCCCGGCGCGCATCATGTCGGAGTCCCCCCCGGGGCGGCCCGCCGTGGCGCGGACTTCGTCGAAGGTCGATTAATTGGACGCACGCAACTTCGCAACCTCGGCGGCAGGCTGAGACGGTACATTTGTAAACTCGTCGATCTCGATTTCACGTTCATGGTTGGAAGGCGCCCACCTGGGGACGGGTGGGGTTGGCCTGGGAGTTGGGGTGGGTACGGGTGCGGAGCGCGTCAACTTTAGAATAAGGTTTTTAGTTTTGGTTT